GTCATTTATTAATAATTTAATATTAATTAAATTATCCTTCAAGTGGTTAGTATATGTCTTTTTTAATAAAAATGTAAATATTAATATAGATATTACAAGTTCATATTACTATATAATATATTATTTATTAGTATAAAGCTTCAAAATCTCAAAATAAAAATTATTTAAAAAAAACAATACTTAAAAAAGAAAGCATCCTAACATTTCAAAATTTAACTTGTTAATATTTTTCTAAAATCTTCCTGCCAATCAATTGCATTCTTATAAACAAAAAACTGTGACATCAATTATCAATGAAGGGATAGAATAGTGAATAGTAATACTCTACTCTGCTTTTGTCTCTTTCTACTTTTACAAGCGAGCTTCAACGTCGAGATTAAACATTTTAGCACCCCAAATGAATGATGCGAGTGTCATACAAGAAAACTTAGTTTGGTTAGGAAAAGCAATGCCTAACTTTGACGTGAGCAAATATCATCAATAGGTTATTTATTGGGCTTTTTGGGAAACATGTTCCATCACACCATGCGAAGTTTCAACTTCCACCTAATTAAGTAAAGGCCATGAATGAAAAGGGGAACGAAACAAGGAAAAAATGGCGAAAATTGTTGACAAGGTAAAGGACAAACCAAATATCAATTGCCATAGCTGGAATTCCATCTTAGTCTCAATAATGCAGTATGTTTAAGTAGCACAAACAAGAACTAGGGCAACTGTAGGTATTTTCATTGCATAAAGAGGAAGTGCTTTGATGTTATTATTATTATGTCACAGCATTAAAAATTCTTAAAGTGTGGATAGTTTATTTAGGCAGCTAAGGATACATTTGAATAATAGCTTAATTAAGTACTTGTTGAATAAATTTTTATTATATAAAGAGTTTATGTTATAAATTTGATTTTGAGATTTATTAACAAAGTTAAAGAGAACTAATGTTAATAAATTACATAACAAAATTAATTAAATTTTTGAAATACACCTAAATAATTAATTGGGATGTGTAAGTTATAATAGAAATGTGCCTATCTTTAAAAATGTTATAGTATATATGTTAATTTAAGTGCAAATGATAAACTATACCTACCAAAAATTTCTCCTTAATGTGACACATCATAAGGCAGTAGTATCAAGGGACTGGGACGCATTCCCCCTCCCACAGGCTCCCAAATGAGATCTCATGACCCTTTAGCTCCACCTAGTGGTAGGACCTCCACTGCCCAAAAGAAAAAAAAAAGTAGTGAGTTGAAGTAGCACAACCATGAAGAGATTAAAGTATTAAATTGAAGTAGTAGTGTGGGACAAACTTTTAACATGGGACTGTGTTGGAATGTTATTTGCATTAGGTGGCAGTGATTTGATATTATTGTGGGTCAAAACTGATATTCATTATCAGGATAAAATACCCATAATTGAATGTTCTGGGTCGACATATTTTGAGTTTTTATTTTTATACATTTGCACAGTTTTTTTTTTATTTCTTTCAAGATTGTGCATGTCTTGAAGTTATAGGGCTTTGAATAAATTTATTTAAAGTACTTAATGCAATATACATTATCAATTTTTATGTGTTTTTTTTAATTTTCTGAACCATGAAATCATGTAGCATAGTTTTATAATAAATTCTAATCTTTCATTTTTATTATATAAAGGTTGTTACTGTAAAAAAAATTCACAATTAATCGACTTAAGTCTTATGTGAAATTAACTATGTCAAAGTAACGCAATTAGAAAAGAATATATGTTCGTTGAAGTAGTTTAATATTTTAATTTGTTTTGTTAAAATGTCAATTAATAATAATATATATGTAATATTATCGTTGTGTTTTAATGACTCTTCATTCATTCGAAACAATTACGCATATTAACTAATGATAATTCATTATTTGAATAGTCATTTATAAGTGGAAAAACAAATGGGTTATATGGTTAAGTTGGGAGTCTTAAGTAAATTTGTCTTAGTTGCACTTACATTATTTTTCTGACATCTTTTCTACCCTACTTTTCTTTTTACGTCTCTCTTCTCTTCTTATATCTTTCCGTGTGTAACCACCTTTTTCCATGTATTTTAACTTAGCGTTTATATGTCCAGTTGTTCACAGTTTGGATTCAAAAGGAAGATTGAGAAAAAAGTAAACAAAATTGGACATGCACAAAAGAATTGCACTAGTAGTTTAGTTAAATATTCGATATTCAAAGAATTGTGGGGACGCAATTAGTTTGAAGTTAACAATGCCCTACATTGTATTCAAAAGCAACCAAGAGTATTAAAAACAATGCCCTACATTACAGGGTTATCTTCATATAATGGTTGATCATAACTACCAAAACTATCTGTCATTACTGCCATAACAGTGTAGTAGCCAGCTTTTCTTTAGTTTCTCAATTACTTGTTGGCAGTCAAAACCAAAAATTAAATTTCACAACAAACTAAACATGTAATCGTAGCAAAAAGGAGAAAATAGATTTGCCACCACACGCTACAATGGATGAAAGTAGTGGCTTCATCTAAAACAAGGAACTGAAGGAAGAGGAAAACAAAATGAAAGTCAAATATGCATTCAATGCAGCAGCCAAAAAGTTGACAGATGACAATAACCTATTTTCCTGAGGCTTCTTCTAATACAATGCTCTAAAATGAACAGGTCTTATCTCACAATATTCTATATTTTACAACTGTCCCTCCCACATGGGCCAAGGATTGAACTCTACGTAAGGCCCACGACACTCACTAGGACTAGGAGACCACATCATAAATCATAGAACCCCCAAAAAAAAAGAAGTTGGACGTTTCTTCCCCAAAAACTAAGAGGTTTATTGATCCCAAAAGAAAATGGAACTCACAATTTATTTAGGACCGAGAAGTGACCCACCCTCTTTCGGAATATTTTCTAAATGTAAATACATTTATACTTTACAATATTTGGGTTTTTTGTTTCTACAGTGAGTAGTATCAACAAATGCCTTAGACTTTAGAGATTTTATTTACCTTACAAGAAGTCAACATTCTTGGGCTTTTAATTGGCAGCGAACGTGTGGGAACAGAGAAAAAAAGAAAGTTAATTTGTTTGTAACAATCCCCAAGTTGAGGCACGTAAGCTAAACCCGTTCACAACTAACACGTCTGTAAAAAAAATGTTTAATAATATTTATGAATGATTTTAGGTCTCAGATGAACGAAAATGATAAAAAAAAGCCTTTTTTTTTTCTTATCATGCCCAATTATGATATATTGTAATCCAAACAGTAGATAAGTTAGTTGAAAGTACTTAACAAAAAAAAAGTGTATAGTAAAATTAATTATTGAACTAGTTGATAAATATAAAATGATAAATAAGGATATCATTAATTTTTAGTTCAGAATTTAAAATTTAGTGATAAAACATTTTTAAAGAAATATACATTTTTAGTTGTACTATTAGTTAATAAAACGAGATAATACAAATTAATTTATATTATTATTTTGATGATTTCATGTTATGAAAGAGATGTCAGTGTCTATATTCATATACTTTTCCAGCATAAGATGAATGATCTAGAAAAATAAAAGTAGTTTGAATGGTGACATATTATATTAACCGTGGACTTGGCAAGTCTTGAAAGTTGATATGTTTGTAAATAAAATTGATATGGTGCGAGGACAATAATTGTTTAAATAAGATATCATAAATGGATTTAAAAAAGCTGGTATTGGGGAAGTAGCTGATAATATATGGTTGATTCGTGATACGCTGGAAAAATAATAGCCATAGATTGTTTCTACTCTGTTTTTGAAAGTGTGACACGCTTCTGGGTCAAGAATATCAGGTGGAAATTATATGCTTTCAGCGCACGTTTTGGTCATCTTAAGTTAGCAGTGCTCGTCGAATATCGAAGCTTTGTCAACCACTTTTGAAAATGGAGTAATAGCTGCCTTTTTTCTTCAACCAGTGCTCCAATGGTGGAAACAGTTGTAAAGAAAAGTATTCACTTATATATCGTATTATCATCTTAAATAATCTGAACATGTCATAGGAAAATAACGACAATCAATTGAGGTCAGTAAACTTTTTAGAAAAGTCTTGAGAGAAAAAATAATTTTAAAAATAATTTTTTTATAAGCTCTCTTATTGGTGTATAAGGCAAAATGTGGATAAAGATTTAACGGTCTTTTCAAAAAAATCAGAAAATAGTTTGAGGTTGAAGGAAATCTCACGATTCAATTGTTGAATTTGAAAAAAAGAAAAATTTTCAGCGAATAAATCAAACGTATTAAAGGGTTTACCCATTCAAATTCCATATATTGTATCTTAAAGTGAAAGCTTTGAATTGTTCAATAATCCATAGGAAGGGTAAAGGCACAGATGCTCTAATTTGCTCACATAAGCACTTTTCATATTCCTTATACTTTTGTGTGGAGCAAAATTCTTCCTTCACAAATAGACGTAAACACACGCACACATAAAATGAAGTTAGACTCAAGTCACCAAAAGGAATGTAAGCGAAAACTATATCAAACAGAGTTACACAAGAATAGGTAAAAGGAAGAGTGTGTTTATTTTTTGTTATCATCAATTCTAATATTAAAAAGTAATTTTAATAACTCAATTTTTAAAAACATCTTTTGAAGCACTTCTCAAAATCAAATAGCATCCGTACAAAAGAATATTAGGTATACATTAAAACTCAAAAGTCAGCAACTTATTTAAGAATTTTGTTAACTTCAAATTCAATTATTTTTAAACAGTAACTTTTATTAAAAAAATATATTTATTGCACGAAAATTATAAAAATACAAAAAAAAAACTATTTTTTTAATAAATTATTATTATTATTATTGATTATTGATTTCTTAATCAGATTGGGACCCTTTACCATTACCATACCCACTAAAAAGATGACTCACCTTTGTATCCCACTTCCTTCCAATTAGAAAACTCCACAAAAATTCAAAGACAAAACTCAAACCACAATCAAAATCTTGTGTAAAATAAGCAATAAACAAGTAAGGTGAGAGTTTAGTGGGAGAAGATTAAGATTCCCATTCCCTGTAATATAGTACTAACATAATAATAATCTTTTGAATCGGAGCAGATTTACATTGCAACCCCGCCTTAATTCCCATTCACATTTTGCTTCTCTCCAACTAAAAAAAAAAAACCCAAAAGTTGCCCTTTCCTAATTCCAATGTCATGTTGACTCAAATATCAAACCCCCGGAAATATTCTCCTGCATCGCGGCATGAATAGAGTGACGGTGTTCCCCCTCGTACGTCACGATCAACATCGTTGGATCGTCCGAAGCACGCTCCACGTGTTTCCTAGCCGGACACCCTCTCATCGTACTGCACTTGTAATACCCCCTGAAACAAACATAACCAAATCACCGTCAATAAACCGCCTTTGACCAAAGTCAACGCTAAAACATCACCCGTTATTCACCTCGGATACGGCGATCCCTTGATCGGTTTTTGACCGTACTTCCTCCACGAGTACTCGTCCGGCGGAATGTCGGCGATCTTTGAACTAATCGCCGGCACTCTTATTGTCTTCTTCACACGATTCTTCCTGAAATTAAAAAAATAAAATTAAAACCTTTATGTTGTGCCGGTTTTGCTAACATGAGCCAATTAATATGGTCAATAGTCAAAAGCAATAACAAAAAAAATGAAAAAAGGTGAAGAGGTTGAGTTTGGGAAGTTCCATTTTGTTGTCTTTATTGTGGGACATCATTTCTAAAAATTCGTCAATTTGACAAATGCGGTACAAAACAAAACCTATTCTGTCACTGTCACGCGTGCTGTGTCCATTTAATGCCTTTAACTGCACTACTACCGAAATCGTTGACTCTTGAACTCGGACTCGTTCACTAACGCGACTGAGTCCGTTATCCGAGTCATATGGTTATTGGCTGATATTCATAAGCTCCCGTACCCATTTTTTCCAATTACGGGAATGATAAGGTGAGATGCGGTGTACCTTCTCTTAATGCAGTGGCACTTGTTGGAGCCGGAGATCTTGCCGGAGTTATGGTCGGAGTGTTCGCGGTGGTCGTGGCACCTCTTCTTGACTGTGACCGATGAGATAGGGGGTTTTCCGGCGGAGAGAGGAGGCGGCGGTGGGGTGAGGAAGATGGAGGAACCTTGTTTACCGTTGGAAACGCTTCCGTCTCCGGTGATGGCGGAGGAGATGAAGGAGGAGTTGGAGGAGACGGTGAATGTTTGGTTGGAGAACTCGAGGTCGATGGACTTAGCATTGGAGCTGAACATGTTAGGTTTTGAGAAATCGAGAGTCAGAGTGTGTGACTGCGTGGGGACGAAGCTCGAAGGAGGGTGGTGAAGGGTGACCGGATTAGGCGGTGGCGGAGAGACAGAAGAAGAGGGAGACGAAGGAAGCGGCGCGCGGCGGAAACGGGCGTGGCCGGTGCGGTTGAGTAAGGAGATGAGTTTTTTGAAGTGGGAAACGGTGGCGTCGGTGATTTGAGTTTGTAGATGAGAGGGTTGGTTAGAGAGAAGACGAGTCAGGTGTTCCATTCCCTTTAATCCTTCCGATGCAGCCTCTTCCATTGCTTTCTGTTCGTTCATTTTTGGAAACCCCATCAACTCCACCGCCATTTTCACTCTATCTATAGACAATGGTGTGGCTATGTCTCTGAGTTAAGATCCCATGCCAAGAAGAACCCGAGTGAAAAAGAGTAATGGGAGTGAAGCCAAAGGGTTAGATATATTGGGGCCAAGGTGACCGGATGACCGGGTAAGACAACACATAGTTGCCTTTTAGTCAACGTCTTTTTTTTAATGCTTTTGCTTAATTAGACATTATAATACTCATAGCTATTCATTTTAATGTTAATCGTTATTTTGTATTTTCATTGAATAATAGATTCATCAGTTGATTTAGAAGAACCACCTTGCAGTAAAAACGTGGCACGCTCGTAAAAGACAAAAATGTTAGTTACAAGGATAATGAATTATTGTTTTCAATTTTAAAATGAACAAAATATATTATCAATATACAAATTTTCAAATTTCTATTTTAAAATTTAATGTATTAAATAATGTACAGATATTTGACCCATGGGTGATAAAGTATTCATACTAATCCTCCTGTTTATAATTTTTTTACAACTTATTCATCTCAAAACTTTCCTTTTTATTATAAATATGCTTTCAGCATTGACTTTTTATTTTTTATTTTTTTGTATTAATTCATGTACGTGTTTAGATTCTTGTTTAATTAGTTATATATTTATGTTTATTTCAATATTATTAATTGCGCATTAAATTTTTTTTTACATATTTTAAAACATACACTATGTCTAACCGTGAGTTTTTTCTTATAGAATATGAATACTTGCTTGCTTATATTATGTCTGTCCATAATAATATAAATTTCTGTTGTCAACGTTACTGTTTCATGTTATTAATCGAAATTCATTTAAAAACGGCAACTCATTATAGTTCTAATGGTAGCTTCAGTTCTTCGTTTTTGTTTTCTCTTTTCATTTTTAAAACAACGCGTTTTTCTTAGAGTTCTCACTTACCACGGTTGACAAGTCTGGTAAAACAATGGAACTTGTGGAAAATAGAAAGCCACCTCAAAGATCAGTTTCCCATTTGGTTTTTATTTGTCACGTATTAGCCTCTGTTTTAAGTGGGAGGATATATATTTTATTATTTTTTAGTGGTAAATTTTAATGATAATCATAAAATTTAGGACCATAATTTTGACAAAGTGTGACATATTCATTTTAGTTTTATAAAAGGGAACAAAAATTCATTCTGGTCGTTGAATTTGGTATCTGGGTTGTCATTTTTGGTGATTGAATATTTGAATATGTTTCCTTGTTCTCCTCTACCGGATTCAAAAAGACGTAGGAAGCTTGGACCTGGTAAATCAACACTGTGTTACTATTTTTTTTTTATTAGTTTATTGAATTAAGTTTTACCAGTTTCACACCATGACCTTATGAAATTTGAATGGGAAACTTATATTAATTATTAAATAAAATTTTAAAATTTAGCTTTAATTTGAATATTTAAAAAACTAAAAACGAGTAATTAAAATTATGAATACTAAAATCTTACATATGTCAAAGTATAGGGACAAAAAAGTTGAGTTAGCCTAAATAAAATAAAATAAAAATTGGTTTAATAACTAGGAAAACCCTAATAACTTAACAGTTGACTTTTGAGCAAAATCAAACAGTAATAACAACTTATACATTATTTAAATGTATATTAGGTTAAAGATTCTCCCCACTTGTCCTGTACTTAATTCGTATGATATATGTGTGTGACAGAAGTTCAATAGCACTTGTACACAAACCATCGTAATATTAATTACAATTCGGTTCATCAGAAAAAATAAAAGAAAATTGGGCATAAACCTCGTCACACTTTATTCCATCCATGCATCCACAGTCTTTTATGTGTTTTGCTTTTGTTTAAAAATAAAATAAAATTGTTAGATGGCAGGATAAGATTATCTGGCTGAAAGGTCGACCAAACTTTTGTTCTCATATTGAATAATAATCTCATAAAATAAAACATGGATTTCTTAGCTGATTATTTTCAAAACTGAATTAACGAGCTGCACAGAATCGAAAAGAAGAAGAAGAATTCATATATTCAATTTGTTTATTGAAACAATTTAACCATATAAAACAGTGATTTTCTTTGCTAAGAAACCTTGCTTAATAAATGACTATGACAAAATGAATAATTTTAATTAGAGTGCATGCTCGTAATTCAACCATACCAATTGAACCAATGTTTAATTACAAGTTCATATAGACACATACTCAGTTGGAGTACACTAGTTTGGCTAATGCCCCTTGATTGTTTTTTCTCACGTTTGTACATTTTGATTTGGAGTAACCTAATCTTAATCATAACATCAGTGAAGGAAATAAAGCACATGACCCAAAATATAAAGCTTATAATAAATTGTGCCCTCCTGAGTAAATATGTATTTAGCAAAAAAAAAAAAAGAAAAGAAAAGATACGTATGCATTAAATACACACATTTAAAGACATGTTGAATTATTAATTTAAAATTTTTGTTAATTTCAGCTTTTAAGATAAAAAATAAATAATTTATAATAATAAAATTTTATTAAAAAAATATTTATTATATTTTTATAATTTCAATACAATAATTATAATTATATATTTTTTTATAATTTTTATTTATTTATAGATACTTAAACTTGATCTTAAAAACTGAAGTTCACAAAATTCTTAATTTAATTTTATTATAAAATATTAACTACGATATTTTATAATAAAACAGTGTATGAGAATAAGAAAGAATCAAATAGTGAACTACCTAGGTAGTAGGAGAAGAATACTTGAATTTATAGGAAATTAATGTTATCAAGATAGGGTTTGACTTTTGGGCAGTGAACTATCTAGGTTGGAGAAAAAATCTTGCAGATCTCTCCAATAAGCTTTATGATCTGTATATTGTAGTGTACATTGTATTTTATTGGTGCCACTTATCTCAAATCTAAATTTATTAGTGGATTTGATTTATCTTTCTCCTAAAGTCCACGGCTACTAATTGATATCGAATCCGCCACGAGTCACTATGGGATTTGCAAAATAAAATAACCCAAACAAAGTAAGCTAAGCTTATCTTAAGGTTTATGTCATTCCCAAGTAAAATTCAATTTGATTAGATGCATGTTTACAAGAAAGACAAAATAATGGTAAAATAAGAACGGGTTATATTGTTTTCTAGTGTTAGAGTTTGATTACGATAAGTTGTATGATAAAAGTTGATCCATTTGAGGTGAAATTTTAACTCTAATTAAAATATAATTAAACTTTATTTTTACAACATTCAAATGGTTTATAAAAATAACAAAGAATCATTGAATTACTGGGATGATCTTGGTATGAATCTATGAGGTTTGTACGTTAGTTTCTGTGAGCTCTTTCTATTTCCATTACACCAAATAAACAAAGAGATAACGAATATGAGTGCATGGTTTGATAGCCTATTCGGTTAATTCACGACACTAACAACATTCTATAAGGATATGGGCGAGGATTTGATTCCTAGTTACATATAATCTTGCCAATAAAACAATTATCACATTGTCTCTTGTTTTTTATAGGACCCCTTGTCTTTTTAATGACATTAATTAACTATCCATCGAACGTCTTCAATATTAATTATTTAAAACCCCATCAGAATCTGAAGCACAAAGTCTAACTTAGTTGCTATTTATATCTATTTTACTAATCAATAGGGCATCCCATTGTATAAAAGTCGTTTGTCCACCGTCAACATAAAAGTATATGTTATGATATTTGAGATTATTCTAAGAGCTTGACCTAAATTATTCTTAAATAACGAGCTACGAACACGGTCTGTTGTGCACTAAGGGACCTTATGCAATTTGCAAGTTACAACTCCATAATAAAGATTCCCACATTCATTGTTTTAAATACATTTAAAAATCAAATTGGTGGACTCTTGTGTGAATACAGCTTTTAAGTTAAACAAATGGCAGTAGGTTAATAGTGATTAATTATTTGTTTATGATTGCTAATGACTCGAATCGCCTCCCAAGGGACTTGTGTAAATCAGATGTCAATTTTGCCATTAAAACTAATAAATTATATTGTTTAGATGTGTTTAGGCTTTTCAACAATTTTAGTTATATATTCGCGATGTCGTTTTGGAGTCATATAATAAAAGTTTGTCTTTGTGATCTGCATGAATTTAAAAAACTACAATAGAGAATTCTACCTGTGGGCGCTCATCGTCAATCTTAACAAATGATAATACATCCAAAAACTCAATTTGATCAATCAAAACCTTGTACACATAGTTTAATCACATTATATTATGACACAGTTCATTATGATTTCTATATAAATGTATATAAATAGTCTTTAATCAATGGAATTTCGTTGGAGTGACAAGCAGCCCAGTATTATTTAAGCAAAATTTCAGATTCAAATTTTTGAGTATGCAAAAAATTTCCGACACGGTCTGATCTAAACCAGATCGGAAACTAAATAAAACAGAATATTTTTATTTTTATTTTTTAGAATATATTGATTTATTGGTTTAAAGAACTGGACTGTTGGGCCTTTACTGTCGTAACTTGTACACATAGGACGTAAGATTAAAACTTGGGCTAAGAAGTTTTAACTAAGACCCTATAGCGTTATCTATTTTGCGAAACAATACATCAATACAATTCGGGCTTCAATAGAGACCCATACCACATTTGGTAGCCCATATAAAGCTGATAATTCTTTTAATTGGGCTGATGGGTCGACTAAAAGACAGAAGATTGCTATTTCCCTTTTGTATTACCCTGAGAAATATTTTCAATCTATTAAAATATTCAATGAATTTATTAATATTTTATATTTTACATTTTTTTTGTTTTTCTATATTTTAGAAATAAAAGTTTGTTATTTAACTTTTTTTATTATTTTATATAAATTTTTAAATTTTGCGAAAATACATTCATATTTATGATTATATTTTTTTAATTAATTTATATTAACTTTCAAAATTTTAATCAATGCCTGGATTAATATTTATAAAATTCATAATATGCAATCTATTATTGACAGTACTTTGAGTCAAAATTCTCAACAACCATTATCTTAAGTTTGTGAAAAAACATACTTTTTCTACTTCAAATTGTAAAGTTAATTATTTTCATCTATTTTTCTCAAATACTTTTTCTTTCACGATATTTTTCTCAACTAAAACTCATATAATTTTTGAATTTGAAGTTTACTTTTAACAATTTTATCTCTTAAATTTATATTTATAATATATATTAATTGTTAATACTTAATCAAATTTTGTTGACACTATATGATAAAAATGTTATTTTAAATAAATTATATTTTAATTTATTAAAATTATTTTGATATGTTTTATTTGTGATTATTGAGTTAAGTTAAGTTAAAATAATTTTAAATTTTATAATTTAAAATAAATTCATTATATATGTATAATTTGTTCTTTTTTAAAATTTTCAACTGATTCAACAAATATTCTAATTTATTATTGTATATTCTTTTAAAAAATTTGTCACTAAATTAATCTTTTTGCTATCACTGATTTTTATAAGTGCTAATTTCAAATTGTATGTGATGCTGAATTTCATTTTGTGTATGCATTAAAACAAAGGCTGGTGGAGTTTATCCTAATGTACGGTATAAGTGTTACCGATGAGTGGCAAAAACCATGATTGGACGAGCAACTTTGAGGTGATGAAGGGTTTGGGGAAAATGAGTGACAGTGATGGAGATTGACACAGGACTTCGTTGGAGAACACATTCGTTTCTCCTAATGGCATCAGTGAATCATAGCGATAGCTAACAGAAGCAAAGTTTATTATAATTTTGGACTTCTAATAAAAAGCTAAACCAAGGTACGTACCAAACATGTGAATTGCGTTTATACATACCATATAATTTCTTGTTGATTTTCTATCAAAGCTATCAGGTTTGTTTTGTGAAATGGGATGAGATCATTGAAGGTGAAGGGTATGGTGGAAATGAGTGATAGTGATGGAGATTGAAAAATGTTGGAGAACATGGTTCCACCGAATGGCAATGTGGGATATAAAATGGAGAGGAATCAATGCAAAAGAAGATATAGGGTGGTGAGAAAACACTTTTTTTCTTTTAATCACTCTGTCTAGGAAACCTATGTAAATATAACATTAATAGAAATTATTCACAAATTTTGAAGTATATCCTTTTTCTTATTTATCTTTTGCTTACGAAAACAAATTATGATATTAAAAAATGTTTAACGAATACAAGGATATGAGAGGGGAATATGAATTGCATTATCGAAGGACTTGTCAGCTAGGGTTAGGCCCATAAGTACATTTAATCCATCATCGTAGACAATGCCATAAAGAGTAGGTCATATATGTACTAGAGTTTAGAAACGTGTTTTAATGTGTAACTTTCTAGATTCAACATTTATAAACATCGATTCTCGTACGTAAAAGAAAGAAAAAATTTTCACGCTATGATTGTCTCTCATTATTATGATCACCAAAATTTTCACTCTTACTTGAATTAGATGAGTGAGTGTTCATAATCATAAGCCAGTAACAATCATGTACTATCTCCCTAACTAATTGTTATGAGCTTTATGTTAGATAAATAGATCACATTTAGAAAAAGTGTTCTCGATATTCAGCATTACTTTTGTAATGTACACTGGATAGAGTTTCAATTTTGTCATCCTTTCATGAAGAGACTTAAATGTATTATAAATGCTAGTTTTCTTAATTAATAAATTTTATGTAAACTAACTATAAATGTTATAAAATTAATTTTAAAAAAATAATTTAAAATTTAATACGTATAATTAAATTTAAAATAAATTTTAATTAATTTTAACTCAATCTAATTCATCCAAGTGACTGATTATGATAAAAACAAAAATACTTTTTTATTAAATTAATAAAAAATTGTGTCGTTTTCTTGCAATTCACGAGGACCCAAATTGTGTACTACATGTGAGTCGGCTGGCTCCGTGTGTTTCTCAACTCATGATAGTTTGTGGCTCCTCTTAGCTGTCTGAGTTTTTCAACTCATGATAGTTTGTGATTCCTTTTATTTGTTCCACTTTAATGATTAGGATCCGGTTATTTTTAAATAAAATTTATGATTCATATTAATACAGTGAAAATAGATTTTTTCTGTATAAATTTAAATTTACACTCAATTTAAATTTTTTATTTAATTTATATTTAATAATCAGTAAAATAATAAATTATTAAATATAAATTAATATAAGAACTTTTAAATTTATACTATTATAAAAATTATTATTTATTACTTTGTTTAATTGGAATATCTAATTTTTATTTTATTTAGTAATGGTATATCTATTCTTTAAATATAATCAAGGACTTGACGTTATCTTTGTATTCACGTTTTTACAATGATTTATCCTGTCTTGGGCGCTTTGAATAATTTACAATAAATAATTATATTTTAACACCCTTGATTGTTTGAGTGGAAGGTTAGTAAAATATAAATAAAAATGTAAAGAGAATAACGATGTAAGAAAAAATAAAATAAAATAAATATAAAGATATAAAAATAATTCTGGAATGTTTTTTTTTTCTTTTGTAGTTTGGGATGAAAAGCGCTAATTGGGTTGGTGCTATGATGATGATCCTATGTATGACACATGATTTTTTTTTTTACATTTGACTTTTAAAATATGTTAAATAATTTCTATCATTATTTAATAATAATAAACACACATATGAATAATTTAAATACGCGGACATTATAAATAATCTTTACACTGTTGCGTGATTATCAATTATCGCATAAACAGAAATTATTTTTTATAATAATTAATATAAAAATCATATTTATGATATATTTTAATTATTTAATAATGATAAATTTATATAATATACTAAAATTAAACTCTAGTGACAATTTTAACATAATATGATATTATCAATAAACGATGGTGTGCACTATTTTTTATGAAATTAGCTGTGAGAAAGAGAACAGAGGAGCAGCAACAAAAGAGGGGGAAAAGAAGATAGTCCGCTACTACAATAGCGGGAAACGAGGAGTGGGAGCTAAACAAAACCTATTTTCTGGTGCGTTACCACGAGTGGGACCTACTTAATAAATGTAAAATTTTGAGATATAAATAAGTAATTGGTCCCAATAAATATTTTTTAAAAATTATTTTGTAATTTTTGTAATAACTATTACTGTATAATTAAAATAAAATTAGTATTCTACTTAGCAAATACAATTTGAAACACCGTTTAGTCATACAGCTTTTAGATAACAATAAAGAACATTTTTTAAAAAGTTTTACAAGACTAAATCTATAAATATTTATAAAGATTAATTTAAAAAAATATGTTTTTAAAAATTATGTATTTATTTAAGTCAAACTTTTTATTATATACCAAACAATATATATATATATATATATGTTGCATTAAATAAATTTTTCAATAAATTAAATGTTTATAATTTATTGTTTTATATTCAAACTGTTAAACCAATAAATATATTTCAAATCATAAAAAATTAAAATATAGAATAAAAAATAATTATCAGTCAGTTATAAATAATTTTATAAAAATGTTTTGTAAGATTATTTTATTTAAATAATTTTATAGTAGTAGTGTAATAATTATATTTATTTGTAATAAATAATTAAGTTACATAAAATTATTTCTAATTAGAGTTACATTATTTAATAACTCTTAAAAATATTAATTTTTGTCAATTCAATTGTTGAATAAGATTATGTTTGTATTCATCATCTATATTAATTTTTAAAAAATCAAATATTTATTTATATATAATTTTATAATCAATGTTTATTTATTTGAAAAATTATATATGAGATATTAAAATAAATTTGTTCAATTAATTAGTTTTTATATCATAAGAGTATTTTATTTCAAAGGTAAAACAGTCATGAAGCTAATCTCTTTTATTTTTAGCAACATGTATATTTTAGAATTAAAATTAATTAAAAATAATGTGTACACTGCACTCTCTCTTATTTATTTTATTTTATTTTTTACTCACATGTTTGTTAGTTTTGTTTTAAACTTTGAATTAAAGTTATTATTTAATTTTTTATTATTTTATATAAATTTTTCTAATTTAAATATTTATTTTTATATTTATAATTACTTTTTTAATTTAAAATTTACTTAAAAAATTTTATCTCATAAAATTTATTATTATTAATATTTAATTATTTTAAATGATATGGTAAAAATATTATTTCTAAAGTGTTTAATTTTATTAATATTTATCATTTTGGTATATAATATTTATAGTTATTGAGTTAAGCTAAAATATTTTTAAGTTATTGTTTAAAACAATTTTATTGTTCATAAAATTATTTTTAAAATATAAAATGTTATGTGCATAACAAGGTTATTAAAATAGTTGTTAATTGTTTTCTACTTTATGCTTTTTTAAACTTGATTATTTTGAAAAAGGATTGATTTAACAATTTAATTTATGAAATTTAATATTAATAAAGAATTATTAAACGTAAACTCTTGTCATAATTACTCATGAAGTAATTTAATTCTTACTTATATATATATCGTAATTAAATAATATATATTTCATTTGAAGAAAAGAAAAGGAAAGAGTATATAAAATAAAAGTCAAAACCACAATTTTAAATAAAAGATAAAAACTTGTTTTTTTTTTAGCTCCATAATATAATCTGTTGTGCCTTGCCAATAACCAGACGCATCCTACCTGGAGCAAGATTTTGAAGTGATAGTTCCTGCCTCAGAACTTGGAACATATTCAGAGGATCTAGAAAAACATAAATATATACACTTTTGTATTTGATTAAGGTTATTTAATCTGGTTAGCCGAACGACAGTATATTTGAAAGTTGCTATTATTTTTCATTTATAATTACTGCATTAGTAACATTATTACAATCTTCATGAAGCACATGAATTATGAACACCCAAACCCAATGAGAATACTACCTAAAAGTTTAATCTGACGTAGAACTGCTTTTGGGAACATGCCAAAAGGCTACATCATGACACCGGAAAACAGAAACAAACACATGGTGACAGCCAAGGAAATAGACAGCTATATCTTAGATGTTATCTGAAACCTTCGAATCCTGAATGGTTTGATATCAACCCCTTTTGTTTCTCCATCCACCGCAATCTCCGTCAAAATCCTCCCAATGACAGGAGCCATCTTGAACCCATGACCCGAAAACCCACCTCCAATAACCACATCATTCTGAAACTCTCCACCCAAAAAATCAATGACAAAATCTTCATCGGGTGTCATTGAATACATGCAAGACTGTTTCACCACTGGCGCACTTGAATCAACCATCCCACTGAACCTCTTTTGAATCCACTCTTTCAACTCATTCATCATAATCCCTGGGCCCCACGGCCTCTTATCCGGGTCACACGGGTCTCCCCCATGCACAGCAACCTTAATCAACCCCGGAAACTCCAACGTTGGTGTTCCATACACGAAAGCCTTCCCAGGACTCGCGAACGTTGGAAAACCGCTCCCAATCGCGAATTTCCCTTCATGCCCCTCCTTTATCCTCCAATAATACACGTGAGTCTCCAGGGGCTTTATCGGCAGTTCAACCCCGCTAACCGTTTTAACTAACTTGCTCACCCACCCGCCCGCAGTCACCACGCACTTCTTACCGCTGAACTTTTCACCGCTCCCCGTGAAAACCACCACACCCCCTTCCTTTTTCTTTATGTCAGTTACCTCTGCGTTGTCCCTCAACACGGCACCGTATTTGTACGCTAGCGCTTGAAACATGGCCACGGCTTTTGTGGGCTTTATGACGCCACCATGCTCGTTCGCCAGGCCCACCCAATCCTCGGGTATGTCGATGCTGCCCGAGAATTTCTCCGCAACCTGGTCGCGGTTAAGGAGTTGAAAGGGGATGCGGTGTTTCTGGCAGTAGTGGACGAGAGAACGCAACTCGGGGAGGTCGCCTTGGCCCATGTCCAGGTGATGGGCCTCAAAGTAGACCTGGTAACCCACTTGGGCTTGAGCTTCTTTCCAGAGTTTGTAAGACTCGTTGACTAAAGGGTAATAATGATGTTGGGGATAAGTGAGACGAATGGTGCGAGATTCACCATGGGAGGAACCACGGTGGTGGAGAAAGTCGAATTGTTCCAGAAGAAGGGTCCTTAGGCCGCGTTTGGCTGCTTGGTAGGCTGTGGCGCTTCCCATGACGCCAGCTCCTACAATTATCACGTCGAACTGGGAATCCTCCATTTTTGTCAGTCTGGCACAGACACTGTCTCTCTCAGTTTAAAAGTTTGTGCAGTGTGTTTTGAGGCGATGTCGATGTTTAACGTACTGTCCAAATATATAGAGGGAGAATCTCACCAGTGATTTCACCTTCGTCCTTATCTTTTTTTTCACACTCGTTTCTCTGTCACTCTAATGTATCGTGTTTCGTTTCGTGACGGACAAATACAGAGTGTTTGGTAGCGAGAGCAATTGGAAAAGGAGAAATCGTGATTTACGATGCGTACGATTTTATAATTTTTTAATATTTTTCTTTTATGTGTTATTAATTATATTCCCATTCTCAACGCGTATTTAAAGATACATAATAAAAAAAATTATGTTATATAAATTTAACAGTTAATATTATTAATGATCGAATCAGTGATATACTTTAGTTTTTATTATTGATCTTTAAATATGTGTTAAAAAAATCTTAGTTTATTATATTATTAATGGTAATCATTAATTACTATATTATGATAAGTATGTATTTAGTAAAAATATTAAATTACTTATTTAGTACTTAAAATATTACTTGATATTGATCTAATTATAAAAAAGTTAAGAAATATATAGGATGAAATAAATTATTAAAATAAATATAAAATATAAAATATATCATCTAACACTTTTAGTAAATGACCTTTAATGGTATTTATATTTTTATAGCAGTGAAAAAATTAAGAAAAAACTACAAACAAATATTTAAATAACTTCTAAAATTTAACTGAGGCAAACAATAATTTTATTAGATCAAATATTGATTTACGGAAGCGTCATATTTTATAAGTCAATCAGTAACAAAATATCCTCAAGAAGAGGTATTCTAAATAGCGTTATATTATTAAATTGTTGTATTAATTTTTTAATTTATATTGAGTATGAGTTATTAAAATAATTTAAAACTTAGTTAAATAAAGAGATATTAAATTTTTTATTTAGTATTGTCAATTTATTCAATATTGACATAATTAGTGAAAAATGTAAGATTCTCAATTTTGTTTTGATCTAATTTATAATTTTTTTATTTTTATCTATCTACTTATAAAATGATTTAAAATATTTTTTATGAAAAATTTGTTAAATTTGTTAAAAATGACTGCTCATCTCTTCTTACCTTTTATGAATTCCAATAAAAATACAGTATATTTTAATTACATTTTTTTATGTTTCCTTTTCTTTCATTTTTTTTCCTTCTTACCCCTAATTCATGCTTTCAGTACTTATTTGTTTCTTTTATTCCTTTTAAGCTCTAACAAAAGACTAAGAGTGACTTCGAGCTTCTGTCTTTAAAAAAAAAAATTATTTCTAAAAGTATAAATAAAATAAAATTTATTTATTAACATAAATTTATTTTTATTTTCTTTTTAAACATAATTATTTTTTAATATTATTTTAAAAATAATTTAAAAAAATTTAAAAATGAAAATGTTTTTATAATTTTTATAACAAGAAAAAAAATACTAAAGTTGGAGGTGAAAATGAGAGAAATGGAAAAAAAAAAAAAACACGATGTAGAATGAGAAGAATGGCAATTAACAATTTGTGGCAAATAAGTAAATAACAAAGAGTAGTTGTCATCAATATGAATACTTACATGCAAATTTTTTTTCCTTTCTTTGGTGTCTTTTTTTTTTTTTGGCTATAAATATACATTATTAATTACCAATAAAAAAGCTTCAAATCATTTTATTTCTATTTTTAATTTTAAGCAGTAGTGTTCAAGAGAGAAAAAAAAAAGATAGAGTGTAACTAAAACAAAATTAAAGATTAAAATACCACTTTGTTAGTTTAACAAAAAATATTATAAAATTAAGTACAAATTGTTGACAAATTTTGATTTTTTTATAATTTGTGATTTATTTAAAAAATGTCATTAATACTTTTGAAAATTTTATAACCTTTTGTTATTCCATCAATATTTACACTAACAATTTCTATAAGTGATTTTTGAATTTTATATTTTTGTAATATTTTTTAAAATGCAGTATTTTCCTATATATTGTTTTTAAATCTCATATGTATAAAATAATATTCATAAGCAGTCTGACATATATGTTTTTCTTTGCGTCGGATTCCAATATTCCATCGTCATTTGTGTTGGTTTTCATTTTTTCCTTCTTGTCTCATGTTAGATTTATATTCTCCCACTAATTGTTGATTTCAAAGTTAAAAGGTCTTGCCTTTATTTTTACCGTCACAAAACAAATTGCATTGCTCCGCCATATCTGAATCTTTGGTAGATAAACGAAAGAACTGAGTTTTGCAACTGAGCCACGAGGACAGTGGGATCATGATTATGACTTTAGACAAAGATGTCCAACTTGATTGACACATAAAAAGTGCAAATAAATTAATATATATAATTAACCATCATGTATGCATAAGCCTACGTATATTACATTTAAAAGTAAAATAATTATTGGAGATTATTTTATGGACTGTAATATCAACTTTAAAGATTCAACTTAAAAAGTTGAGAGGAACGGTGCAAAAGCCAAAAGAAGGGACGGACCACAATATCTATTACCAATCGACAGCGTACATACCACAACCAGACCTTGCTTTGTCACTTTCATGCCCCATCATAACCTATGCAATATGATTTTGTGGGTTAGGTACAGAACCCGCTTCGACTTCCCACATTACCTATTGATTCAATGCATGCTTGCAAAATCTTGAAAATTATGTAAATGTACACTTACCTGTGTTAAAATATATCCATAAAATATATATAATTTAAATTCTAAACTACATAAAATTTAAATTTCAAAGTACATGTCCATAAAATATTTAAATCACCATGCAGCATAGGTGACTATAAGCCACGTTTATTACGTTTGGATCTAATAAGGTGACTTCCTCTTGCACAACGATGATATACAATTTGTCATAAAGGTTTGCATTATACATGTTCCTCCCCGTGCTAACTTTGGTCATGCATGTACGAGTCATCTGCTTCTTGCTGTTGGACATTCGTCTGATGGTCCTCCTCTTCCTTGTCCTCCTTTGGTGAACCATTTAAGGAGGGAGTTTGGATATGTGTTGGTGATGGTCGATATAAATTATCTGGTGGTGGCATAAATCTGGTTGTACCAGTTGAATTTAGCCAAGCCATAACCTTAGCATCTGACATGAAAGATGTACTGAAAGATATATATTAAGCAATATCACTTTGGGCTAGACTTGTGACAAAATGTTGCATAGGACTTGGAGTAAGAAAAGAGTTTGACATGAACCAATGACTAGGGCCTGCCATAAATTGTTGGCTGGGGGTTATGCATAGTTGGTTAGGGTCCAGCATGAACTGGTGCTGAGAAGGGCCAGCCATGTACTGCTGTTGGCTAGGTCCTAATATGAAGTGTTGATTGGAGTATACGAGTGTTGGTTGTACAATTAGATTTGCATTAGGTTATACATCGTGTGTTGGGAGGTCGGCTAGTATATGTCCCTCATCATAGTATTGGCGTTTACTAGCACATGTATTTGCACGCAAACAACGTATAAAAGAGCGTCTATTTGGAACGTTAGGTGCTAGGGGGCATGTAGTGGTACACCATCAGGTAAGTCCCTAAGTTCTGCATCCTTAGGGCTCCATCCAACGACAAAAATCTATTAGCGACTGACAAGTACCACTGAAAATACTCGATAGAGAGACCATCATCATTAGCTAGAGGATATTGAATTCGTCGCTCCCTACATGCCTCCCATGTAGTATCCCATGTCACATGATAATTAAGCCACCATATATCTAGATCACCCTTCTATCCTTAGTGTGCAATCGATCAATATTTATTCTGTTGATTGGTATGTTTTGTACTCCACCAAATTGTCGAACTACACAATTAACAGGGTGTCAATCAATCACAGTAAACTGTATAAGAGCAGTCACATATGCCCAAACATCAATCTCATCATACACAAAAGGAGGTGTAATGTTCCTGACCTCATTGTTGTTGTAAGGCGTCCACCTAAATTGAAATAATCAATAACAAATATTAGACTAATAAATAAAATCATTCAAAACAAAAGTTAATAACATACACCTTATTTGAATTTACCCAAGTAATGCCAATTATCTGTGTTTGATCTCGTCAATAACCTATAACTTTTTCACTTGAAATGAGCATGAATATTTTTTACTTGCAAATTTAACATATATAAATAACAAAAAAAAATATTGATAAATATATATACCTCAATGCTAGTAGAAAAGTGAGAAGATAATGATGTTTAGAGGCTAACTGAGGTATTCTATATCATGCCCAAGATTATAGAAGAGGCATACAACCTGCAATTTCAGTGGCATTGTATTTCACTACACGATAAAACTCACGATAAAGGGATGCTAGAATAGCAGAACTCCAATTATAGTTTGAAATCTCAGTAAAATCAGTTAAAAAAGGTAGCCATTTCATATGAACCCTAATTCTTGATTTATTTGGAAACAATACTCAATCCAATAAAACCATTATGTACGCTCTAGTTTAATAGATAATAGTTTGTCCATCAGCATTATGAGGTAATGCTCTAAATATATATGTGAATCATTGTAGATTTATGAAAAATTCTCTTATGTTTCTCTCATCAGTAACTATTGCAAGTAAATCTTCACACAATGCTGATATATTTCGATCATAGAATTTTTTTCACGCTCCAATACAACCACTCACAAGGACCCCATCCACGTATAAGCCTAGCCGAAATACAACATTATCCAAAGTTATCGTACATTCTCCGTATGGAAGATGAAATATGTGTGACTCAGGTCTCCAACATTCTACAGGTATACTTATGAGTGTCCTATCATAATCAAATACTGAGACCATCTATGTAACATGCCAAAAATTAATTTTCCTAAGAAATGGTTCCATTCTTTAATTTGGAGCGACCATCATATTATAATGCTTACTTTTTAAAATTTGAGATTCATGTACAATAATAAAATAATATATACAAAATTATTATAATTTATAAGTTACTACAATACAAAACTAATTTATCATAATAATTAAAAATGTACAATAGAATTTTAATTTACATTCCTTAATATAATAATTAACATTTACATATCTTTCCAAATATATAATTACACAATTAACAATACATTAAATTAAATAAAAAAATTAATTATAATTTAAATAAATATATTTAAAATTTAATTTACTTGTGTGTTAAGTTTGCTTGCAATATGATCAATAAAATTAAGCCAATATAGATCGTTATTCATCTTCTTCTGCTGTATTTGCTTTTATACGATCTTACTCTCTCTAGTCTCTGTTCTCTATGGTGTTAAGAGGCTAGATAATATATAAAGTAGTTGATTATACTCATTTCCAGAATTACATTGAAGTCAATTTTAATCGAATTTCATTTACCATGCAAATAATCGACTTCTTTGAACTGAAAAATAAACAAATGAAAGTCGACTTTAATCAATTTCTTTGGAACACGAAAGTTGACTGTAATCGACTTCTTTATAGCAGGAAAGTCGACTTTAATTGACTTCTTTGGAGCAGGAATGACGAAAATGGGAGTCGGCTTCAATCGATTTTTGCAATGGAGTTTTGTTGGAAAACTTGTTTTCAATCGACTTTACTATATCAGATTTAGGACATTTGTGTAAAATTTTTTTTTTTGAAGAACATGTGTAATTTTATATTCAAAATTTTTTATTTATGTAAAAAAGCCTTAATTTGATTCCTTGATAATTTTTTGAGTTAGTCACCTCCTTTTTGTGTTGCTCTTGGGTTGGTTCTACTTAATAATTTTAGTTTGTATCTACTAAAAACATCCTTTTAATTGAAATCTTAAAGCCAAATTGTTAGATTTTGGCCGAGCAACGAACACCTGCAATTTAGTTTTGTATTAGTGATTGTTTAGGGGCAAGATTATGCATATCAGTAGTATTAGCTGTTCATTTTCATCGGAAGATAAAACAAATAGTTATGTACTGATTGGTGTAAACTAAAAGGAGATCATTTAATCATATAGAACTTAAAATAGAAGCATTTAATCACACTTAAGGTCTTAAAAGTTATGATTTTCAATACATGAAATGGAGGAATAAAACATTACCTTCAAGGAACTTTATTGAAATTAATAAGTTGGTAGATATCCGTTGTTGCTTGGTAGATATTATAGGTTTCGTTTCAATTTTACAATTGATTTGTATACACTAACCACCTTGGCATCATTTGTCAAATATTGCTATTAAGGAGCATAATTAAACACGCACCTATGTGAATCATATGTAGATGATGAAATGAAGGTCAGTCTTCTAAGAAGAGAAAGCCAACTAGAACACTATATTAGTAAATTGTTATTACAATGAAAATGAAAATATTAGTATAATCATAATTTTATACATATCTCATGAGAAGAAAGTGGTCGTGTAAGTTTTTCATTTAAGCCATTATTTCCAATGCAAAGAAAAGAAAAGCCAATAGCTAAGAAGAGGAAGGAAAGTGATTAAGACACCATTGACAATTTGATCACATGAATTTTCAAACGTAAAATTCTATATTCTATTCTATATATGGTTTAACCAACTTTTAAAATAATGTTACTTCCAAATCCATAAATGTGTTTGGATATGAATAAAACAAAAGTGCGATCAATTTAATACGTATTAGAGATACATTGTTCATTTTATAGATAGATAGACATGATTTGCAAGTTTTTCAATAATGGCATTGTCATCATAAAAAAAAAGAGAGGCTTTTATCTCAAGATTATAAAACCCTGATTAATATTAAGATGGGAAACATAAAAGATAAGATAGGACAGTGAGTTCTATAAAATTCAAAACTTATTAAACAATTTTATTTAACAAAAAAACAAACATTAAACTTTTGTAGAGTTATTTTCTTTTAACAAGACTCTGTCTTGTTGTTCCTCATCTTGTTATAAAGTTTCTTCAGTTTTAGCACAACGTCATTAAGACATGTCGAATTAAGGTATTATTATTTTTAATTTATAACAATAAAAATAATACCTGCAATAATAATAATTCTTATATATTATAAATAAATTTATTTTATTTTAAAAATAAAAAATTTACTAGAGTTATTTTCTTTTCTAGTTAGTCATGTATATTTTTCAAAATTAAAAATTATGGTTTGTTAACTATTATTTTTCTATTTTTTTAATTAATTTCATTTAAAATTGAACAATAAAAATTATTTAACTTTTTCTATTACTTTATATACATTTTAATTTGTAAAATAGTTATCTTTACATTTATAATTTTTTTTATATTTTGTAATTATATGATTAAATTAAAATAAATTTCTATAAAAATTTATTATGAAAAATAAATTTATTATATATATAATTATTTTAATTTATTTAAAAATAATAATATAATTATATATTTATTTATTTATTTTAAAATGAAATACGAATACACCGACCGTCTATTAACGGGGGTTATTTTGGGCACTAAAGTATTAAATACGACAAAAAAATTTATAAGGTCGAAGGCGAAAAGATGGTCGTGTTATTGTGCTGGAGTTGTTCACAGTCTGCTAGAAAGAAAGAAACACTGAACGGGTTGCTAGGTTTCTTCTTTACCTTCTGATTTCTCTTCTATTCTCGTTCACTTTTCTTATGATTCTTCTATTCGGCTATCCTTGTTTTCATTCATTCTTTCAAAGATTTGCTTTCCTCCATTCAATTTCTAAGCGTCCTTTTTATTCCCCTAAATTCATTTTCTTCTTTTTTTTCTCCGCTGGAATTCTAGGGCTTTTCGTTTTCCTTTTCACTCCTTCAAGACAAATTAAGGCCACTTTGTATGAAAATAATGAAGTAAATTTATTTAATTTGTGTTCTTTTTTGACTGGTAGGTTCTTAATTTCTTCGCGAAAGGCTGAAAAGATGACTCGCGTGTATGTTGGTAACCTGGATTCACGAGTTACCGAGAGAGATCTTGAAGATGAGTTCCATGTTTTCGGAGTTATACGGAGGTAGGGGAAGCATTACTTCATAATTTCGTTTTTTCAAGATTTATTTGTATAAATTTAAGGAAAGAATGATAATCTTGAACAATTACTTTCTGTGTGCTAATAGTAATACTTCACATAGAATGTGTCTTTCTCTAAAAATGCCAACATTTTTGTTTCTTGTCAAGGATTGGAGTCATAAAATATGAAAAAGGCTATGTTTGGGCCTAAATGTGTTTTTTTTTTCTCCCTCTCCCTCCAGTATTGTCGTGAAAAATGAAGAAGAAAAAATAGAATTTATAATTGCTTGCTAGTGTCGCATGGGAATTTATATCTTAATTGTCTCTTTCATTACGTTAACTTTGTCTTATGGCTCTGCTCAATTTGATAGAGAAAAGTCAGAAAACTGAATGTGCTTAACAGAGATCAGCATGGAAAATTAATTTACTGATTCTCTATAATTCTGGGAGGGATGTTGATTAGCTTTCTGGGCCTGAAGTTAGCAGCTCTGGACTGCAGTGAATTAGGTCCTCAAGCAGTGTCTTATTTCTTTAATGAATTTTCGACTTGTCAACTTTTCTGTTTTCGTAACCAGTTTAAAATTTAGGGAAATTTTGAATTTAATTTGTGGATTCTTACTTTTACACTGTATTCTTTACACTTCATACTGCTTTAGAGTTAGATGATAATTTAATTCCATATATGTTATTTGTGTAGCGTATGGGTTGCAAGGAGACCTCCTGGTTATGCTTTTATTGACTTTGATGATCGCAGAGATGCACAAGATGCCATTCGTGAATTAGATGGTATGTTTAGAAGCATTTTTGAAATGTAGTAAAATGTCATTATTTGTTTACCATTTTTTTGAAGTAATTGATGTTTTTTTATTGATAATGTGTTGTTGTTTCCCCCTCTTTCCTATGAGCATGGAGATGCCCCTTTGTTCTACTTTTGCATTGTCTTATGCCAGCAGACCTGCAGTATTGGTTCTTTTGTTTGGGTTCGACAAAGTTTGCTGGTTTGTATGGTTTGACTACATTTAAAGAGAATTAAGAATTTGAATGGTGGAATGCAATGTTTTGGAGTGTTATGGCAAACTGCACATCTATGGCATAAGGCATTTGTTATAGGTTCCTATGAGCATAAATAGCATGGTATTTTAAGTGCATCTTGTCTATGTGTTTTTCAAATAACATGTGTTTCCCGTTAGAGAATTTAAATTTCTAAACTGGCTTTACATTCTGCTAATCATTGTATTTTCTGTTTTTCTCCTTGATGAAATGAACAGTAAAGATTAATCTGTTTAACAGGTTACCAAATTACCTTTTTAATACTTTTGTTTTGGAAATTATCTTCAATGTGTTAATTTTTTTGGTATATTTTATTAGATATATTTTCACATGTTCTTTCACACTACTCAATGGCAAGCCACTTGGGTTGCTTAATTTTTCCCTTTTTTTTTACTGTTTCTTTGCTTTTTCTCTTCCACGGGGCAGGTAAGAATGGTTGGAGGGTAGAGCTTTCTCACAACTCTAGAGGAGGAGGAGGAGGAGGAGGAGGAGGTGGTGGTCGTGGTCGGTCTGGTGGTGGTTCTGATTTGAAATGTTATGAGTGTGGTGAACCTGGTCATTTTGCTCGAGAGTGTCGCTTGCGTGGTGGTTCTGGAAGACGTCGGAGCCGCAGTCCACCTCGATACCGCAGGAGCCCCAGTTACGGGCGAAGGTGAATTGGCTTACTTTGATGCTGTAGGCATTTGTTTAGTCAGTTGTAAGGTTCTGAAAACAGAATGCATGATATATATTTATATCGGATTTTGTTAATCTCAGTCCTTAAGACTGACTTCAAACATCTAAAAGTGGTAATTTTTTATTAAGAAACACATTCATTGCATTAAAGTTATAAAAATAGAATAAGTATTTTTTAAATAAAATCTTACTATTGATGATTCATTGGTTTCTTAAACCTCAGTTGTTATATATTATATGATTAGGCAGTATAACTTGCTGGTTGAGTCACTTACTTTTGTAACAGTGTCACCTTTTAGGGATAGTTACACTGACTGACCTCCCCAGGTTAGTGATAATTACACCTGCACCCTGTTTGATTCTGAATTAAATTAAACCCCTTATTTATGTATTATTCTTAAGCATGAGCACCCTTTATTTTTTTTAAAATTACACATGCCTCCCTTATTTTTATATCAGAACCATTTGCATTGTACCCTTAAAAGTAATAAAGCAAGGGTCGTGTAAGGGAGGCAGGTGTAGTTCCTGTAAAAAGGGCATAACGATCTCTAACCTTTGGGGAGGTCCATGTAATTATCCCTAGTTTTTATTATGGTTTAAAATTAATTCTCCTTTATCAGATAAATCTGAAATGTAATAAAAAAATAGAAAGCATCTATGGTGATAGCAATTGTTAATTAAATGTTTAAAAGTGTTGCAATTTCTTTGATATATTTTGCTTCACCACTTTAATGAATATTAACCAGGAGTTACAGTCCGCGTAGGCGGTCCCCTAAGCGCCGCAGTTTGTCACCTCGTGGACGCAGCTATAGCAGGTCACCTCCTTACAGGGGGCGTGAGGAGTTAACATATGCAAATGGGTTAGGTTTCTTTTCTCTGCTAGAATTTATCTTCATATCACTTCATGGTTCAGTTTTATACCTTTATTTTCTTTTAAATTTTGATGGATGTGTTAGGGGTCTTCTAGTTACTGTTTCTTGTAGACGTTCATAAGATAGTTTGCTTGAGTTTTACTCAAAAAGTTATATTGCTCGTGTCTAATTTGTGTTGAAGCAAACTGTTATTAAGTTGCAAAAAGGAGCATTATACTCTAGTTAATTTCCCTCTGCACTCCTTTTGTTTTTATTTACAAAATTTTTGAGGTGCCCCCAATTTGGGGCATTTTGTGTTTATAAGCCGGCTGTACAGAAGAATGACAAATAAACCTGATGCCCAATATACTGCTTTTTTTGGTTGAAACGCTTATCTCAAATTTCATGCCTTGAGTTTTTAATTTGCAATTTGTAGTTACTATATATTTGGCTGACATATGATGTTTGAAAATGTGCAGAAACGGCATAAGAGATTGACAGTGAAGCAGAAATTGATTTGCAAGAGTTGGTAGCTGTGATTATTAAGAGGGATAATGAAATTTTGTTAATCTAGTGTGCATCAACTGCAGTACGCATCTGTTTTATTGGACAATGCCCTGAGCTTCTACTCTAGGATTGCTTTAGTTACTTGATTTCATGGCTTGTGTTCGATTATCTATGCAGAATTCTTGTAGTTTCGTGACAGGTAATAGTCTTTTTAAGGTAGTTACTATTAGTTTGCCAAAAGAGTTCCAAATCTTGCTAAAATATATCCTTTTCTTCTGTGTTGAGGTGTCTTCTGGTACTGCTTCCTTGGTTTTATGCTTCTGCATTTGCTGGGTTATCTTCCCTGGCTGCCCTTATTTTTGAATGGTTGTTAGTTCCAGCCGGCTACACGCTTCTGTTTCATTGAGTCTCGCCCCTTGTGATGTGCACACCTCAAACTCTAATGGCATATATTTTTATTAACTTAAAAGGGGTTGACTGCATCAAATACTTCTGGCAGGTAACTTATATCTGTTCTACAGAAGTTGGGCTTATGGGTTTTTCCTATGCATGTGAAGTAAAAATATAGATCATCGTAATGAAAAGTTAAAGTGATTTTAATGGGTAAGTAAAAGCTGATGCTTTTTTTTTTTTAACAGCCATATGACCCTCTCCCCTTCTTACATCAATTAAAAAAATATAAAGAAATCGTCGTCTCATGTCTATTCAACACATATTTCCTAATACTAGATCATGAATTTTATATTTTTAACAAGAAAACCCATTTCTAGTCGTTGAAATTGCAACTGTTGATTACTTTTAATCCTTGACTTTTCAAAATTTTCATTTTAGTTTCTATACAAAGTTAGAGACTAAAGTAACTCATGTATATACGATCTCAAGGACTTTAATGAGGATTTATATTATTTAACTAAACACCTATTTCATGAGAAATAGCAGCAAGGTTGATTATGCTTTTAAATTTAGGACAGAACTTGAGTGCTGTCTTACTGTTCATCAATTAAAATAATGATTTTATCCCACTAATATACGATAAAATAAGAATTTTAAAAGTGGTACTTAAATTTTAATTGGTAAACAATATTTAAATTTTGTATTTAAATTTAACATCAATTTGTTTGATTTGACATTGGAATTTAGTTCCCTGCATCCCGAATTTAAATACTTACGGTTACCTGACTTCTTTGATTATTTGGTTAGCTAGCACTGCCAGAGTTATGTGATTATTTTTGCTTGAAGAGTTCGTCCGGTGAAGAGGAGATATAGTTGCACGCTTGGTTTATTGTTAGAAGTGTATTCAGCAACTGGTTTTGGTTCTTTAAGCTGAATGACACGACCTAACAAAAATGATGGTTAACTTGGTTTTTATTTAGTTGTTTACATTGGATACTGTTGACTAGGAAGGTGCTCTGCGTTAAGAAAAAGCTCGATGTGGCTGACTTATGGCAAAAGTCTGTGCCTTTGTGGACCTATTAACAGTTCTTTTGTCTCGTTTCATTTTTTCTGTCGTTATATTTCCAAGTAAGCGATTACTTACTCCCATGTTTTTCAATAATTATGGAAAAAGAAATGAGTGGATGAGATGAATGTTAGCAGAAAAAAAAGAGATGACATGTAATATTGCAATTAGGTAGTGACAGCTTCCGCTAATCACTCTTCATTTGATGCAGCTACCTTTATTTCTGCCCGCATTTGATGCAGCTATGAGCATCTTCTTTGCTGTTTAAAAAGTTCTTTAAATTATATTTTATTGGATTTTATATAGATTATACAATAATATTTTTTATTAATTTCAATCACTTTTAACTTTTATTATGATTTTTTTATTTTTTATTTAAAAATGATATTAAGAGTTCTCTCTTTTTTTTAAAAAAAAGAAGCAATAGTTGCTTAAAGAAGAAACAGTTTTTTTTTTAAATTTAAAATGACAATTCATTAATTATCAATTATGAAATAAAATAAACAACTATTTCTTATATAAAAAATTAAGTTAAGCAATTTTTACTGGAGATGTTCTCATAGAAGTATCTCTGTGGAAATTCCTTCTATCAGTGTACATAAGAATAAGTTTAAGTAACATTGAATATAAATTTAGTATAATTTTGTTAATTATTAATTTAATTGTTGAATTTAATTTTTATGAACTAAATTAGGTTAGTAAAATTTTCAAAATCTTCAAAGATCTGAATTTGGATTTGATCATGTTTGATCATATTTGAAAAGATTAACCTCTCGCTCTAGACAAATTAAAAAGAAATTGCTATTTAATGTTTTTCAAGTTTCAAAATGTAGTCTGAAAAATCATCAAAGCAGAGTTTTCAAAAAAATAAAAAATGCCTTCAACCCTTTTTAAAAGCTTATCAAACCTGTATGTAATTTTTTGAACAAGTGCTTTTTTGTTCGGCAAAAGACAAAGGTAACTTTTTTCTAAAATAAGAAGGCTTAACCAAATGCACGATGATAAAGTATAACGAAATTTTAAATTGAAAATGTATCTAGTTTAACTCTAAATATCGAAAACTAAAGAAACCAGATTATTTTCAAGTGTAAAAGAATATTTTTGAATTTTTAATCTGAAATATATAATAATTTTAATTCATGAAACTATATTTTAAAATAAATATATTCTTGCATTTGTACTAATACAGACTATAGCTTTCAAAAAAATCTTAATAGATCAACATTACTGATTAATTGGTACAATGCGTGTCAGCTCCCATTAATGCGTGGTACGATGTCTACATTCTTTTTGTCACATCTAAGCATTTCACCACTATCATCAACCACAAAGTCATACAAATGCCCTTTTATAGTTGAGGATAACACGCATTAATATAATTTCACTCGACATCTTTAAGGCAAAAAAGAGGGAGACAACACTAGTTTGATTGAAAGAAAGGGAATTCCACTATAATATATATATATGTGTGTATACATTATTAAAATATAATTGATTAAGTTAAATAAAAAATGTCTTTTTCTTTAATATGACCATATTATATATGTTACTCAATAACATGAAAAAATTAAAATACGAAATAATGAGTTCAGCCCTGTTACTTAGAGATAAAAGATAATAGATGAATGTGAATTAATAGTGCAACATTATCATCTATATTTTTTTACCTATACTTGTTTAGTTGTCATGATTTCTGTTTCCCAATAAGAAGTGATTGACGCTTTTTCTAATGGAAGAAAATTCAAGAATTTGGTGCACCATTATATGAAATAGGATAATGCTAAGGGTCACAATAGTAGTTATACTTAACTTGATCTACTAAAGAAGGACTATCACAAATAAACAAATCAAAGACTTGACCCTCTACTCGTACTAATCGAATCAACACGTTGGCTTCTCCTTTGTTTCTCTATGTAGGGAGCATTCGGAAAAGTTTCAGCAGTTTTCTTTTTTTTTAATTTCACTAAATTTAACGGAAAAGTTTACCAAACAAACTCGTTTTTACCCTATTAAGTTCTCTAACTTGGCAATTATTTGCGAAACTTTTTCATTAACCTTGGCAGGTTTATATTATATTTGTGTTGATTAGTTTCTTGCACGTCTAGCTAGCACGTTGGTGACATTGGTGCCGTTGATTGAGGTTTAGCAAAAGCCCAGTGGGAAAGATTCCATTACGATATCATTAAGATTCCGGACCCTCTCAACCATATTTGATTATTTTACTCCATTTGTCTGATATCGTTTTTAAACAAGGAAGATAATTTGTAAGTTTAAGAGCGTTTCCTATATACGTCTAAACCTGATGAGTAAAATTATGTTGGTTGCATTATAATTACTTCAATCTTTAAGACTATCTTTGGATGGATGTGCAAAATGAAAGGGGTTAAAGAGTACTGCATAAGTATAACTTGGAATCAATTTAGACAAATAGAAAAGTCTCTTTAAAACAAAGTTAGTATAAAAAATGAATATAATTTTTTTCTTAAATTAAAACTTAAACGTTCGTACTTTATGAATTAGCATTAGCTATGGTGAATTAGACTTAAGCAAAATTTAAGAGTGTTTTTGTCTTTACTACAACTATATGTATAAAGTTTGTATTGGTTCCCACGTTCTTGACCTGATTTTCTCTGTGCATTATAATATAGCTGACTCTCTTAGCTGTGTAAGTGGAAAGCCGTTTTGGTGGTTACGGTTACTCTTTCGATGGCAAGTCAAACCCATGTTTCCCAAATCCAAAAGTGCATCTTTGAGCGTTATCAAAGCTCATCACTCCCTCCCATTACCCAACTTTTTATCAAAAGCTTGTTTTGGTTGCACTAGAAGTAAAAGACACGTTTGATTGATCCGAGAAGTAATGTTCAAAGGAAACAGGAGAGGCAATAGAGTTTGCTTTTCTTCATTGTGATGTTGCAACTTGCAATGCACTCCTCATTAGTACTATCTGTGTCATCATTTGACAATAGTTCATCATAAGAATGGAGCTAAAAAATGCGAAGCTAGTAAGGTAAAGACTGTATCATAGTCTTCTTTTTTCTCTCTTCATTAGAACTTTGTTCAGATTTGATTAGTGGTTTTGAAAACTCACAGGTTCTCCAATGATGGAAAAGAGAATCTTGTACCTCCTTGGGAAAAGATAGAAGCTCACAAACATCATGAAAAGCCATTCCCTGTGTACAAGATTCAGACAACACTGAATCCGGAAGGAAAGATGAGTAGTTATAAGAACAGAATGAGTATAAGAATTCCCTCTATTGGAAAGTTTAAGGTTTTCCCAGAAAATCATGAGCCATGGAAGAAGAGAATTCTTGATCCTGGCGGTGATATCATTCTGGAGTGGAACCGGGCTTTCTTGTTTTCTTGTATACTAGCACTGTTTGTTGATCCACTGTTTTTCTACATGCCCTCAGTGGCAAATGATGGGAATTCATCATGTATGGCTACTGATTTGAATTTAGGAATTGTTGTGACATGTTTCCGAACATGTGCTGATGTTTTCTATCTGTTGAACATGGCCATAAAGTTTAGGACGGCCTATGTGTCACCAAGTTCAAGGATTTTTGGAAGGGGTGAGCTTGTTATGGATCCTAAGCTGATTGCAAGGAGGTATTTGAGATCAGAGTTCTTCCTAGATCTTGTAGCTACACTACCTCTTCCCCAGGTATCACAAATGGTTTAATTGAGTTTTTTTCTTCTTCTTTTGTATATATTTAATGTATTGGAAATTGAAGACCACAAATATCATGTTTGTCATTGACAACTTCATAGTGGTATAGAAAGTGGAAGCTTTGATAGTTATAGTCTAATCTAACCTCAGATGATTAGACCATATATAATATGAGTAAATTTAATAAAGGAATGGATTTAGTTTTTCTTCCTCCTTTTCTGTTCAAGGTTGGAATGGAATCCTAATGTTATATTTATAATATCAAGTAATTGCAGTGATGATGGTAAAAAGTTTTATGCTCTTGTTTTTTGTTTTCTGTCTTTATATTTTGTCCCTGGAAGTTTGGCAATGTCTGAAGGTGATGTTAAATGACATTAATTGTTGTCTTTTCTTTTTGTGACAGATTGTGATTTGGTTTATTATGCCAGCAATTAGAAGCTCCCATGCTGATCATACCAACAATGCTCTTGTACTTATTGTTCTGCTTCAATATGTTCCCAGATTGTATTTGATTTTCCCATTAAGTTCTCAGATTATTAAAGCCACAGGTGTAGTTACAAAGACAGCATGGGCTGGAGCAGCTTACAATCTTTTACTTTATATGTTAGCTAGTCATGTATGTTAACTTTTCTTCACTATCAATCTACCTTTCATAATTCATAGTTAATTAGTTATTATCTCTCAGCATTTCAGATATTTCTTGCTTTATTTAGTTTAGTAAAGTGCTCTTGTTGTAGGTCTTGGGGGCATCATGGTACTTGTTGTCAATTGAAAGGCATGCTACTTGTTGGAAATCTGAATGCAGAAATGAAAGCCTTCCAATAAAATGTGTTCTTAAGTACTTGGATTGCAGTACTTTAGACAATGATGATCGCATGAAGTGGGTAAATACTACTTCTGTGTTTGGTAGCTGCAACCCAGAAAATAACATCAGTTTCGACTATGGAATTTTTGGAAATGCAGTGGAAAATAATGTTGTCTCCTCTGCCTTTATAGAGAAGTATCTCTATTGTCTGTGGTGGGGCTTGCAGAACTTGAGGTTTGATTCTATTGCTATTTTCCAAAGTCTACTACTCTCGCTGAAAGAGTTTAAAATACAAAAATATGTACTAGAATTTTGAGTCTAGGTCCAATCTAAAAGTGTGGAATAGAGAGCTTAAATTTGAGTGACCTTTTATTTAAAATTCTTTGACAATTCAGATTCCTGAACCTATCGTTTATATACCATTTAATTTAATTTGTTTCTTATTCTTGAGATTTTAAAGAATATTAGATAAAGAGCCTTACAATAAGTAGGAAACCACAATATAATTACAAAATCTTAAAATTATGGATACATGCGTCTATCTTTTTATAAACTTCTAATTTATTCATATCTCATTTCATGTGAGACTCAATTCACAATTGATTCCAATACTTCTCTTTAAATGTTAACTTATCTATTCATATCAACTTTCTCTAAAGCGGAAGTTCTTTTTTTTTTTTTTTTTTATCAAAAGTATCCATAGTTTACACCACATGAGCTGTCGTTCACTTAACGGCACTTTTTGGACTGCTTCACACCCTCCACACGTGCCACCAGTGACACTGTTCTTTTTCACAGTTCACTTTTACATTGATCATGGGTTCACACAGTCGACTCTCTTGGTCATGGCTCATCTACTCGTCTGAGTCATACCGTCGACTCTCATGGTCGCGGCTCATCTACTCATCTGAGTTGGTCACTTAGATCGACCCAGCTCTGATGCCACTGTTGGATTTTTTAAAAAATATTAACCACAATGCAACTCCAAAATCTTAAGACTATGAGTACATGAATCCATTTTTTTATAAACTCTTAACTTACTCATATATTATATAGAACTCAATTCACACTTATTCCAATACTTATCTATCAACATGAGACAATGAGACAATTTTATGTAGCATGACTATGGAAGATGATGTTTTCCTCTTCACTTCATCCCATATTGTTTTTACTTACATTAGAAGCAAAAGCTTTGGTTCTTCAGTCTGCCTACTCGATTATCTTACTTTAGAGATAGAATATTTGACATGAACTTCAGCTGAACATCACATTTGATTAATCTTTTTCTTTCTGTATTTTCAGCTCCTATGGCCAAGGTTTAACCACAAGCACATTCGTTTGGGAAACTGCATTTGCAATACTCATTGCTATTCTGGGTCTGGTTTTGTTTGCCCACTTAATTGGTAACATGCAGGTAATTAGGATTTTCAAATCCTCGAATCTCTAGTTTCAAAAATGCTATTTGAAATTGCAAATTATGTTGCTTTTACGTTTCTTTAATTGCTCTAACTTGCAATTGTAAATTATCTCAGACTAAAGATTGTCACAAAATTAGTCTCACAATTTTATTTTTTTTATCAATTAATCCTTCAAAATTTGTCACAACTTTATTCCTTTACGGGAATCTATATGTTTCATATCTTAAAATTTTCGAAAAATTAATGCGATGATAAATTAAAATTTTGAAAAATTAATTCAGTAGTAAAATCCATAAAATAATATGACATGAGTCCAAAAATTTGAGGGAATTAATTAGAGAAGATTTTGAAGAATATCAAATTTAAGGTTTTCTCTTGAATTGTTATACGTGTATAATAATATCTTATGTATATAATTTTAGTGGAACACTTAAGAATGGTAAAATAAATGCATGCAGACGTACTTGCAATCGATTACTGTGAGGCTTGAAGAGTGGAGGCTGAAGAGACGTGACACTGAAGAGTGGATGAGACATCGACAACTTCCACAAAATCTGAGAGAGCGTGTCAGAAGATTTGTTCAGTATAAGTGGCTTGCAACGCGTGGTGTTGATGAAGAAACCATCCTACGTGCCCTTCCCACAGACCTTCGTAGAGACATCCAACGTCACCTTTGCTTAGACCTTGTTCGACGTGTAAGTTCCACACAACAAATATTTCTATACTTTAAATATTTGCATGTTTGAAAAGGCAGTAAAATTAAATTTATTTAAACTTTTTATAAATTTTATTTTTTAATAGAATTATTGTTATTATTTTGTATGATATACTATGTGTCTCATTGTATCGTATTAATAATCGTATTATAATACCAAGTGAGGTGATATATTTAAATGAATGTTAGTATGAATTAATGTATCAAACTATGGAATTTTGAGCATGAAATCAACTTGAAGAAATGATTCATAGTTTTCTCCATGCATGCAATTGCTTTTGTGCACCAACTACAGGTACCCTTTTTCTCACAAATGGATGATCAGCTACTTGATGCAATATGTGAGCGATTGGTATCATCTTTGAGTACTCACGGAACATACATAGTAAGAGAAGGAGACCCGGTTACAGAAATGCTTTTTATAATAAGAGGGAGACTTGAAAGCTCAACCACAAATGGAGGCAGAACTGGTTTCTTCAACTCCATTACCTTGAGTCCTGGTGATTTCTGTGGAGAAGAGTTGCTTGCTTGGGCACTGCTTCCAAAATCTACTCTCAATTTGCCTTCTTCTACAAGAACAGTTAAAGCCCTTGTGGAAGTTGAAGCCTTTGCACTAAGAGCAGAAGATCTTAAATTTGTGGCCAATCAGTTTAGACGGCTACACAGCAAGAAGTTACAACACACTTTCCGTTTCTACTCTTACCATTGGAGGACATGGGCTGCATGCTTCATTCAGGCTGCATGGCGCAGGTATAAGAAGAGAATGTTGGCAAAGAGTCTTAGTTTGAGGGAATCTCAGTCCTTCAATTATGATGAACAAGTGAGGGATCAAATGGAACATGAGGAAGAAGAGCACAGTGCAGTGGCTTCAAACACTGCACAAGTGAAACAGAACCTTGGTGTCACTTTATTGGCTTCAAGATTTGCTGCTAACACAAGGAGAGGGGTTCAGAAGATCAAGGATGTAGAGATGCCCAAGTTGCAAAAGCCTGAAGAGCCAGACTTTTCAGTAGAGCCTGACGATGATTGATTCACCACTGCAATGTTAAGTAGCTGATAGAGCTACCATGTCAAGGGCAAAGGTCTAAAGTTCCATTACCATCTTCAAGTGTTAAAAGCATTGTTCTATTCCTCATAGGCCTATAATATGCATGCATTATTTTTTGTTTGTTGATGGAGAAGCTTTCAGGTTGTCTCTTAACCTGAACATTTTTTTCACATACCACTTGTACATTATACGCTTGTATACGATCCTACTTGTTCCTTTGTTTGTCACATAGTCTGAGTTTTTTCTTATTTTTATGTTTTTTTTTTCTTGTAATATATAAATATACAATTTCTTTTGGCGGCACTTTGAAGAGTTACTGAGATAGCTTAAAACGATATCCTAAACCTTTTTATGTTATATTGTGATTAAAGTGCTTCCACAGTTGTAATTGGTTGGTAAAACTATTGTACAACTGTAACTGCAAAAATTATTTTATATTATCATTCTGTTATTTTTTTGGCTTTATATAGGGTGTTCAAAATGATGACCGACATATCCATGCAAAGAAATGGGCCAATCCCATATCAGCGGGTGGTAAGCTGTGCCATCAATAGATTCAGTACCACAAAGCATATTGGGTCAGTGATGTCAATCTCACGGAATAGAAATAAGTTCTAAGAACATGAATCTTTTAGAGGGGTCACATCAGAAAATGAACGAGCCACTAGATCTTGTCTCTGTTATTTGTCTACCGACAACATTTTATTTACCTAACCATAGCTCATGCATAGGTAAATTGACTAAGTAAAAAAAGAATAAAAGAGAGAAAGAGAATTGGGGGTATAAAAATTTATTTAAATTAGATAACAATGAATATACAGAAAGATTTCAAGTTTTACAAGCCCCATTTAAGGCACCTATGATCCAAGAGATATCAAGCAAGATGCTTCCCACTCAGACATTTGGAATCACAACTCCAAATACAACCCAAGAACACAATGAAGAAAACTGAATATTTTATACACTTACTAATAACAAAAAACAAGAATTCAATACCTGTAGGAGTACAATGACCAGTGTCCTATATAATACTTGGGATGAATCGTGTGAATGCAAAATGGATAGAGTTGAATGACAGAGAAAGGCTGTTTTGGTACTTGCACTCAATTATGTGTTTGATAGACCTGTGATAAGAATTTATAAGGAAAATTATAGACTAGACTTCACTTCATTGCTCATTTTGTAGTTGGACTGCAACTTAGCTTGATAAATCAGTTGAAGGTATCTGTTTTTTGCTGTTTTAAATGAAAACTAGCTCATCTGTTCTCCAATCAAATCAAGCCCCACAAGGAGGAAGGTCACCCCTTGGAAAAGCAGAAAGTAAAAGTGAACTCCTTGTGCAGTTAACAGACTCCTCACAGAAGCTGTGAGAAGGAGGAATGCCAAAGTCAACTCTTTCTTATATATCTTATTGGTTTTCTTAACAGCTACTGAAGCTGCTTCTTTGTGTTCCTTTAATTGGTGTGACTCAATAAGTTCACTGTCAGAAGCTCCTCTATGCATCTTTTGTTGTTCTATTGACTCGGTTTCCCTTTCAGCAGCAGACAGTAAATCAGACTCTGATGACCTGCCAGCTTTCTTTGTGACAACCCATTCATAAGAGCTTCCCAATTGGAAGAGACCAGATACCATTGCATTGAATTTGGTGACAGACATGGTATTTTCAAAAAGGAGGTAGGGAACAATGAAAGGAAAAGATTTTGGGGCAGGAAGAATGTTAAGGAATGACATAAATACAGGCACATAGCAGATCACCCATAGAGGAAGTTCAGCCTCTGGGACAAACATGGTTAAAGGAAGAATTATGCAAAATAGAGTGAAGGAGTAAAAGGGAAGGATCAGCTTTCTTAACAGAAAAAATAGAAGTATTAAGTTTGCTTTCTTCCATGCAGATACCTGCAGTTATAGAGAATTTTAAGGCCTTTTAGGCGGTGCATAATATAAGTCATTCTTGCAAGTTATCAGAATATGCTTTTCTTCATCACTACTACAATCATTACTTCAAACCGAGTACCAGATATACCTTAGATCTCACAATTGCCGGAAGACACAACCTGAAAAGTTGCATGGGACCTGAATGCCAACGGTGTTGCTGCTTCCTATAAGCTTCATATGACTCAGGCACTTCACAAAGTACCTGAAAATTTACAATTTTTTAAGAAACTCAGCAAAATACTCCAGGGATCTGAGGTGAACACAGAAGTCCAAATTCATAAAGGTGCATAACTAGTCATGACATATTGCCTGAGTCGTGCATATATAAGAACAGTATGGGGAAAAAACTGTCATTTATGATCACCTTGACATCATTTAGAAAGATAAATTTCCAACCATTGAGATGAGCTCGGACTGCAATGTCCATATCTTCTACAGTTGTCCTCTCCAACCAGCCCCCAGATTCTTCTAAGGCTTTGATTCTCCAAACACCAGCAGTTCCATTGAAACCAAAGAAATTTAGAAACACCCCATTGACCTGCTGTTCTACCTCAAAATGGAAGCATAGATTAATGTTTTGGAGACGAGTCAACAAATTCTCATCCTTGTTCACAAAAGACCATCTAGCTTGGACCAAACCTAGTTCAGGATTGTCCTGTAATAAAAAGGCATTTACAGGTATTAAAACATGTTAAAAACATTTTCCAATGATCTTACTGAATATGTCTCACTCTTCACTTAACCTTGAAATGTGGCACGGTTTGCTTGAGAAAATCAGGATTTGGTTGAAAGTCAGCATCAAATATTGCAACAAACTCATAGTCTTTCACATAGTCACAGCTCATTGCAGATTTAAGGTTTCCAGCTTTATATCCAGTCCTCACTAAGCGGTGCCTATAGATTATATTGATACCCTTTTGGCTCCACTTAAAGACCTCTGCCTTAATCAACCATTGTATGCTCTCATCATTAGAATCATCAAGCACTTGAATCAGTAAACGATCTCTAGGCCAATCAATTTGGCAGACTGCAGAAATAGACTGCTCATACACCTGGATAAAATCAGTGCATGCAAAGTAAAAAAGTTACATGCTTATCCAGTGGACTTTAAATATTGTCTATACTATACAACATCATGAGGAAACTGCTCCCTTCTTTATTACTAAGGTGGTGTCTATTATAGAAACTGAAAACAATGCTATAAATACTTGATGTTAATTCAGGCTTTTACATTTATGCTTCTGATTCTATAAGCTTAAAATTACAATGTCTCAACTCTCAATTTTCAATCTAGATGGAACAACATGCCTGGATGCGGGGTACAAATTTAATTCCCTCCTGTTTTCCAATTTTTTGTATGCATTCTTCTCATTCTTTAAGCATTGCAAAAAAGGTAATCCAAACCTTCTAAGTTCTATCTTATAATATTTACAAAGTCTATTCCTGACTAAACAAAAAACACGTTAAAATTAACGTATTGAAATTTGCTGCTAGCTTAAATGCCAGATACAAACAACTTGAGTAAACAAAAGTGGTAATGGAATTCAGAAGTTTGGTGTCATTCATATTTCATACCTCCTTCTCGTTGCACATTGGAATTTGAACCAAAACCATGGGATAATTGCATGCAGATCCTTCAACATCATCAATCTTGAAGGGATCCCCATCAATCCTTGGCTTAACCTTCCTATATTTTATCCAAAAGCACCCGAAACAAAGAAGCATCCGATCCACAGATTGGATAAGAAACAAAACAACACAAAACTTGGAAAGCGCTTGTATAGGTGGAGCAATATACTCAGCACGAAATGTTAACCAAGCAACATAAGCCAAGTGGAGCAATCCCTCCAAATCAGAAGTACGAGGAATGTGCAAAGTGGGGTTACTAAAATGCCAACCTTGCAAGTAAGCAACAACCTCAAAAGCCAGAACCGTCAAGGAAGTTACTAGGAACACTCTAATGACTCTAAACAACAACTTGCCTTTATCCAACTTGTCACTCTCACTCTCCACAGTCACATCTTGTCTATGAATCAATCTCTTCTTAATGGCACCAAGCAAAGACCAAAGCACAGTGGCAATCCAAGTGACACACCCAACAGCACGATGAGCTCTGAGAAGCAAAACCCATGTCACTTGCTTAGCATTCTTGCCACGGCTCTTCTCTATTGGCTTGAATGCAGCATCAGCACCATTGATCTCCAGAACAGAGAAAGTTGGGTTCTCCATTTTCACCACCACTGGTGTTCCTCTTTGTGCATCCTTGGTCCACCAATTGGAAAAATCCAACCTTGGAGCCATTTCCACTATGCTGAATTGTACACAGATTCACACTTAGAGTTCACACACACAACAAACACAACTATATTATGGGTATATCTATATTAATATATAGATATAAAAAGAACAAGGACTCAAGACACCAACTTCATCAATCTTTTCTAATACACATCGTTGAAAAAAGAGTAAAGAGTAAAGAGGAAAGAGGAAAGACTCAGATCTAGAAAGTGATGTAAAACACAAGCCCAGATTCGTGGTTGTTGCTATTGGATGGAACCCTCTTGAAGGCTAAGCATTTAACAAAATGCAGCACATAAAAGCTAAGAACGTGAATTGAGTGAGGGTCTTTTGTACTTTGAAGGAACTCTACAAAGCACCTAACATGGGAAAGCCACATTATGAGGGAAGGTATCTGCAGCTGTAAGACTCAGACGCTAACTCCCAAGTGACTTTTCCTCAGTAAATCAAATCAACTTTTGACTCCCAACAACAACAACATAATTACAGCGTGTTTAACTCATAGAATCCACCAAGTTTATCAAAATTAACAAATCTTGACTAGGAAATACACCTGAAGGAAACAACGTTGAAATGATTGACTTGACTGATAGATGTGATTAACGTTTTTTTTTTTCTATTAGTTAGATCATATTATAATTTTAACATTAATATTTAAAAAATTAACAACTTTATTTTTTCAGTTTAAAGGAATTTTCCCATGCTTTTTAAGATATCCACGTTGATACATAACAAAAGAAACAATCATGGGTTGACCCAATTGCTACAAGGAAAATTGAAGATTCCAATAACAATGTGATTTATGAGCTTAGTTATCAGTATAACAATTTTTGTTTGAAATATTTAAATGATAAAATATCAATAATAATGATAATGTGGATAACCAAGGTGGGGATGGGACGCGTGCAAAAGGATAAAAAGGTAACGGTGACTATTAAAAAGACCATCGTCCCAAAGCGGACCCCAAAAATGACACAAGTCCTCAACAAAGTTTAGAGCTTAATCATTGCTTCCAAAAGATGCCCAATTGACTACATTTGGATGATTAATCATTAGAGACCAGTAGGGGTTAATATCATAATATGCATTTAGTTATTTCAAGTAAAGTCGCCATAAAAACTAAAAGAAAAAGAGAAAGAAAAACACCAATTAGGATACCGATTCAGATTTTAAAAGTAAAAATATTAATATAATTTTTAATTATAACCATTTATAATTGATAAATTTTATTAAAAATACTTATTACATTAGAAATACAAAAATTTAATAAATATTATTTTTAAATGTTTAGATTCATTTCTGAAGATTGATATTAATAAATTATCTATTAAAACATATTATTAATACGTTGAATTTAATTTTTAATAAGTTTTTAAACCGGTAAACTGGAGAAAGAAAAAATAAATTAGGAAGGTGTTCCACAATTGGAACGTGCCCATGTTACCCAAAAATGTTGGATAACCATTGTACAAGTTTCTAATTAACTGACATGCATTGTGTTATTTGTGAAACAGATAAATTGTGAAAGAACACAAGAGTACAGCTTTTCCTGCTGGATCTGAATTCTAAGAGGATATGTAGTTGTCACCAGAGGAACATAATTAATTAATGCAAGCCAACCAGTGTAATAAAGTGCCACCAGTATCAGATAAGCAAACAACTCCAGGTATTTATTGCACTAGTCTTTTGCACCACCATGAGGGAAGTAATTATAGAGATGCTATGTTGATAAAATTTTACTACAGCAGTGATCAATTAAAGATTTTTTTATAAAATAATAACCTAAATTATTATGTATAAAATTTATTAAATAAATTATGAATCTGAATGCACCTAGCTAAGATCAAGTGACCCGTTTGTTCTATTTTATTTATTTATCTTTTTTTCTAGTTGTTTATCATGGCATTTTGTCGTATCTTAATTACAATTTATTGAGGTGACCATGGATCCCTTTATATCAACTATTATTAGTGGTTGAAATCAATAACCTGAGAATGGCAGTATGTATATCATGTATGGTTTACCCTAAAGTTTAATCCAAGAGTATATAGATGAATATTGCAATCTTGGAAGTTGGAAGGTTGGGTAGGTAATGGCATTTGAAGATATTTTATTTTAAGAATATGCATGTGGAAGATTGACGTTTGTTTTTATCCATTAGCATTTAAGGGCATTTTTTTAATAAAAAAATTAGTATTATATATATATATATATATATATATATATATATAAATTAATGTCAAATTTGATGAACAATAAGCCAAATTAATGTTGATATTTTTTTAATATCAAATTGATCTCATTTTGTTTGGAATTAAACAGTGTTAACTTTTCTCAATAAAATCAAATTGATGTTACATATATATTTATTCTTTAGGGTAGAAATGGATGATTATTTAAAGTTTGGTCTGAATTCTTTTGGTTTGGTTAGAGTTGTGATTAAGAAGAAAAAAAAAACATGAAAGAAAAGAGGGGTATTTGATTTTGTCTAGTTGCTTGAATTTAGTAAAAGAGAGCAAAAAAGTTGCATGATGTCTCTTGTAACATAGTTAGGAGTGATGTCATCAATAATTGTGTGGATCTGTCTTCCATGCATGTGAGGGTGATACTACATAAAATTGTGTATAGCTGGGTTTGATCTCAGTATAGACCATGTCTGTGAGTGTGCCACTGTACTCCGATTAAATTATCCACATTTTTTCCATATTAAATATTATTTTAATTTTTTATTTTAAAAAATATTTATTAATTTTAAATATTAAAAATATTGGTTTTTAATAATGCTCTTATTATTAAGATAATTTTTACTTATTAATTATTACAATAAATATAAAATTAATTATCACTTAATTATTGTAATCAACCCAGGATCTTTATTAAATATTATAACATTTTTTTATATTATTAGTGAAATAAAATTAGGTGTTAATGAGCGGATGAAGAGGCATTAAGAGAATGAAAGATAACACTCTTGCATGGTTAAGAACGATAATCTAATAGTAATTGCTAAGCAATAATTAATAACAATCTATTTTGTAACCTTAACGATGAATAAAATATCCAATATTTCTTATCTGATCAACACTTGCTAGTACAAGTTACAGAATTATCTCTCTTTTTTTTCAAATTAAATTTTATGAATGAAAAAATAAAAAAAATAGAAGAAATTTACTTTCTTAAATATATTCATTAATTTAAATCAAATTAGTAAAAATTCTTATCTTCAGGTAAGAGAAAAATCTGTAAGATGATTTTTTATGTAAAATTATTCTCTTTGGCTAAAAGAAAAGGGAAAAGAAAATATTCCATGATACCCATCTTCATAGCCCTGGTTAAAGGCCATATCTGTTTGGCCAAATCAATACTCTGGCTCTAGCTTCACCAATGGTTAATGGGGATTTTCTTATTAATTAATGAGATCGATAGGAACTTTTACCAAAAGTAATTGTGTTGATTGTAAGATTTAAATTTGTACTTTTCTTTGCTGGAAGGAATAATCATTAATTTTTGTCTCCGCAGAATATTCATTAATTTAAGGATTTGAAATTACTTGCATAATTAATATCGTCTCTTCAATAATCATAATAGTAGTAGTAGATAGTTGAAAAATAACATTCTCGTGTAATTTTTTTATTTATTTTTTTACTTTTTCATTTGTTAACATTTTTATTGATGTGTTATTTTTTTTCACTGCGACGATGAAGAAGGGAACATAGAAAAGATACAAGAGATTTACATCCTTATTTAAGATAGAATTTAACCTTTTAAGTAAAAAGTTATGTAAAAAATTAAATAAAAGAGCCTATACCATTGAAGATATGACTTAAAATATCTCATAAAATTAATTCAATTTAAACTCAACAGTAAATTTCACATTATTCTGCCCTTTTTTTGTGTCTAAAATTCATATAAAAGATCATTTGGATTTTGGAGAATGAAAAGGTCCATTTTATTAATTACAAGAATATAAATAAAAAACAGAAATATTAGAAACATATCACATAGCCAGCTTTGGTTATCAAGAGAACCGCAGACAGTACACGAGGTAGAGGGCATAGATGCCACAGCAAAACCTTAATTACATGTATTCATTGATCACTACATTGTTCTTAATCCTTTGCATTCTCTGCTTTGCCAGTGCCCTGTGCCAGAGATCATGGCCTCATGGGCATCACGGGTTGTGTCCCTGTCCCTTTACATACCCTTAACTGTATTTTCAAAATAAAAATTATATGAAGTATGACCTACTTCAAGGCTATTAACAGAGGTGTCAATGACATTGGACTGTACACAACTTGCTGGGTTTGGCCCCAAGCCATATGATCCATGTCTCACATCATTGCAATCTATATGTTGGGAGTGTAGTGGTGCATGCTAATGCAAGATGCCACCTTTGATTCCTATATATGTAAAGTACTTGTCAATTACTACCCCTATTATTTTTTTTCATGTTAATTGCTATTTTTTATTTTTATCTTTTTGTTCATATAAAAAATTTAAGTATAATAATAAAATATTTACACTAATTGAATAACTCAAGTCAAAGAAAGACCGACTAATAAAGGATATGTTAGAAAGTTTTTCAAACAATTTTAACAAAATGATTGAATTCTTAGTCTATGTTTTTTTACAAATAAATAGAATCGAGACATTATATTTCAATTTTCAGTTTCATAAAATTGAAAAATATTTAAAAAAATGAATTACTTATTCTTATCTTGACATGGCATAATTTTAATAACTAGATTTTCTTTCTTTCTTTCTTTCTTCTTTTTTTTTTTTTGTTAACTTTCTCAATAAAAATCTTTCATATACACAAAGCTACTCTTTCAATAAAAAAATTTGAATACAAACTCAAACACCTTGTTTCAAAAAAGAATGAACATATCTTTTGAACAAACACAATTTATTTGGTTTACGTGAATGTATCTACAAAAACTAAACCTATATATGAATATTTAACAGTGAGTGTTAAAAAACGAGAAATAGTGAAATAAAATAAATTTATTATTTTATTATTTTAATTTTACAACTACTGATATTATTATCATTACTACTGCTGATATTAATAATAATAATGATAAAGGAGGAGGAACTCAGGACCACAATGAAAGTACGACGAACGAAAAAAAATCAAGTACAGTAGTAAAATCGAGCATAGTAAAACTCATTCACATTTATTATTACCTAATGATACTAAGTGCCCTATGCTTGGCTGGCATTGAAAAATGTTGTCAACCTTAACAAAATTATAACAACTATTTTTTTAAATATATTATTTTTATTGTACTATCAACTCAATAGCTTATTTTTATTTAAATATGTTGATTTTTTTATTGACATTCTTGTTCCAAAAAAAATATTTTATTTGTCGCAAAAGAAATCTTAAGAAAGAATTATGGAGTCACACTTTCTTATCATAACCAGGATAACAACAAAAAGTTACAAATATGTCGAGAGTACCAGGGTATTTAGGGTTGTAATAGAATAATTTTTAATTAATTATACATCATTATCAAGCCCAATCTCACCCTCTGAACTTGATTTAGTTATTTATCATTCTAATACATGAGTTTAATAGATAATTTTGTATAATGTTATGTTCACAGCAAACAATTGAAAAAATCATCATATTGTGTTAACTGTTCTAACATAAATAATTTCTATAACTTAATGGGATTAATTTTTAGGTGTTAATTGGGAACCCTTGGTACATGCTAAAAAGAACACACCTTTTTCAAAGGGTGCCAAAGTTGCACATAATGATATCAAATGTTCGATCTTCCACCAAGTCAATTACTCCTTCTGTAACCAGGTGCACGGACTTCAATGTCACAGGGCGTAATTAAATGTAATAGAATAAGCATTTAAAAGTCATTACAAACCAAAACACAAATGCAAGGCCAGAACTATGCCTTGCTGTTTGTAACACACTATACCACAGCACTTTCAACAATTCTGAATTTCTATGTTCAGAAAACACAGCATAAAATAAAGAGTAGAGACCACCTACAATATTACCGTACAGTTTAGAATAATAAAATTACAATTATTTTACTCAACTCTGAATATCGTGTCAGTATTACTACCTCTGAGGCTCAGACTATGTGAGCCTGTAATTACTGTAGGGGGCAAAACAAAAATTTACAATCACAGTAAATCAAACTAAAGAAATAATTCTGTAACTGTTAGTTTTCACTGTAACTCTTCAACGCCTCTTCTATCTACGATGAGCCGCCTCCGCATCTGTTACTGGCTTCACCGTCTTATTTTTTTTCTGCTGATATTTAGCGTATGAGTACCACACCCCACCAGCAGTATTGATAACCAATCCAGTCACATTCAAAGCTTGGACTTGAACACCACCCAGTAAGACAAAACCAAGGGTCTGAAGAAGCAACAAAAAAGGGATTTGATGTTTGCAGTTAAAACTAGATGCAAATGAATACAAAGAACAAACATTTAATCAATTAAAATAAAAGGTAAAGATGTGCAAGTAATCTACAATTCTACATGTATCATGATTTCCTGCCAGGACAACTATTCCAAATTCAAATATTAATTCTGTGACAAAATTTCTATGTTAAACACAGGATCACTCCTAGCTTACCGTGGAACCAACACCCTTGAGAACGCCAACAATAGTTGTAGTTAAAGCTGAATTAACGATTGTACACAAGAACATGGTGAAGTTGAGAACGATGCCCATCACCAACGAAAGAATAAGGATCACCAAAAATGAAAAAGAATAACTCTGCCAGGGAAAAAAAATTATGTTAGATATTAGCTTCTGCATCAATGTAACACTAAGTAATATCTGACCTAGCAATGCAATATCGTCAAACACATGGCAAATTTTTAGCATTTCCAAAATCCGTGCAAGCTATAGCTTCAGCTGTCAGCCATCACAACTGAGTTTCTATAATCTTTTATTTATTATCAGAAAATTATCATTAGTATATACATTCTGCTAGCACTTTAATTTAGAAGAACAGAAGAATTGAATCTACTTTAATTTAGAAGAACAAAAGAATTGAATCTACTATGTTAATTTAATTTATAATTGCAAAGCATCCAGCATATTATAAAAGGACGAGTGTTTCATGAATGTGAAACATCCCCATCTTATCATGCCAAAATAAAAAGTTGATGCCGTCAGATGCATTCCAACAATCTCAAATTATCCCTAAATTTCCTAATTAAAGACTGTTTTGTGAGAAAAAAAACCAGCTAGATTCTGATTAATATTTTACAACAGACAGATAAGTAGAAAATTAGCACAAAACTTCTCAGCGGATCTAATTAGTTAGAGGATGAGAAGACTAGTTCTGAATCTTCTGATATAGTTCTTGAATTGTCCAACAACTCAGAAAAACAATCATTAGAAAATGAATGAGTACTGAACATATTTGCTGTAGGGAATTGCCTCAGTACTAGTACGGAGGCTTATAGCAGTTCCTTTTGAAATCATTGTATTTATAGCTAATATAAAAAGACAAAGGATTTAAAATGTCTTAAAATTCAATCAATGGTAGCTTAATCGTGAATTAATTCCAATACCAAGAAACAGGTAAAGATTCTGACCTTTGCAAATAATACTGATAAAGAATATGGGAATTCCCCAGTGGCTATGATGAGAAACATCAAAAATGGAAGAGATAAAAAACTGTTATAGAACATAATTTCCACAGATGAAAGTCCGTCCTCAGCTCCAGATTTTTCCACCAGCACAAGGTACATGGTCTGCATAAAGTAGCAAGCAGCAATATGAGCAAACCATGCATAATTGCAGTGTCCATTACCCCACTATAAGATTAAGAACAATGAAATGTCAGCATATCACCTGGAAAAAGACAGAAACGAAGGCCATGCTGTACCCAAAAAGGTCAAAGGAAAAATCTCCAAGGGCAGCAATGAGAACTCCAGCAGCAGTCAATAACACTGAAAGAGTCACCTGAAATTTGAAAAAAAAAAATAATTCTCAGCACAAGAGTGGAAAAGAATAAAATGCTACCAATCATTATAATAGATGCCCAAAGCCAATTAAATGACTCAAACAAAAGGCAACAACTTTAGCAATAGTCTAATTATGCTTCCCCACGCCCATGTATAAGAAAATGAACACAATATTTTGATACTGTTTATTATTGTATAAGGTACCTTCTCCAATTCTAGAATCCATCTGCAATTAATCTTTCCACAAGATCAAAGTTTTTTACACAGCATCCCCTTCTTTAAAAACCACAAATTATAATTTAATTGATCTTTGTGCACCGTAGTTCAACAAATAACTTTCACAGTTTCTCACACATAAACTACCTTGATAAAGTGACAGAATAAATAAAAATTTGACTTAACAATATATTAACCGAATAAGAAAACTATAACAACTAGTACCTGAGTTGTAGGTCTCCCTTTTCCAGAGAAACACCCAGCAATAAGTACAGCAAGAGGCGTAAGCCTTTTAATTGCAATATACATTGGGATATTGACTCCTTTCAAACTTGCCAAGGCAAAAGCAACATTGGCATTATAGAAAATTGAAACAGGAAGCAGTTGCTTCGCCGTCGTCATATCCACTCCTCTCGCTTTTGTGTATCCCATTGTTCTACCAAAGTGTATAAGCAAGGTGGTAGCGAGTTGCTAAGAAACACAGAAACTGTTATTAACATTCACATCCATAAAAAAAGATAATAACTAATAACAAATCAGTAGAATAAGTATAATCGAGGTTCTGTGTTTGTTTGCTTTCATTAGCAATACCTGCAAAGTGAGGAGAGTCATTGAGTGTGCATACTGCATAAGAACAGCCTTATTGATAAAAACCATGGCCATTGAGGCAATTCCATACGACACAGCTGCGAACAAACTGTGCGAAAACGAAACCATGGTTATAAGTAGCCACGATTCGAACACTCACGATTTCTAATAGTAACATCAAGGTATTGAATGTGAAACAATAAATAGTATTTTCAGATTCGGATTCAGTGAAAAGCAAGTAAAGTAAGCGAGAAAGATATAAGCACCTCGAAAAGGAACTGGTATCTGCATCGGCACGGATCTCCATGAGTAATCAACGGCGAAAACGAGATCCAATCAAGTTAAGACCTAAATCTGAAAAATTAAATAAAGTCATGCACTATGAATCAAACAGACGAAACAATAATAAAATATGGAATGGAATGTAAAAAGAAGTGAATGAAAAAATAAAAGAGGAAACCAAGGGCGTTTGCATTACCTGTTAATAAAACATGTCTGTGTAGGAGAAAGATCAAGAGAAGGAAGTGATGAAAAAAGAGAGTAAAATAAAAAGAACGAAAAGGGACAAAAAAGAAAGAGTGAAACAGCTGGCGTGTTATCGGCATGAATTTGAATAGTTTGCTTCGGTGGTTCCCCAAAATCGGAGCAAAATGGAAACCATCGCATCACAGTGCCACCTTCTCCATTCTCCATTTTTTATTTGCCGCCTTTCCCTATCACTCCTCCAACCCAAATTCAATTATAGTTTTTTTATTTTCGGCATGAATGTTCTTTTATTTTCTAAATTTATTGTACAAATATAATTTCTCATGAAATATAAAAATTATAGTTTTTCTTTTTACAATACCTTACTAATAACAGTCACAGTGCAAACTTAAAAGTTTTAAAAAAATTATAACAATTAAAAACAAAGAAATGAAATTCCAATAATAAAATATTATCAGTAAATTACTCTTATGTCATGATAAATAAACTAAAATATTACTTAAAAAAACCACAGTAAAAAAAGTTATTCTAACAATCTAACATCTTAACATACACGGTTTTATATCTACCAACAGCAGTTTCTCTTAACTATTTTTTGAAATAATGATAATGTTTTCTCTCTCTCTCTTGTTACATGTCGCTTTAACGATTTTAGTTTACCTTAAAACACGATTTAATTTATATTTTAATTTTTTCAATAATATGCATATTGATATTTTATCTATAAATTTTCTCTCTCTCTTCCTTATTTTAAACTACTATTTTTATACAAAATAGAGTTAACTTTATCTTTATATTTCTTTAATTTTAAATACTTATATTTAATTTTTAGAAAATTTTAACTTTTTAAATTAAATTTCACACCCTCGAAAATGTAACATACTTTTTACTTATAAAAATTTACATAATAATAATAATAATTAATGTTTTGTTAGATAAAATTTATAGTTTTCTTTTATAAGTATATATAGATTAACAATATGTTTTTATTAGTTATTAGATGATTCTTTAGTAAATAATTTAATTTAAAAATAAAAATAAATAAACAATTAAAATTAAAGAGAACAAAATCACACATAAATGAAAGTATAGTAATAACTAAAAGTAAAACTAAGCCTATCAAATTAGTCTTTCAAGATTAAAAAGGTGGTCACATTTTACACATCAAATTGTATATTTATTCTTGTTTTTTATTAAACAGTTTTATATAATTAAATTTTTTATCCACAAAACCTGTTATTTTTCATACATTCTTTACCATTTTTATTAAACAATTTCATTATAATCTAGTTTTTTTTTATATATTCAGAAAACATTATAATATTTTTATTTCTACAGATAGTTAATACCTTGTAATATTATTCATAAATTAAAATGTTTAAAATAATGTTACCTTACTCATACAAAATTTCTTTCAATAAAACATACTTATGATTTAAATAAATAATAATAATGATTTATGAAAGATAAATATGTATTTATTATAATAATAAATTTTCATATTAAAATACATTATTATTTGAATGACAAGAATATAAATTATTTATCTATTATCTATTATATATAAAAAGAAGGTTTTTTTTTTTCGAAACCAATATTAACACATAACAATACCACTGTCTATTATATATTATAAAAGTTGAAAAATATCATTAAAAAAAGTAAGAAATATGCATAAAAGAATACCTGGTTATTTATTTTAGTGCAAAATAATGATTACAACAAAACGATTATCTAATAAAATATAAAAAAACTCATTTTTTTAAAAAAAATGATGATTATATAACAAAATATTCATATTCCACAACTTATTATTGGAAGTATATGCATGTATGTATTATTGACATTGTCGTTGTAATTAAAGTTAAAAAAATTAACTAAAAAATAAGATAAAATTATAAATCAAAATTTTAAAAATTTTAATTTTATAAAGATTATAAGTTGTTTTAAAAAAATTTCTAAACACAATAAACAAAAATAATATAATTCATTCACACAATATCTTAACTAATGAAATTGATTATTAACTTCTTAAAAATGTATGAATAAATTTTGACAATCGAAAAAATTTTAATTTAATCAATTTAGGATAGCGAAAAATCAACCTTGATAATTTTAGAGATATGATATTGAGAAAGAACATTTATTTATCGTATATATACGGTCATTATAAGTGCGTGTAATAACTCATAAAAAAAAGGGGTAAATGTAAACGGGTTGACCCGATCCTATTAGGATGTCCGGGTTGAGTTACAGTGGAAGTGGATGGACATGGATTTGAGATTGGCACAGAAAGAGGTTTGAGGATTGCGAGTGCAAAGCAAAATCCAAAAACAAAGACAAACCACGAATTGGGACCATTCCCATCACCACTCTGTCTTGTCCTGTCTCCCAATCACGGTCAGAATTTCTCATTCCCCTTTCCAATCAATTCTCCATGCGCTTCAGATTTCAATCCCCGATTTCACCGTTCTTATTCTCATTCTTCTTATTTTCGCGATTTCTCTCAATTTTGAAATTGTCGCGACAATAACTCGTTTTCTCTTCTCAGGAATCTCTCTGAATCGCGGGCTTAAGAGAGGAATATGCAACAGAGGCTCAAGTTGCAGCAACAACAAGCCCTCATGCAGCAAGCCTTGCTTCAGCAACAGCAGATGTACCACCCTGGCATGCTCGCCGCTGCTATGTCGCAGGTTACTCACATTCCCTAACGCTTTATTCTTCGTTTTCATTTTCCGAGTAACGCATTCGATGCTACATATATTTATCGCATTTGCGCTAGGTTGTTTCATTTTCGTGAAAGAAGAAATTAGGGCAAATGAATGGAAAGAGGACAAATAATTCGTGTAACTAGGGTATCCGTGTCATTGCTATGATTTCTATTTGTTTCCGGTTTCTCTGTGAATTAATTTGAGGCCATTTCACAGCTTGTACAATTGAATTGATATCCCTAGTGTTTCTAACTCTCGTTACAGGAATAATTATTGATAATCATATTTGTATCAGCTTTGATAGGTGTTTGAATTATATGTAATTGTTTGATTTGCAATTCCTTTTGGTCCAAACTTTTAGCTCTTTAATACACCAATCGAAAGAACCTAATGATTGCCAAATTTTTTGAATCGGTCAGAGTATTAAAATGTGTTTAGAATGTTTAACTTTAGACTCATGAAACATAAGATAGTTGTCTCATTTAATGGATGAATTACTAAAGAATTTCTTTTGATGATTAGGATAAGAACTAAATTTGTTTTATGCAATTGATTGGTTTACCATTTGGTTTTGTCTGATAACTTAGTTTGTTAGACTCATGAGAAATATAGTACAGTCTTTTACGACCATTAAAAATATTCTAAATTCTTTTTCTCTTCTGATTCTATTTAAGGCACCTTCCTATAGTTGCTCGCCTTTTCTCCATTTTGTTTATTCTTTGTTGTTTCGAAAATTTTTCAGATGGAGCCTGTTCCAAGTGGAAATTTGCCACCCGGTTTTGATACTTCTGCATGCCGCAGTGTGTGAGTGTTGGATTTCTTTCCACTTTTAGATTTTTTTGTCCTTAGTTTTGTGTTTGTGCCCAATTATGACAGTTTTCCATTTGATACCTAATTTCTAACAACTGTAGATGCAAATTTCTTTTGCATAATGGTGTTTTTAACTGATCTGAATTTCTGAGTGATAAATTTGATGCTATTGAGGTACAATATGGCATTAACTATTCAAGTAATCACTGTGCCAACTGTAGGATAGTCTTCCTCTTTGATACCTATTTAATCTGAAGTTACATGCTTTCAGTTATGTAGGAAATATTCATGTAAATGTCACCGATAAACTTCTAGCAGAAGTTTTTCAGAGCGCTGGTCCTCTTGCTGGGTGCAAGCTCATAAGAAAAGAAAAGGTTTGATTTAGTTTTCAATTCAATGTTCTTTGTTGATGATCGTTAGTGCTATTATTATAATAATTTTTCTCATAACTAAAAGAATCCAGTTATTTTCCTGTATTTCTTTAATATTATGAAAATGTTTGTTATTAATACTGGCAAGTTAGATTTTTTTTTTTTTAAAATACCTGGTTTGCATTAGAATTTAGATTTTAGAGTTACTTTGCTCTGAATTTTTTTTTCTGGGGAACTTTTCTTGGAATCTTTATTCTACATAGGAAATGGGTTTTTATGGAGTTCTGAAATGATATGCATCATATTCTACAAAAAAGGTTATCAGTACAAAACTTATTTGGTGAAGCTGACTATTACTAACAGAGAATTGTGAGTTTTCATTGTCTCTGCTCTCTAGAATGGGATGGTAGTAATGTCTGTTTTCATCCTAATTTTTTACCATTTGTCTATCATAATTTTTTATCAACCTTGGCAGTTCATAACTTGGAATTGTGTATGCTGAAAGCTGAGAGCTTTAGAGAGAGAAGATGCAACAGCTAAGATAGATTTCTTTAGATCCTGCTTGTGTGCTATATGTCAATTGGCAGTAGTCAGTCCCTTTGTGGGGTGCAGAGTGAAATTCTCCCGACAGTAGCTCTTAGTTTAGCATCTGCAAATGCTATATTATTTTCCTAGTCTTCATGCCTTCTATCTATTTCCTCTACTTTCTGATTTCTGCTGATTTCTTTGCCCTTTTCTTTTTTGTGAAACTACTGTTACAGTCCTCTTATGGTTTTGTGGACTACCATGATCGAGCATCCGCAGCCCTTGCAATAATGACCTTGCATGGACGGCAACTGTAAGCATCTTGTGTAATGCATGTTTTTTCTGGTTCTTCAGCATATTTGCATGGGATGAGAACTGTGAAGGCATTCTCCTTCTGGCTTTACTGGAGATAGAGGAATAGTTGCAATTTTTCATTTTTATAGTCTCTTTTACTGATCGAAGTATCATTTACTTGGCAATGTTCAAATCTTTGTAATGGCTCTACATATATTATAATTATGCAATCTTGACGAGTTTCAGAGAGTTTTCCATAATATTTGGCTACATTGCATTGATTCACATCTTTTTACTTCTGTTTACAGATATGGTCAAGCACTTAAGGTGAATTGGGCATATGCCAATAGCAGTAGGGAGGATACTTCAGGTTACTTTTAAGCACAGTCCTTTTAATGTTTATTTTGATTATTTTGCTTCTTGGGGGCATTCTTGTTTTTTTTTTTTTTAATTTTTCAATTGTATATTCCTTTAATTTTAATTTAAAATCATCAGGGCACTTCAATATATTTGTCGGTGATTTGAGTCCAGAGGTTACTGATGCAACTTTATTTGCTTGCTTCTCAGTCTATCCTAGTTGTTCGTGAGTTCCTCATTGCTTTTTTGTTTTTGTTTTCTTCGTTGTGATTTTTTTTTTTTTGGTCATCAGAGCAAGGTATATTCATTTTTATGGTGACTGTTGTAGTCGTTGTTAGGGATGACAAATTGAAGATAGTTGATGCGGGGGAAACTTTTCTACGAGCTACTCAGTTTTGAAAGATATTTGGGATTTGGGAACTTACTTTTCCATCTTCTCTCATTATTTGCAGTGATGCAAGGGTGATGTGGGATCACAAAACTGGTCGTTCAAAAGGATATGGTTTTGTTTCTTTCCGTGATCATCAGGTATTTTGCTTATTCTGTACAATGGAATGTACTGGAGAGATCAACCAATAAACCATCCTGGAAGAAAAAAAAAAGTAATTTTTAAAAGATCTCTTTGGGAGCTGAAAAAGCATGTACTTATTTTCCAAAATAAGTTAAACTAAACATGCATTTAGTGTTGCAAGAAAAATCATTGATTTGTTTCTTTTTCAAATTAAACTAGATCAGAATATTCATTTTGTCTTAGAACACCTTGTTACAAATTACAATTGCTATACAAATTGTTTTTGCTGCCTTTTGTTAGATGTTTGAAGAGCAATCTGAACTTTTATAACATCTTCCAAGTTAAATTCAACCAACAGTTAGGTTGGTGTAGCTATATCAAGGCTTTTTGTTAGATGTTTTAAGAGTAATCTGAACTTTTTTAACATCTTCCAAGCTAAATTCAACCAAAAGTTAGGTTGGTGTAGCTATGTTAAGATTTGTTTGATGTTTGAAACCTTTATTCACTCTAATCACAAAGATTTTACTTTTGAAAAAACCATGTTACATGTGCTTTGATTTGGTGAAACTTGGATACCATTGTTACACGAACAGGCTCTTAGTTATGTGCCAAATTATTGAAATGACATATCTTTGCAATTGATATGCAGGATGCTCAAAGTGCCATAAATGATATGACAGGTTAGGCGTTTGATTTTTCACTTTAATGCTGTTTGTTCCCTACTACTGTTGAACTTTTCTTGTTCATACAAACTTGTGGTGTGTCCTGCATCTAATAGGTAAGTGGCTAGGAAATAGGCAAATACGATGCAACTGGGCAACTAAGGGTGCTGGTGCCAGCTCAAACGAAGAGAAGAACAATGACAGCCAAAATGCTGTGGTGCTTACAAATGGATCTTCAGGTATCATGTACTTTTCTAAATAGCTTAGAGCCTGGGTCCATATTTATGAAACCATGAAAATATAGATAAAGGTTCTGGTTTAAATTTATGTACTTATCCATATTTGGGGCTGGAATTTGCTATGCATTTGTTGTGCTGGATGATGTTATACTGATTCAAAATGTACAACGGACCGGACCTATTAGGAAAGCGCGTGTATTTTGGTGCTTCACATTTGCTGGACACAGCCTTTTGCCTTCTAGTAAATGGCACTGGATTTCTAATTACTTGATTTGTTAGAAACCGGTTTTGTACATACTTGGTTAACATATTGGGCTTGTGGTATTATGTACTTTTATCATAATGTGTTCTAAGGGCTTGGGTTGGGCAGAATAATAGGTAAGGTAGATGCAAATAGCATAGCCAATTTACTTTAAGTGGGATAAGTCTGGTGTGTTTACATGGTGACTATTCCAATATTATATGGCAATGTGTGTTTTCCTCTACTTCTTTGAGACACTTTTTTTTTCTATGCTTATAGAGTGATTTAAAGGATTACTGTGGCTGGAATTAATTTGGATTTGGGGACCCCTCATTAAGCTCTATAAACCTATATTCTTCTGTTTGCTATGCACTTTTTAATACAGGTTGGGGATTTTTAGGATTGCTGACAGATTATAATTATTTTTTGTGTTTTACAGATGGAGGTCAAGATAATAACAATGAGGATTCTCCTGAAAACAATCCTTCGTACACCACAGTTTATGTTGGCAACCTTCCCCACGATGTAAGTTATGTGAATTGAAGACTGTACATACATAAGAACCAAACCTTAATTTCCTTTCTTTATACACCAACATTCCTAGGCCTTTCAAGCAGTATAAATGACCTGAACTTGAATTGTTGTATTCAAATTCAAGTGTAATTTTGTTCATGATGTTGACCCATGGGATATGGTATCTCTTTTAACTGTTCAAAGTGTCTGAATCTGCTAATGCTGGCTTAGCTTTCTTAGGGAAGCACCTAAATATCAATTTCACACCTACCCTGCCCTTTCCGTTATTTTGTCTTAGGATCCTGTGACCAAAAGATTAAAGTGTGTTTGCATCTGAGAACAGTTATCAGTCGTGGTGTTTTTACAATTTCATAAATCTCATTTACTCTTAAGTCTTATCCATTGGTCTTGTTTCAGAAAGGAAAAAAAGCCATCCCAGTGATTTAGGGAGAACTGCAGCTGTAGTGGACTGCTTGCAGTGTGTGATGTGGTTGCAGAACTCCCTGCAACTGCATATTGTGGCTGCCTCATCTAATTCTGCTTGCAATTCAAAATCATGATTGACAGCAATGCCTTCTGACTTTTTTATAGAAACCTTTTTATGACATTTTAAGTTTTAATAGTAGTTCCTAGCATATACTTGTTAATGAATGCCTTGTCAAACCTGTGGCAGTATGGCACTATATTGGTTTGATCTGAATGTTAATATTGCAATTTCTCACAAATTATGAATTGTTTCGTTCACCAGCTTCTTGATAAGTAACTTGTCGGCTCTCTATGATTGTGGTTTGGGTCACAGGTAACTCAAGCTGAACTCCACTGTCAATTTCATGCACTGGGGGCTGGGGTAATTGAGGAGGTCCGAGTTCAGAGGGATAAGGGTTTTGGATTTGTCAGATACAACGCTCATGATGAAGCTGCATTGGCCATTCAGATGGCTAATGGAAGAGTAATTTGTGGGAAGGCTATGAAGGTGAGAAGTCTTTCACTTGTTGTGACCAATGTTTGCCCTTGAATACTTAATTGTCAACTAATTAATTGCTATTTCACGGTTGAGACCAATGCTTGCCCTTTATGAGAAAGCCTAGTAATAAGTCTTACTGCATATGGGTGCCAGTCTTTTCATTTTTTCTTGCCAATATCTGAAGTCTGAACATGCAGAGACACATGCCTGTGCAATGTGTTTTGGGGGGAGGGGGGTGTTGTTGGAGTTGATTTAGATGGCGAGATGGCTGTGTTTTCACAGAATTCCCTGTTATATGGAGCCAGTTTTTTATTGTTGCAGAGTTAAAGTGCTTTTGAAGTTTAAATGCAATTCCATTGATGTGATGCACCTTCTAAACAACATGACTCAACTATAGATTTGCTAATGCTTATTTTTAAGGGCTGGAAGTATGTTTTCATGAGATGTCCTTGAATAAAATTGATTTTATTTGTTTTGTGCAGTGTTCATGGGGTAGTAAACCAACTCCTCCTGGAACCGCTTCGAATCCATTACCTCCTCCTGCACAACCATATCAAATACTTCCCACTGCAGGGATGAACCAAGGGTATTCTCCTGCTGAGTTGTTGGCTTATCAGCGCCAACTGGCCCTGAGTCAGGCTGCTGTATCTGGTCTTTCAGGTCAAGCTCTTCTGCAAATGACTGGACAGCATGGCCTAGCTCCTGCTTCAATGGGCATAAACTCTGGGGGATCTCAAGCAATGTACGATGGATATAGTGGTAATTCATCAAGACAGCAGCTTATGTACTATCGTTGACACATTGGTCAGTGCAGATTTACAGTTGTTGCCTTCTGAGGGCATTCATGCGCATCGCATTTCACTTTGCTTCTCCACAGCATATCCTTTTCATACTGGGCTTTTTTTTTTTTCAATTGAGGTATTGTGGCTTGATAAATACTTAAACTTCATGTCGTGTTGTAATCTGTATTGTTCGATCTATGAGGCTTTGATGACTCAAGAAAAGGGATCTATGTTTTGCTAGAAAGGGCAGTGAGTTTTATGTTTGGGTAGTTTTCGTTAATGCTATTGTATATTATAAAAGTATTGACTCGAGTTCTTGTTATCAATTCTATGGTTCAATTATTGATGTGCTAGTGCGTTATATCAGCGATATTAATTTTTTGGAAAATTAATACGGTGTTAATTCTGTCACGTATGTAACTTGTTGCGTTTGGTTGAGTAGGTTGATTTCCTGACAGTTTTGCCGTTCAAACTTTTGGCTTGCATATTACTTGATGTATCCGTTTTGCAGGTATTTTATTATGATTTTGATAGTTGGTTTTTCCTGAAAGATAAACGTTAACTAACCTCTAGTTAAATATCAAAAGTGAATCTTTTTGTCAAAAGAAATATTTACAGTTTTTAATAAGGGATAAGGGAGTAAATTGAGTTATACATAAATTATTTGATTTTGACTAGTTAACATGATAAGATAGTAAATAATATAATAATTGGATAACAATAAGATAGTCTTATTTTATTTTATCTATCTATTTCAACATAAAGTCACCTACATGACAAAATTTATACTAGAGGGATACAAATAAGATAAGATAAAAAAATTATTCTATTTTATTTTCTTATTTTATTCCCTAGATGAATCTTTGATGTTTAATCAAATTTGTTTATTTAAATAAACAATTATAAGTTTACTATAAAAAGTTTAATTGTATAAATGAGTCAAGTTTCATGAACACAACTTTAAAAACTCATGAATAGTTTTGACAATCTATTATTGCATCATTTTTTTATTTTTATTTTGTTTCTATCATTTTTGCTTTATCTTCTAACATAAGTATCTATTAAATAATTAATAAAATTAAAACATGCATTAAAAATATATTTGATAAAGAAAAATGAAATATAATTGAATTAAACAGGTTAAATTCAAACTTAATTTTTTAACAAAATAAGCTAAGTTATAAATTTCTATTTATTAAGAAAAATCAACTAAGTTTAAGTGGATCATTTAATTCATTTATACTTCCAGAAAAATGCTAACCAATGGTCTAAAGATATTGATAAAAGAATAAATGACAAAAAATATTTTATTAGAAAAACATAAAAATCCACTTAACGCTACATATTTTTTCAATTTATGTTAACATGATTTTCAAACAAAACTTATTATTTATTGATTCTTCAACTGGTAAAGCATAAAGAATCACGTTTCTAATAAAGGGAGTAGTGGGGATGAGGTGACGTTTTGACATCTTGCAGTCTTACTGATCATGCAATTTTTTTTTCTTTTGAGAAATTCTTTTAGGATCCTTTAGTTGTGCGAGAATAAATTTCACTTATTATACCAAAATTGTCCCGCTTCAGAAGTGGTTTGCTGGCACTGTTTAATGGAAGGGTCTTTGGTAGATGTGAAATGATCTTATGCATTAAATACTTTGCATGAAGATACACGAGGTGGAAGTGACTGTACACTCTCTTGGGGCTTATGCTTGTGAGATCAGCAACACTATACAATTACTTTCTTGTATAGAATTATAACACTAGCAAACAAAATGTTAATAATAATAAACAACATATATTGAACGAAGATATCAGCCGTTTATTGTTGTGAGCATGTTGGCAATAATTCTTTCATGAAATCGTAGTTCATGTATTCCCTTCACTTACCGATTCCAGGCTAGAAAGGATGGTAACTTTTTTAAGGATAATTTGATATGCATGGTGTAGTGATACTATCAGTACGTGTCAAAGTTCGCTCAGAATATGGTCAAAATATTTTTCTCTCAAAATAGGTTAATCTCTTTCATGTCATCAGTTATTTTTGCTATTATTTTCGTCAAATACTGATAGTTAAAATTAGATATATTGAATAATGACTACTTTTGCAGCCGAACAGAGGTAAAAATATTGATTATACACATGACATGTTCGTTTTGACTTTTTTAAAATAATTTTTTAATTATCTCTTAAGAAGTTATAAAGAAAATCTCACAATAAGCTAATGATATTTTTTGTTAGATTATTTAAAATATATAATTAATTCTAGTTCAATCGTGCATATTCTTTCTCGTGTTGAGTTATTTTCTTCAAATGTAGTTAAACAAACAACGTGGCATGGGTTATATGTATATCGTAAAATGTAGTTGTTACGTTTGTATCTGCATTATCCTTTTGTTTAAGAGCTTGATAACCCATTATGAACATCAGCACTACTTTCTTGCGTTATGAAACTCAACCTTCAAAGGCTACCCTTTTGATGCGATCTATATTGAAACAAGGGAGGGGGTAAAAAACAACAACTTGGAGAATCAAGCATGCTGTAATAACATCAGTCCACCTAAGTAATTTACACCCAATCCTGCAGATCAATCCATTGAACAAATTTAATTTGTTCGGTTCAATGGGATCTTGTTTTGACAAGTCAGACACCGATTGATGAGTTTGCTCTAATTTCCCCCGAGTGAGCAAATGGAGGACACCCTCCATCCTGCAAATAAAGTCAGACACAACATCCGTGTTAACATGATATAATAAGCTCATCATAAGAATCAAGAGCCATTTAGTTTTACCAAGTGTTTTTTGTTTTTATTTTTAACGTTGAAGTACACATTTACTTAATAATATATATATATATAAAATTTAATCCTTATACTAAAAAAAACTTACATTTTAGTCATTATATGAATATTTTATTATGTTTTGATTTTTAACATTGTAACACGGTTAATAAAAGTGATTGTTCATTGAATTATATTTTTCTAGTTGTGTTGTAATAATAAGGACCAAAGCATAATACAACACTCAAATAGAGGCTAAAATATAATTTTTTTGTAAGTTCAAGGACTAATTCATAAAAATGTATCAGTATGTATTTTAACATATTTTTAATTATAAAATACTACTTTGATTTGATTTAACTTTTTAAGATTTTTGCAGTGAAAACATTTCTGAAACTAAATAGTCCCTACTTCTCAACATAAACAGAAACTCACCAGCTGCACAGAAACTTGTCTCTCATGGGACATATTCATAGAGTTAGCCAAAACTGAAAGTAGATTACTATTTTCAGCAAGGTCTCTTAACCTGTTCAGTTCTGGTAAGATAACCTTGCCAAGATCAGGCCTATCTTTGCGCCTCAATTCGGCACACTGCACTGCCAACTTTGCAAGACTCAAGGCCTCTTCCAATGGCCAATCAGGCACTGCTGGATCCAACATCTCAGAAAAAGTTCCCTTCTCAATGGATTTTCCAGCAAGATGGGCCAAACCCATTGGTGATCTTGCTGTCAAAATTTGAAGGAAAATGATCCCAAGTGAGTATATATCTGATTTCACTCCTAACATACCCGTTTGCTGGTACTCAGGATCAATGTAGCAGAAGGTTCCTGCAGCGGATGTCATGCGGTATTGTGTGACACTGTCAGCCACAGATGATGGAACTAGCCTTGCCAAACCAACATCACTGATCTTGGCCACATAGTTTCTGTCAAGCAAGATGTTGGCTGGTTTCAAGTCCCTATGCACCAGAGGTTCTGGCTTTTTCTGGTGAAGGAACAACAAGCCTGTGCCAATTTCGGCTGCAATTTTGAACCGTAGTTGCCAAGGAAGTGGGGGAGTGTTGCCTCGCCGAAAGAGGCAATCGTCCAAGCTTCCGTTAGCCATGTGCTCATACACAAGGCAACCGTATTCTGGACAGGCTCCTAGGAGGAGAACCATGTTTGGATGCCGTATGCAGCTCAGTACCTCAACCTGTAATATGCATTGCATACAAGTAAGTCAACTAAACATAACATATTACAAATGTCTTAGCATGACTCGTGCACTTGACTGTTTGGTTTAAGAAAATGTTTTCTGAATTCATTTCCTGTTTTTATAAATAATTATAAACGTATGATTTTTGTTATTTTCTCTGTTTCCTGTTCAAATATGTAGAACAAAACAAAGTAATATAATTAGTTATTAATGGAAAAACGAAAACATTTTCACAGACCAAACAGAAGCTAAGATACAAAACTTTCCAATTGTTGAGTATAATTTGTAGGGTTCAAATGTTTTGTTTTGTTTGTGAGCTTACCTCTCTTTGAAACTGGGACCTTCCTTGTTGTGCATCAGGGCGTAGAACCTTCACTGCAACAGGTGTATGATCCAAAAGGCACTTAAAAACTGGACCATATCCTCCTTCTCCAATCTTCAGGGACTCTGAAAAAAAATCTGTTGCAGCTTCAATCTCCTCGATCGCGTACCTTCTATACCTGCAATCTACATTTACTAAAGCATCAAGTGCTTTTTTTTTGTCTTCTGATTCTTTAAGTGCTTTCATTTCTGCATTAAGTCTCTTCTGTGCTTCCAGTTCTGCAATCCTTTTTTGTGCTTCAGCAGCCTCAATGGCTGCTTTAGACTTGGCTTTCTCCTTTTCTGCAATCGCCAATGCTGCCTCCTCAGCAAGCCTTGCCTCCTCCAATTTCCTCTCTTCCTCTAATTTCCAACGTTGAAGTTCCACTGCCTGTCATGCAAATAAAACATGTCTCAGATAGTGCTGAACTTTTCTAGACATAAACATGAACTAGATATTAATCCATACCTTCTGCTGTGCTGTGAATGCTTCCTTACAGGCTGTGTTGTACATTTCCATTGTTTGCTTCAACTCCAACTTCAATCTCCTCATTTCAGCCTCCATATCATCCTACAATAGCAGCAACTCAACAATTAAAAAAAATTCTACTAAAATATTCACTTTCCTAACAAATTGTACCTAAATCATGAAATTCTTTTGGACTCTAGCAGTCTAGGAAGTACTAATACATGCACAGGCAGCATAAAAAATACAAATGCAGGGTGTGTTTTGTTTGAGTAAACATTTTCTGCTTTCATAAATAATTCACAAAATGTAACATTGTTTTCACTTTGTTTTTTGTTTTCAAAGATTTGTATAGTAATAACAAAATTTTGTTTTTACTATTGCTTGTAAAAATATTTTGAAAACGAAGAAAAGAACAACGTGAAAACAATGTGGCATTTTTTTAATCACTTGTGAAGGCAAGAAATGAAACCAGAAAAACATTTTCTCAAACCAAAAAGACTCGTGCATTGCCAACCTTCCTTACCACGCCTTGTGATGTAGTAGATGAATGGTTATCGCTATCAAATGAGAAAGATGAGAATTCAGGAGTGCCGGTGTCCATAGACTTCCTTCCATAATAATGCATTGACTCAAAGCTGTAGTTTGCATCTGTCTCTGAACTATATGATAGTCGAGGGTTGGACATTGCTGTTTCTGAATTGATATATGGTGAAGGGAACGTGCGGTCTGTGCTTGCCCTTCCAGTGCTTACAAAGAATATGTCAGTATCAGGCTTGGAAGGGTCCCCATATGGTCTGCCACTGTAACCTTTCCTAGTGAATGGTGACCTGATTCCAGTAGCATTTAGCTTTCAAATGTTAGATCTAATGCTATTTATCCATTCAAAGAAAGAACTAGTTGGTGCATCAAGAATAAGGCACTCAAATAGTATGTAATGTCACTAACCTGAATGAATCTGTTCCCTCATGTGATCCACGTGGTGGTGCCTCAAAGGAATGCCATTCTTGCTCTAACAGAAATCACATTTCTTAGTGAGCTATATATTGACAATATGTATATATACATAGAGATGTGTGGCTTTTGAAAGGATGGATCTAACCTTTTACGCTTGGAACCAATGGCATATTTGGGTCTGAGGTGTTTGACTTGATACTAACTTGACTATGACTGACCTGGTTGGTCATAGGGAAAATGGCTGGAGCAGGACGAGAAGCAGATCGAATCGATTGAATCTTACTTTTAGAAATAACATAGACTGTACAGAAATCTGGTGCCCCTTTTACAACTGTTCCAGGAATATCTGATACCTTGAATCTTCTGAAGAGAAAAAAACTCATTAAGAAATGGAATTGCTGACAGATCCAAGCTACTTATTCAGGCTTCTATTTATGCTTAATAATACATATTCATATAGCTAGGCACATAACCTTAAGTTACAATGACAGGATGAAGTCTTAAGCTGTTGTATAGATCATGTAGATTGTGAAATATGAAACTATTTGGCACTCTATTAGCATTATGTTTCTAATGACCACATTCTTGTTTTTGGATATCTGAAATTTACATATGGACTATTGCATGTGTTTTCAGAATAGAAGCTAGAAGTCATTTGCAAATCAGAACCTGACTTAGATAGATGCATACTTAAGCAAACCAGTTTTTGCTGGAGAGCCAAGAACCAGATGCTCAATTCCTGTCTGAGAAGCATATTCAATTATAGCTTTGGATACATCTATATCTTCTAGTAGGACATCCTTGCATTGTATCTATGGTCCATCCACCATAACCCCACCAAAGAAACAAAAACAAAGAGATGATAAGATTCTAAATTATGATGATTAGAACTCTTGATAAGGGAAACAACTTACATCTTTCCGTGTACAAAAGACACGATATGGAAGGAAAACGTTTTTGTTTTGGCCTTCTGGTTCTTTGCAAACCAGTGAACTGCCATCACCCATTAGAGCATTTATCCCTCCTACCCATGCAATCAACAAAGTAGGAAATCAATCTTGTAGCCTACAAAGTACACACTCGACAGGCTATGTTCATTGTTGCTACTAAAAACTGTTCTTTTCTTATACCTCCTTTTCATTTTTTTTTTCCTTTTCATGTCAGGATTGCCTAAATATTAACAACAAATCGGAAAAAACACACACACACACAAATGCTGTGAGGAGGCATTGTTGCTATCATTAATGCCATTCCAGTTTCACATGGCACAAAGAGTTCATGACTACTTAATAAGGCATAAATATATGAATTTTTTTAACTTGGGAAACATTGAATATGATAAAACTTTATATATAATAAATTTTCATTGAAAATTATAAAATTTAATGTATTGGTACCGGTAAATACTACAGTTTTTAATAAAAATGTAATTAAGTTTAAACACACTAATAACGTAAAGATTTTTTACAATATCATCTCGTCATATATTCTCCTATCTGTAATAATAGTTTATTTTTATAATAAGTATTATAAAAATCATATCTGCAGTGTATTCTAATTGGTTGGTAATATAAAACTCTCAGTAAACCAAAATTATTTTATCAATTTTTCTGAAAAATTGATAAATATAATACTCACTTGGGGTGAAAAGAGAAGGTGACGGAGAAAAAGAATGAGAGAGAAGCTTGACATGGATGAGAATTACAGTAGCACTTCTGGTGAGAAGATTGTCAACGGCCCATTTGAATGCATTTTGGCTTCCTTTTTCTTTATCTATTGCCACTGCTATTAATCCATTCACACCATCCTTCTTGTCTAACTGATTCTTTGGCAACCACATTACTCTCTTTGCCTTTACGTTCCAATTGCAATCTTCTTTTGCTCTTACAATGAAACACAACCCAAACCAAAGAGACCCTGAAGAAAACCCAAAAGTCTTATCTCCTTTCCCTTTGAAATAAACTATCAAAAAAAGTTTTTGTTTTTTGCCTTTTGATGTTTCCCATTCTGTTTCACCTTAAGATTCCTCAAGTTGCTATGATGAAAACAGAGACCATGCAAGTATTCTGTTGAGACAAATTTAGGATAACGTGTTTATTTCGAATCTTCTCTGTCCCTTCCTTAGCAAAGGACTTGAGACATGTTTTGTTGGTTTACTTGGTAGTTTGTTGTTCCTGTTTCTTTCGGTGTTCAACACCTCAAACGACAAAATAATAGTAAATATTACCATAATTTGTGTAATCTTTCCGTATACAAGTTAGCAGCCATTTTTGGGTTTATTTTAACTATTTTGAGTTTCTTTTTCTCGAAGGTAATGACCACACAGGTTGTTCTATTCTATAGTCTTGTCTATCTCATCAGAGAATAACCAAATTTTGCGGGCTATCTCTGAATTCATCTTTTTTGGAAATGGAATCTAGTAACTACAAATCTTAGCTCATTCGTGCACCCATTTATTAATTATTAACATAAATTGTGTGAGAATCCCACTAGTTTAGAGGATAAGCTTTCTTTATCTTTCTATGAATCTTTTTAATACATTTTTTATTTTATAAATATTATTTTCATTTTTTTATAAAAAATAAGTACTAATTTTTTTTTGTCTTAATTAATAAAAACTGATTTTTAAATATATTAATTAATACACTTTTATACTCTTATTTATTATAGAATTAATATAAAAAACACTTGATATATTCATTTATTTAATATATAATTTATTAATTTAATCATTTAATGTTATGATATTTTAGAATACAATATAAATTTAATATATAATTATTTTTTATTAATCTTAATAATTAAATATTTGTTTCATATAAAAAGTACATGAATTTATTATCTTCAAAATATAAAAATTATTAATACTTTATTTGTTAAATAATTAGAACAATTTTTAAACAGATTCAAAATTATGAAAAATATTAATTGATACTCTAAGAATATTGACTAAAAATTAAAAGTAATTTTTTATTAAAAATATAAAAAATAACACTCTTCCTTAATTTTTTAATGCATTCTAATATAATTTTTTATTAAAAAATTACTATTTATTGATTTCTTAATTAATGATCTCAAAGCACCAGTTAACAAGACTAAATTTATATAGCATTATGCTTCTACTGTTGACCCCCTAAAACAAAAAGGAATTAAGCTGTTTAAACAAAATGTTAATTTATAGTAAGATTTTATTAACATAAACCCTTAAATTGATTTAAAGTATACAAAATTAGTCAAATTTATTAATATATATATATATATATATATTTATTTATTTATTTATTACAACTTTATATTTTTTATATGATAAATACTTATTTTTAATAAAATATTACCACTTTTTTATGCTTAAAGTCAACCTTAAGATTTTTTTTATAATATTCTTCTTTTTACATAAGAAACTAAAATTTAAGATCATAATTATCATGCAAGCATGCTACAAGTAAAAACCACACATCCTTCAAAAAGAAGTGCGTGCTTAAACATTCTTTAAGTAGAGTAATTCTATTCAAAGCTTTCCCTTACAAAAGCTTACTTGATTTAAATCAAACGGATAGTTTCAACAACCGACTTATAGAGCATAAAGAAATGTAATATTAAGCTTTAAAACTTTAATTCCATCACCACTAAAATACTAATCGCGACCTTGTGTCTTTATGCTCTTGGCGTATTTAGATTCATGTTTAAATACCTATAAATCCACGTTTACTTGACCGCTATTAGTTGTAAGTTCTGTGTTGAATTCATGTTTGCAGTCTTTCAACATGAATCCAAACACACATTCTATCAATTTTAGTCATTGTTGACCTTTTCTAGACAACTTGGGTGAAGGTCATAATCACAGACATCACAGGAGAATGTCCAGAACTTGCCTTGGTTTTTACAGGAATCACATACATATGCTTTGGCCATATCCAATTTCAGTACATGTTCATGCTTGACATCCTCAACCTGTTGAGGCAAAGCCTCTCCTTCCTTTCTCAGAGCTGCCTCTAGCTCTCTTATCCGCGATTCAGTAAATGGGAAAGCTTCTGCACCATATGAGGAAATCATGAACTTCCCATTCTCACTAACAACTTTCCCATCTGCTCCGATAAGAACCAAAGCAGGAATTTCCTTAATGTCAAAGATTCTTCGAAGATCATGCCTTGTCCTGTCCTCATACGGAATAGCAAGCCATGGCATACTACTTTTGTTGACATTGAATTCTTCAGGATCCCTATCTGTTGACACTAAAACAATCTCGAAGCAATGGCCTTTTTCAGCCTTGAGATTATTGTATGCATCTGTAAGTTGGACAGTGAAGGCACAGCATGGAGGAGACCAATAGGCACCAAAATATAGGCCTATAGTTTTACCAGCTAGTTCAGATATGGGTACCTGAAACAATAAGTCATGTGAATATCATGTGTGTAATTACTACATAGTCAACAACAACTCCAAGTAGGGCATTATGCTACCTTTCTATCATCTCCAGAGATTAGAAAGTCACGGCCTTCATGTGCCAATAATTCTTCCAAATTTGCTTGCTCGTGTTTTCTTTTATCTATGGCTTTCAATTCCTCATGCCTCTTCCTTGTGAAAGGAAATGAATCGGCACCATAATCCTCAATGCATCCAATCAAGTCTTCTTCAACAGTTATGCCATCAGAACATAATGGAAGGAATGATGGGATTCGATCAACTCTGTATCTGTCAATCAGTCTTCTATGCAAATTTACATCAAATGGAACGGCTAGCCATGGCATACTCTTGAAGTGTTCTTTGAATCCATCCTCATCACGATCAAAGGAGATGAAGATGATCTCTAGATTTATTCCCTTTCTTCTCAGTGTTTCATAAAGTTCAACAAGACGGGGAACAAAAGCTCTGCAAGGCCTGCACCAGTTTGCAGTGAAAAATAGGCAGATGATTTGCCCACTGCATTCAGACAAGGGTACCTAATCTCATGATTCAAAGATGACAAGCATTAGCTATACTACCAAGGTCACAAACTAAGCAAATGATAGAATTTGTTTTTCTAAGTTGGATTTTACTTTTTATTTATTTGGAGAAAAAAGAGAACCTTCTGAGGATGGCTGAGAAGTTAAACTACTGAAACAATCAGTTAATCTAAAGTTGAATCCATTTACTAGCCTATGGCCTAACCAACACACAAATAATAGAAAAGCAGTTTTCTGCAGAAAGTAAGCTACCTTCCCTTCACAAGATAAAAGGAACTCAACACCTTCAGCTGCAAATATCTTCAGAATATCATGGCTGTCAGTATATGTGGCTTCAAAATTTAACCCTGCCATTGGCTCCTGCAGAAAACAGATGTTCTCCTCTCTCTTTTATAAGTATTCTTGATACCTAAGTGATCAAGATAAACATATGAATTTCGAAAATAACATCCAACATGGACTACAACACCATATCAATAAAACTTTGAACTTTAACTTTCACAGTAGTTTATTTACTATTGCAAATTGCAAGGGCAGATAAATAGAACTTTGTTATTTCTTAAATTTCACAAATTGTCTGAAGCTGTCCTTCAATTAAGATGGGAAGGAAGCAGAGTGGAGAAATCTTATACTTAGAGATAGGACAGAAGTTTCTGAAGAGAGAAACGGGCAAGAAAAGACAGAGTGGAAGAATTGATGACCATGTATGAAAACAAATATGAGGGATATTCCCCATGAGGATGCTTCATTCTTTAAAACCAGTCAAAGGGGGGTTGCGTAGACACCTTCCTAATCCTAATGAAACAGCATTGCACACTCCAAACCACATTCAATGGTTTTGATGATCAATGATTGCGTGACAGAATTAAAGTATATGTGTGAAATAGTGTCCAATTGTAATCACAGTTAAAACTGTGCATCTAAAGTGGGTCTGTGTACTTAAAACATTTCTCAACTCAAGAAATTGGCAATCTTTGTATTCAAGTGGATTTTAATGGACCCAAAAGAGTATCAAAATCTTCATTTTTTGGGAAGGATCAAAAGACCCTTATGCATTATTCTTTAGAGAATAACTTGATTTTTGCATCAAACAGAGTCAAGAGGAATGAATTGATTAACACCATAAAAGTCACGCACTTAAGCAACACTTATAACTTTAAAGGTGAAGAAGAATCAAAGTGCTGCTAAAGCAACCTTCGTAGATGCAAGTCAGTGATGAATGCAATACAAAAAGTGACTGGTTGATACAGTTTCAAATTCTAATATGAATTACCTTGTAGTTGCAGGTGCAGTTGAAGAATAACACGGAGAGAGGGAGAGAGGGAGAGAGAGAGAGAGGGGTTGAGTCTCCAAGACGAAAGGAGATATGGTTCGGTGGGACAATGAAGAGCTTTAAATATGTTAATGACATGATCAATCATGTGTCACGCTAAGGAGATTTTCTACTTTCTTTCTTCTATTTAATTGAAAATATTAATTTAAATAACCAAAAAGAGAAAAATGTCATTATATTGAATATATATATATATATATATATATATATATATAATATGAATATTAACTTCTATTTTTAAATTGGTTTTTCTGTGATTAAAAATAATAATTTTTATTAAAAATCATAATATTTAATCTTATTAATATATTATATTCTGTAATTTTTTAAAAAGATTAGTATACATAAATTCTTATAATATGCTCTTGGATATAAGTTTAAAAAATTATTTTTAAATATTTGAAATTAATCTCAATGACTAATATTTTAAAAATAATTAATTAAAAATATATTATTTTAATTTATAAATTTTACGAATAAATGCTCAAGAGATTGGGCATATGCTCTAATTGTATAACGGATATGCGGACATTTGCGGCTGCCAATACGTGTATCCAATTTTACTCTAGTTTAAATAATTAACCAGTTCTATCCTGCATAAATAATGTGTTTAAATAAAGACATAATTATTCTTTAGTTAAAGATTTTCCTTTTCTGTTCTCAGATGATCGAGGGTGTTATAACTATATAATTGGAAGACGGATTACGAGACATGTTCGTTTAATAATTTACAGAAATGTAAAACAGCTACTATAATTTTAATGACTTTTGGAAATGCTACTAAAAAAATATCAAATACTTGTGTATTTTAAGATATTAAATATATTACTTCACTATTTAATGTTTTCTTATGAAATATTTAAAAAATATCAAAAAGGATACTATAGGAAATTACAATATCACTCAGAATAATATAGGATGAAATGATAGGAGATAAAAACTAGCAAACTTCGCAATGAGACGAGATAGGTCCAAGAGATGAGGCATTAGAAAAGGTAAGGGTATCAAATTGGATTATATAAATTAATAATAATAAAATCTCGAAATGAATAGCAATAAACGGATGGTACAAACTAGGAACTGACTCAGTGCTTATCCACTACTCGCAAGTCTAGAAAAATGATACAACGTGACAATGACCCATTTCCACCAATGCAAATGGGAAAGGAATAATTTTAACTTTTCTTTCGGGAGGCCCTCGAAAACATATCCTTGATGTTATGTGATTCTGTCTCCAATTTTACCTTCTTTGTTTGTCTACCTTTCTTTGCAACTGCAACCTTCTTATCACTCCGTTCCTGATAAAATTAGTAGTAAACAAATAAATACAAAACAAAAATAGAAAAACCTAAAGACTAATCACATTCTTCTCGTGTTCTAGGAAATACCTGTAATTCATTACATAAACCTGAGTTACTTCCTTCAGCATTTACTTGTGTTTTTCCGGTAACATCAAGTATATTTAACCTGCAAAAGAAAATTCTCCTTAAGGCGTAAGAATCCCATTCCCTCAACTTTGGTTTCTCTTATAACCACAAGGAATATATAAGTAATATATTTAGAACAAGACATTCTGAAAGGCCATACTTGAGATGCTTACACAAAAGCTGCAACCAAGGCTCTTCCTTCAAATACTCTCCTAAAATAGAGACCGCATCAATCACTGCATCAGTAACCTAATTACGTTAATGAACAGCTAAACCAGAAATAATAAAAAGAAATGAGGTGCATGCGAGAAGCATCACCATTAATATTTATGGCCAAGGGATTAGGGAATATTATCAAGGATGATATTGGTGCTTCAATTGAAGTAACTAAACATACAACTGCACATGAAGCATCAAAATAGATGTGTATTTTGCTCATGCACCAATCGAGAACTAGAGACAGAGGAAGTGCATCCTTAATTGATAATTCCTCAAACAAGAAACAAACCAGTAACTGCTAGTGTGGTTTTCACATAGAAGGAAAAAAGATACCTATCAACAATAGATAAATTCCGCCATCTTATTTCCATTTCCCAAATTTAACAACCAACATAACATGTAATTATTTGTTTCGATGAATACTGTACAATATATCTTTCCAAAATTATTTTAACAGGTATTTACACACACAAAAAGGGAAGCGTCACTTCCACACTACTGTACCCCTCATCGCAGTTTTCTTTTTTCAATTTAACCTCAACATAATAAAATTCTCCAAAAGCTAACAGAACATAAAAGTTATAAACACTTTACATGTGTCTTTCTCTGATTGAACAGCATAGTTTTTGTCTAATTTGGGTAGTGTCTGTTTCAGCTGATAAACCTAAAATAAGGAAATCAAATTCACAAACTTTAATACAAGTGAAAAGTTTTCTAGCCACTAAATCAAATATGACAATACATATGCCCAAAGTTAAATAGAAAAGTAAGTTAGAATGTAAACCAACTATAAAGCAATTTAAGAATTTCCTAGGTTGTCTTATTGATGAATGCTTGTATCAGCAATCAACTCTGAAGATAGGCTGTGTCTGTGACTCCAATGATGCAAAGTTAATAGCATGATGAAATAGATGAGTCATAATTCAGTCTTGTTTACATTTTCATGGGGAGCATCATGAAGTTCAGACATCCATGTGCTAAATATTATACCTCCACAATAGTACATGGTGGACGGGATTTGCTGTGCAGCTACATTGTGTATACCAGTTTTTTTTCTCCTTGGGGTGGGGGATATAACATCATATAGACTAAATGACAATTAAGGAAATGTAGGCAAACCTTATAGCACAGCCAACGTAGAACCTTTGAGTCATCAAGTCTGAAGAATTTTAAGGATCCTACTTCTGCATATGCATAAAGATAGAAGTCCATGAGAATTAAAAACAAGAAAGAATATTAACAAACAATTGCTGTCATCAATAATATAAAAAACAAAGCCAACAACAAACTTATCCTTTTCTTTCCTCCATATCTTCCCAATAAATTACTTAAATCATAAGAAAACATGGCAAACTTTCAAACTCAAGATGTAAAGAGATGGTGTACAAGACTAGGATCACCTTTGACTTCGCAAACTACTTGCATGCAGTTCTCCACAACAGACAATAATTGCTGATAGCCAGGATACCCATCAATAAACAAGATCTCATCCAATTGCCTGAACTTCCCAAGATCATCCCCTTTCTGCATGCATTTTAAAGAAACCAGTGATATTCAGAGATATAAATTTTGAGGGGAAAATGCAATCTAGACCTAATTAACTCATTCACAAACCTCATTAGTAAAAGTTTTGTGGACCTCGCAAACAAGGCATATCTATGGCTCTGTGTGTACGTTCCTTTGTGGATAAACATATAATTATTGGTGTGATATGACTCTTCTAGGAAAAAAAAGTAACAAGATAATAATATTGATATTTATTGATGAATATTCAGTCACTTTTTCAATTGAATGCTGTAGAATACCATTCACCCATTCAAGACTACATGGTTGCACTGAACATGGAGTAAAAAAGTGGAAAGCATATCTGTCAGTTTTTTTTAACTAGATAATTGTTAATTTTAAAATAACCTGGGGTGGATTTACTTAAATGAGTTGTAACTATAATTTACCATCCATTATTATTAACGATTGAGATTTGTGCATTTTAACATCTTAAGTGCTGCCTGCAATTTAGACTTTAGAGGAGTTATATACTTATTAATGTAAGTGGGCTCTATACATGGGTGTCACATATGCAACTAAAACTTTTACTCTACTTAATCAGCAATAGTTGACCAGGGATTAGCACAAATGGAAAAGAATTTGAAATAGAAAATGTCTTCCAATTCCAATGGTTCAAAAGAGATATAAAACTAATTACCTTCATTCTAGCATCCTCAAATATAGGCAACATAATGAAAACAGGATCAATTGGTGTGGATAAATACAGCCGACCATCTGTTGGGGAACAAAGAAAAGATAACAATGAAAAGAATCAAATGAATTTCTGCCAAAAGTATAGTTTACTTACAGTTTCTACATGAGTAGAAGAACTACACACTACTAACATAACAAAATGAATGATGATGCTTTCATTCAGACTAGGATAGGAACAGGAAATTTTTTTTAAGTGTTTGTTAGAAGTACAAGAATATGGCACAAGCACCACAGGAAAAAAAAATTAAGGTAGACGTAAAAAAAAAAAAGATTATTAGACAAGAGATCAATGAGAGAAAGTAAACCATAAGTAACAATGCAAAATGTATACTTTAGCATCTTAGATAATCAAACATCTACCTTCACTTATATAATCACCCAAAAACCAAGATCCATACAAGTTCTTAAACCATTGAAGTTCTTGAAGCACTCCATTTACAAACAGATATTGTGTTCCATTTCCTGTCAAACAAGCAAATCATATGAAAAAGCCAAGACAGGGAGAGCATTCAAAAACCTCAATAAGGTCTAATTCCTTTAGAAAGATTTATAGCAAAGTAGTATAATATTATTAACAGAACTGTATAGAATTCCAATCAACACATTAAGAAATCCAGACAGAAAATTATTATAAATCATAGCTTTATGCGAATATTAACATAAACATGATAAGAAGTACATAAAATAATGGATATTCTTTGAACTACCAGATTTGGGATGGCGGAGCAATATCATATCTCCCAAACCGTTTCCATTTGTACCAGGATCTGTACTTGATGGGGAAAAAAAAAGCATCAGCGCGTTATTATAAAGCAAAGCAGAAGTTACCTAAAAAAATCTCTAGACGGCATAAATAATAATCAAAAAGTGGTAGCAGAAGAAGGATATAAATTGAAACAACTAATCAGCAGCTATAGCTTACCAAGGCTACAGAGGCATATATTAACTATTGGAAACTATTAAACAGCAGCATATTGTTGTTAAATTTAATCTTGTTACAGTTCTATTCACGTGTTTTCTCAGAGCAAAACGTAATTTATCATTTATGTCTTTTTATCGGCATCCTTGTCAGTTTTTGGCAGCACATTTCAAGAAAAAAAATGTATTCCACTTTCAGAATTCACAGATTAACCTAATTTCATAACGCTTATTCAACAGTATGTTTATCAATGTACAACGGGAACTATATGAAATAAGAACAGTTTCAAGTCCAAGTGCAAGCAGAAGTGAAGAACTAATTATATTTTTTTATATGAAAATAAAGAAGAATAACAAAATTCAAAAGTAATGTTGTTAAAAGAGTGAAAGAGAAGTAAAATTACCGGGAGCGACGAGAACCCGAGGTTCCTGAACGTCTTCCCACCAACTCATAGGTTTAGCAGAGAAAGATTGAAAAGCCCTAACAATACCAGTCACAGACCGTTCCCTTCTCCCGTTACTGTAACCGAATATTGTTAACTTTACGAGTGAATTGCAGTGTAAGAAGGAAAACAAAGGAAGATTTACTTTATATTTACATTTTAAAGTGAAGGGAGTTTAGAAGCAGCGAAATGGAGGAGGGAGAGTGACGGTGAATCACGAAATGGAGCGCGCGCGGGAACGTCGAAGAGAAGCACACTCTCGCCATTAAAATCGCCTTCTGCCTTTCACACGGGCCACTTTACCAACCACACCAAGCCCAAGGGCTTTAACCCGGTCCAATTTTTCTTTTTTCTTTTTTCTTTTTTCTTAATGTTTAACAAAGTTAGTTTAATTTATACACACAGATACTTTTTATATAAAAATGTTAAGAGAAAAAATAATAAGTTTTTATTTTATCTTTAATTATAATATTTTCACTTTATTTGTTATTGTTTCGTCTACAAAATTTTAAAAATATATATATATGCAATAATTTTATAATTAAAAATAAAAACATTTTGGAAAAACAAACGGCCTCTTAATTTTAAGTTAAAGAACAACTTAAAATTAGTTAAAACATAATTCTTTTTTTTAACTTTTTTTTTTCACAACGATTCTTTCAAATTTTTTTAAAAACTTTACCAAAACATTGAACAAATGGAGTAATAAGCATATGCTCAACTAAAAAACCAAACATTTATCCATTTCTTTTTATAGGTGCGGAGTGTGTAACGATAATACTGGCTAGCTGCAAAGAGTACTTTCATAAAAAATCAGCATATCAACGTTATTACATAATAATCTTAATCCTTAAATATATTTTTAATTCTTATGTTTTTTTTAAACATTAATTTTATTCTCTTAAAAAAATTCCTTTTAATTTTATTTTGTATGTTGATGTAGCACAACAGAAATAACAATAACGATAAAAATAATAATACATAACAATCTCTTAATTAACTATGTCATAAACTAAAAGGTTAAAATTAAAAAAAGTAAAAACATGTTTAAACTTAATATTAATTTATTCCTATAAGATCTTTCTACTAATCTTTTATTCATCTGATGAAACAATATAGAAAAAATATAACACCGAAATCATCTAACAAAAGACAGAGTGTCATCCTGACTGATACTTGTAGATGAGTAGAGATGATCAATCCCCTCACTTCCATCATCAACACTGTCTCTTTCTTTCAACTCTTCAATCTTTGCCACTGCCTCCTTCCAACCCAACCTGTTCTCCAAATCCCATTCACAGCAAGCCATTCCAATTCTCAACAACTTCAACATCTCACCCTCCCCACTCCTTCTCCCCATAATATCTTTATCAAACACCTCACCGCTCCACCCTTCCCTCGCAATTGACTTCACCCATTCACCCAAATCCTCACTCGCTCCCTTCCCATGCCTTAAATAATTCGCAGGAAACTTTCCCGTCAAAAGCTCCAATATTAGTATCCCCAAACACCAAACGTCACTCTTCTCACTGGGTCTCTCGTTCTGGCTCACCTCTGGAGACTTATAAGCTACCATGAATTGCTGAGCGTGACTCTTGTCCACCACTGCCACGAGTCCATACTCTGCCAAACGAGGTTCAAATGAATTGTCCAGCACTACATTCGATGATTTAAGATGGCCGTGTGGTAAGTCTTTGTCGGGGAACTCTTTGTATAGGTAAGCTAACCCCCTTCCCACTCCTTTTATGATCTTCAATCGAGTTCCCCAATCCAGCTCACTACCACGTCTACCTGCAAATCAATCACCCCAAAATATACAAAGATATTATTTTAATATGATTTATTCAATTTTTTTTTAATTATTTTGATAAGTTTTTTAGTTAAAATTAAGTTTAGTTAAGTGTTTTGTTTTATAAAATATTTTATTGAAATATTGCCTCTATTTTTATTGTGCTTTTCTATTTTCAATATAAAATAAATATTTATTTTAAAATAACATTTAAATATTTAAAAACACTTGAAGTGAACTTCAAAAAATAAGGTATTATTTGAATGTTAATAATGTGGGCATGCCAGTATACCATACCATGAAGATGACAAGCCAAGCTGCCATTTTCAGCGAAGTCATTAACCAAAAGTTTCTCTTGTTTTCCATAGTAGAATGCAACAAGAGGGAGTAGATTAGGGTGTGTCAACCTCCCAAGCCTTTTCATATGCTCAAAAAAGTCTCTTTTCCCAACATTGTTCATGTTCTTGAATCTCTTCACCACCACAACTGGTCCACTCAATACCATAGCCTTGTACGTGGATCCAAAACTACCACTCCCCAAAACCTCAGCTGAGGCCCTAAGCAAATCTTGCAAATCAAACACCTCCCTCTCCTTCCTAACAAAGTTCAAGCTTCCATCCTCACTCTTCTTCGATTCACTTGAGGCAAGAACCATGGATTTCGACCCACTAGAGACTGAGTTTGTGTTCTGGGGCTGTGCTTCCTCCACCACCGACACTGGTTGTCCACTTTTCCTTCGACGGTAACGGATGAACAGAAGTGCTACTACTGAAGCCATGACAATCACACCCACCACTACGATAGCGGTTAAAAGGAGGCGCTTTTTCTTGTGCTCTTCGTCTTGGTTTGTATGAGTCAAATTCGGCCGTTGACCTGAGGGTGAGGGGGTGATACTGGGGCAAGGGCTTAGAGGTTTTCCACATAGACCTTGATTGCCTGTTACACTAGAAAAATTAGACAAAACATGTATCTAAGATGTCCTCTAAGAAGAAGTACAAGAAATAAATATATGTTTGGTTTAATCTTGACCTTGTAGCAACATAATTTGATTATCGTTGACTTTGTTATCCCCGAACAACACCCCTTTAAGGATGTCAAAATATCATCCTCACATCAAATTATATCACAGGATTTTTGAATTAAGTAATTGTTTAATAAATTTTTCAAAACGATGGCTTGTACCTTAAATTTAATAATATAATTTGTTAAAATAAATTGAGAATAGTTTATTTTAATAAACTGTACCAAGAAGAAGTTTATTGAAATAAGTTTATCAAAAAATAATTTATGAGAGTCTTTCATAAGTTCTTTCAAATATAACCTACAAGTTAACAAGCATCATCAATAGCAAAAGAATGTTCAAACATGCAAGAAAATTTATCTGATATATATACGGCGAGAACTTGAGAGGTGAAAATGTTTGGTTTTGGCAAAGTATATTGTGAGAATCAGTTCAAATTTAATAAACAAAGTTGGATATTTGTATTGAATTTCATGTAATGATATGATGGGTGGGAACAAATAAAAACTAATTCAGTCCATATAGGTTAAGACAATTACAGATACGAAACCAGCTTACCAACAAATGAGCTTGGATCTTTGTTGCTCAAGCTTTCTGGTATTGGACCCTCCAATCGGTTGTTTGATAAATTGAACACTCTGAAATCACTCCGATGAAATTCTGGTATGTTACCATCAAAACTATTTCCATGCAAATCCACATCCACAAGTTTAGGCAATATAGCAAGAGATATAGGAATAGGACCCGTGAACCCATTTTCTGCCAAGAATACTCTCTTGAGGCGTTTCATGCCTTCAAAAGCACCATTCGGAATTTCACCAGAGAATTTGTTATTGGTCAGAAACAATGCCCTTAACTTCACTAGCTTGTTGAATGCAGGCATTGGACCCTCAAAGCTATTGTTAATAACACTAAAGGTGTTCAAAGTAGACAATTCAAGCAGCGCATCTACGTTAATTGTTCCACTTAGTCCCATATTTTCTAGTCTCAAACCATGAAATGTGAGATTGACACATAATATACCAGTCCAGCTACACAAATTGATAGCCTCGTTCCCCCAGTTGTTTAAAGCATCAGCATTGGACAAGGAGCTTCTGAAGTTCAACAAAACTTGAGCGTTGTCACCTAATGATGGCAAAAAACAAGTGGCGAACATAAAGAGCATAAGAAGGCAGTGTTCTCTTTTATGAACCATCATTGGAAGGTGAAAAGTGATATGGGTTTTGGTTGATATGGTAGGAAATAGGGAAATTGAGGATAAAGAAAATGGTGAGAATTGAGAAATGATAGAGATTGTGCACAAGAAATTTTGATTCAATGGTTTATGAGGTGACATTGACAAGGTCCTTCCTACAAAGAATGAGCTGGTTAAGCCGGCCTATGTTGTTTGTGGTCTTCATTTCCAAAGATGCTTTTGTTAAATGGGTATTTATATTTCTGTCTTGGTTGTGGCCTGGTTAGAGGCTGTTTTTTCTTGTTAATGGTGAGGTTGATGCCTTCTATCACATTGGTCGTCTCTAAAATAAGTATAATACGCGACTTTTGTTGTCTAATGTGCTTATTATGATCTGAATTTACTAGACAATATCCAAAGTGATTGAAATTCTTTGTTCTTGTTTTTTTATTTTCTTTTTTGTCTTTCTAATTATGAGATATGCGTGATTATAATATTATTTGTCTATTTAAAAAAAAAACGAATGCCGATAAGGTCTTAATTTGGTTCCTATGATGAGATTACTGTAACTTGCATGCTAAGTTTCATTTTTTTTTCCTGAGCCTATGCCTTTAATTACCTGCCTTGATAATAAGATATTAGCTTAGCAGTTTCAAAATACCCATTGTTCGTTTAAAAATGATTATAACATGGATTCCAGTAGTATGGATCAACCATTTAAAAGACCAGTTGTTTGTTAAAATAAATTATTAAATATTCCATTGAGTGGGAAAGAAAAGAAATAATAACACGAGATATTGCAAGAGGCTCGGCAGACTTATTAATATTATTGATATTTATAAGGGATTATTTTTCCTAAAAAATCATTGCCAAACATGCACATTGGTTTTGTATCTTTTAACCTTCGTTTGGTATATAATAGATTTTGAGAGGAAAAATGATGAGATATCAGAACATACAGTGAGAAAAAGAAAATCTGAGGTGAAGTGACAATGCGTGCACGCGCACACTCTCTTTTTTAAAAATATTTATCTTTCTCAAATAGTTATTTTTTCAACTCTCTGTTTATATCAATTTTTTATATTTTAAAAAATATATAGAGAGATTTAATAATAACAATTTCTAATATTTAAAGTGAAAAAAAAAAACAGTACAAATGACAAAATCAGACAAACAATTATTAAAATCGAAAATGAATGGTATATTTGATTACTATTTTGAAAACAGTTTTTTGTTTTAAAAAAATAAATTTTAATACAATTTTATATTATAATTTATTTTTAAAAATAAAAATTATTTTTAAAACAGTAATTAAATATGCTCTAAATTTATTTCATTTATTATGTGAAAACTACATTTATGAAATAATTGATTTACAAAGATGTCAACTTTAATTTGTAAGAATTAAATTCACATCTTCGTCTATCTTATTACATATGACGCACGAGTGGCTCACAAAATCAAATGGGGAACAGAAAAAGCTCTCACAGTAAAAAGAAACACTAATACTTCTCAAATGTCCTTTATTCTTGACTTAACCTAAACCTAAAGTGTTCTCGCAGGACAAAGCAAGGTTTATACTTTTTTGTGTTCCCTCCTCTTATTCCTACACTGATCATAATTATATTTAAGCATTTGAAAGCTATATAATTTTTTAAGTAACAATATATATATTAATTTCAATTTATCAATAAAAAAAGTTTATTTTAATATATTGGTGATATCAAAATCAACTAAAAATCATAAAATAATTTTTAAACCAATTATTATAAATATAAAAATCTCTATCTTGAATATTTAATGCAAATAACATTTTTTAAACTCTGAACTAATTTATAATTTTTTAAGTTAACTTGTATTTTTTTCATTAATTTTTATTTTTATGCACATTTATTTAAAAAAGTAATACATGATTAATTATTAGTTAAATTTTATTTAAGATTTTAAAAAGTTGTATTATACTGTCTCTTTCACTAAAAAGATCAGTTTTGATTGACACATAATAACACTGACAAACCCAGTGTTCTGGTTTCCTGATCTCCTCACTCTGTTACTCTCTGTCTCTTCAACAATGAAGGCCACCACAGAACAAGCCATGGACATTGATATCTCTGCCTCTGCCACAACCCTATCGTTCTCCAAAAACGAAGAAAAAAGCCAACTCAACATTCCCTTGCTCCTCCAACCATCTCTTGCGAAATCAAAATCTAACAACACTGTTGACGAACTTGGAAACTTTCGCATGAGCCTTCAATGGTGTGCTCTCGAACACACTTCTTGCGTTGGAAAACTCACTTCCTACGTTTTCTTCCTATTCCTCACCATCGCTGTCCCTCTCTTCTCCTTCCTCTTCGTTCGTGTCCCTGCCTCAGCTTCTCAACTCCAACCGTTCTCCCTCATCAAGCTTCTCCAATTACCAGAATCAGGCCTCGCCATTATCGCCTTCTTCACTCTCTCCCGTTTCTTCCGAAGGTAGGTCTCTCCATTTTCCGTTTCAATCAGATGCATGATATTAATGTATGTAACATCACATATTTCATAGATGTTATAAAGCATTCACGTAATAATTTCAGCTTTGAAAAAAATAAATGGTTCATAGTATATGTTGAGATTCCTTGAGGTGAAAGGGTCTGCCAAAGATGGTTCATGACAATATTATAAATAATAAAAAATTGTTGTTTTAAGCTGTTTCCAGTTCACTTGCATTTTATTATTTGAAACATGCTTAACTTATATCATTGCATTTGAAATTTATTGTAATAAAACCTTCAATATACTTATGATTTTGCAGGTATGGCCTTAGGCAGCTTCTGTTCTTGGATGTGTTACAGGAGGACTCGATGTATGTTCAACGTGGGTACACACGTGAGCTTCAGAAAGCTTTCAGATACTTAGCATTCATAATGTTGCCCTCTTTCTTTGTGGAACTTGGGCACAAAATCCTACTTTTTTTGAGGGTGGAAATTTCAGTTCCTTATATCACCCCCGGGTTCACACTGAACTCAATTGTGTTTGTTTTGGTATTGGTTTCCTGGGTTTACAGAACGGGCGTGTTCTTGTTGGTGTGTGTTCTTTTTAGGCTAACCTGCGAGCTTCAGATTCTGAGGTTTGAAGGGCTGCATAAGCTGTTTGAAGGGTGTGGATCTAATGCAAGTATGATATTCAGAGAGCACGTGAGGATTAGGAGACAGTTATGGGTCACAAGTCATAGATACAGGTTCTTTATAATTGGCTGCTTGGTCACAATCACTGTTAGTCAATTGGGTTCTCTGTTACTGGTTTTGGAATCAAAATCTGACACCACCTTCTTCAATTCTGGTGACCTTATGGTAAAATTGAAGCCTCACTTTAATTAATTTTGCTCTTTTTATTCTTAGTTGTTGTGTGTTTGGATAAATAATTCAATTAAGTTTTTATTTAATGAACTTTTATCATATAAAATTTTATGACATAAAAGAAGTTAAAAATAACTTATAAACCGACGATGCCTCTAATTAGGATTTGATTTTTATGGTGCAGATTTGTTCAGCTGTGCAGTTGAGTGGCTTCTTCTTGTGCCTTATGGGTGCGGCGAGAATCACCCACAGAGCTCAAGGGATAGTGTCAATTGCCACAAGGTGGCACATGTTGGTGACCAATGCATCTGCTGCATCAGAGCAGTGGAAATCCCAAATGCAAGAGGGGCTAGCCAGTGGCAGTGATTCTGATTCCTCAGACATACGCATATCAGTAACCCCACAAACACCTTCTTCTTTCCAAACTAGGCAAGCTTTGGGTAAGTGTTATCTCTAGTTTAAAACTCTTGCAGAGGCACAATTGAAGCCAATTTATTCTGTTGTGATCATGGTAATAGCTAGGATGCCAAAAGGGTATATTATATATATATATATATGGCAACGAATTTGGATAACCTCGTGTTATTAATAAGAAACATGATATCAATATATTGCAAAAAAGGATATAGAACTTTGATTAAGAAAATAGATACTATAATTAGTTATAAAATTCAATAATTAAATTTGATAAAAAATTGTATTTTTTTTTTTTGGTTTTAATATAACTATGTCATATTACTTAATCACATATGCTGATCCAAATCTGCTATATCCTAAGACAAGTAAAGTTTTGATTAGGAAACTAGATTACCGTGTGTAAAAATGGTATTTTAATGTGAAAATAACATTGTTTAAAAACAATGAACTTCTTTCCATTTTTCTAGTTGTAGTGAGGTGTTGAGGTTGTCTTCGATTATTACAGTGACGTATTTGCAGCACAATTATGGAGGGATAACACTGTTTGGGTTTCTGCTTGATAGAGGGTTGCTCCACACTCTGTTTGCCTTCGAGTTCTCCCTGGTGCTTTGGATTCTGAGCATGGTGGCTATCTAGTCTTTTAAACAATTAAGTGCAGAAAATGCCTCGCGTCAATAGCATGTGTATATAACCATAATCATAGCTCTGTTTTACTTTTGAAGTTATTATTATTCACTCATGCATGTAGAACTAGAGTTCTTAAAATTGTTTCGTGTAAAAAATTCTTAAGCATAAGAGTGTAACGTTAAGTTGGACTCCTCACTCCAGTCACTTCGTGGACTCCACGTAGTTTCGAGGGATAGTTTATTATTATACTGTCAACGCAGTCAAAATTAACCAACGTGGAGAGACCATGGACTCAGAACATTAAAAATTCAATATCAACGTAAAGAAAGTTATAAATATCAATTTTATTCATTCAAATTACAAGTGTGGAGATCACTTTAATTTTTATCTGTATAAAAACATTATTTTAATCTTTAATTGTAAAAAATATATTTATTTTAACATTTCAATGTAAAATAACAACATAAATAAAATAAAATATTTAAAATGAATGGTTTATATAAATTAAAATAAGATTTTTATAAATCGTAAATTAAAGTAATTAATGTTGATAATTTCAGATTATAGAAATATTTACTGTAAAGAAGACGATAACATGCGTTGTTCTCCGCTTCTGATGCTTTGACAAAGTCATGGATTGGGTCAAGATTTTCGGGCAACCCAATTTGGTGTGCGGGGATTACAGTGAATGGAAATTCCAAAGTATTACCCAAGTAAAAATTTGAGACTTCATTCGTGATAATGTATATAAAATAAAAAATATACTTTATTTATTACTAATCTCAAATTAGCTACGTTTATATAATATTTTTATTTAAATTAATAATAAATAAGAACCTCATTTTACATGTCTTGGTTTACAATAATTAAGTCCAAAAATTTGAATCCTATAACACATGCAATAACCTGACGTTATATTTAGGAAACAAGTGTTTGAATTTTTAAAATACAGTTAAATTACAAATATAAAGATAAATAACGTTTTTTTAATGAAAAATAGGACACCAATATATTTTTTACCACTTGTTTGAATAAGAAATTAATAGATAAAAAGTTATTGTATTTAACAGTAGATAAATGTTTGAAACATGTTATAATTATTGACTAAAAATTATTAAAAATTATAAAAGATAATTATTAAATTAGTATAATTTTTTTAAAAATTTATTATATTATATTATCCTTAAATACATATTACAAAAAATATTTTTTGTGTGTAAAACTTAAAACATATAAAATGCATAGGGTAAAAATAATTTTTTTAAATTCATTAAAACAATTATTGACACAATCTTAATGTACTTTTTAATACGTTTTTAATGTAATTTTAAATAAATTTTTTTTATTTTTTAATCAATATATTAAAAATACTTATTAGCACAATCTTCTATGAAGGGTGCATTTAAATAGACAATTTTTTGAACTTTTTATAAATAATATTTTATATTATAAAAATAATAAACTTTATTAAAGTAAGATAAAAATAAAATATTTTAATAAAATATAAAATTTATTTTGATAAATGAAGGTAATTTATAAAAATCATAAATCAATTTTTATAAATTGTTTACGAATTATTCTAAATATGCTATTGTATTTATTGTTTCCTAGCTACTAATAGAGCTAAAATTTGAATGGAAATAAAGAAGCAAGGCATTGAATTGAAGAGGGATGATAATGTGAAATTTCCGAAAGAGGTGGAGAGTGGAGACTCAAAGCTGTAACTAGATCATACCTAACCATCGTCCACCACTGGCCAACCATTAAATTTGCTGTTTCTAACATTAAAATACGTCCAGGTTCATCCATCATCTTCAGTGAAAGTGGTGGTTTCTACAGATAGCGATTCCAATTTCAATTTGTCTACATTCAATGTATCTTCCTACCCACCACACAACCCCGCTCTATATTTTTCAAAAAGTAACTAATATATATATATATTCTTACTATTCAAATATAAAAACCAATTTTAAGAATAACTCATCAAAACAAACGGCATTATACAGAGAAAGATCACAATTTTGAAAAAAGAAATAAATTGGCGATTAATTAAATTAATTAATTCAATTACTAATGATATGTAGGATCTATGGGAGGCACGTGACAGGCGTGTTGTGGGACAAGCTGGTTGAATCCGTGTGGCTCCTCACATTATAAATGCGAATGGTTCATATGCGGAATGCCTCACGCCTCATATGATCTTAGAGAAAGAGGAAGAAAGAGAGGAACGATTGCAACCCTAATTCGCTAGCTAAACCCTTATCGTTTAGCATTTCCTCTCTTTTTTCTCTCTTGTGCCATCTACCTCGGGATCTTTTCTCATTTTCCCGGAAAAGCTTCTGCATCCAAATGTAAGAATCCCTTTATGACACAATGTCGGTGATTGTCGATTATCTCGTTCAATTTTGTTTAGCTGAAGTTTTTATGTTTATAATGTTTCTATTCCCCAATGAAACTTTCGAATGTCGAATATTTGTCCTGTACTGTGCTTACGATCTCGAATTCGTTTATCTATGATATTTTGTTCGAGGTTTATAGATTTAATTTTTATTTTTAATTTTTAATTAATTCACGTTAGATTTCGTATTTTCATCTCACGCATTAAATTTGTGAATATTCACTGATGCTGGATCTTTTCTCAGAAGTCACGCAGCCATGGTTTTCTGGGTTTTTGGCTATGGTTCACTGGTGTGGAATCCAGGATTTGATTTCGATGAAAAAATTGTCGGTTTCATTAAGGACTACAGACGCGTGTTTGATTTAGGTAAGGTCTTTTGTCACGTGCTGGTTTTTCTGTGCAAACTATCTCGAATTTATTGATCTTCCACTGTTGCTGAGACGTGCCATTCCATATTTTTTGGTAGCGTGTATTGATCACCGAGGAACACCTGAAAACCCTGCAAGAACTTGCACGCTGGAGCAGAAAGAAGGGGCTATTTGCGTAAGTGCAAGTTTTATTTGTATTATCTGTTGTATAGCTGAGGTGAAGATTGTTTTAATTGACTGATGAAGTTGTTTTTTCCCATTATGTGCGCGTTAGTTTTTTTGTTGCCAGTGTCTTGGACATATCTTTTTGTCTTGCTCTACTTTTATTGTATCTTGATTTTTCTTTCTTATAATTTCTATGATCTTTTGTTTTTTCCCAGTGGGGCGCTGCTTATTGTGTTCGAGGTGGCCCTGAAAAGGAAAAACTGGCGATGCAGGTAAAATTATTTTCATTCCAGCGGTTACCATATTAGCCCTATAACCTGAATACAACATGTAATAATTTTTGGGTCTTAATAATGACTGCCTTTGTTAAGAAAGCTATTAAATGTATTACTAAATGACCGCCCTTAGTTATCTTGGGGTGTTTGTTTGCAATCTCCATAATTTTATCCTCCTATGAGGATTCAATTTTGGTACAAGTTTCCGAGTAAAATGGGCTTCTAGGTTATGCGCTATTTCATTGGAGATTTTTTACTAAACGTGGCAATAAGCATCTAGCACTTTTTAGAGCTTTCTAGATGATTTATGTACTTTTGGGCTTCAATTGTTTACTTTTTTGTTCTGTAGTATTTGGAGCGGCGTGAATGTGAATATGATCAAAAGACTCTTGTAAACTTCTTCAAGGTGAGTTACATGCAATTGCCATGCCTGTTTATATAATTATTACTACTACTAGCAAGCATTTATTATTTTAATCTTGAATAATCATATTCTAAGTTCCATTTTGTTAACTTTTCTTTAGGAAGGAGATTCAGTGCACCCTGCTTTAACTGGAGTAATAGTGTAAGTTATTTTACATTGTTTATGATTTTCTTTGCTTATTGATCCTGACATAAACTTACGTAATTGTTTTCTTCATACTTAAAGAGGCCAGGTTTCCTAACAGTTATCATTTCAATCTACAGATTCACATCTACTCCAGACAAAGAGAACAACAAATACTACCTGGGTCCTGCCCCGCTGGATTACATGGCTAGGTATATTATGGAACGTCTATCTCCCCCGTTTTTATCCGTGGAACTAGAAGTGGTGACCTGTCTCTCATTTGTGCTAATCTTGCTTCTTATCCATTCAGGCAAATAGCAACCGCTTATGGCCCTTGCGGAAACAACAGGGACTATATTTTCCTTCTTGAAAAAGCCATGCATGATATTGGTAAGTTATTTCTAACTTGGACAAACATAAGCATTGAACATTATTCTCTGTATGCAAATAGTACATGATCTAGCATCACATTTAAATATGCAAGCGCTGCTCTCTTGTTTATAATATATATTCATTTTGATGAGTTAAGAGGTTTGATGTGCAGGCCATGAGGACGACTTAGTGATAGAGCTTGCTAATGAAGTGAGGAAAGTACTTGGAGTGGGAAATGTACTACCAAAGGACAAGAAATTGGTTGGACCAGCACAGCTTCAACACCCTTCACATTTACCAATCTCTGCCCTTCAACTGCACCCACTGCCAGAACCTATTGCGTTGGATAGTTGAGGGGTCGGCGATGACTGAAAACTGACACACCGAGTTTGGCAACTAAACTGATTTTCTGCGGACCCTGCTAACACCCATTCATTTTAAAATAAACATATAGCTATTCCACTTAGCCTAGTTTTGGCGGCTTCATAAGCAATCGAGATGTTGCTTGGATTCGGTGATACGCCCAATATTTTGAATTGGAATATTTGCCGATGTTTTGCATCTACAGGGTTGTAATTGAAATGGTTAAAGTTTTCCTATTTATTTTTATTAAGGCAATCCTACCGATTTGGCAGCTACTTCGTAAGCAAGTGCTTGGTTTTTTTGGGTTTCGTCTTATGGTTTTTGGTTGACCTTTTTTTTCGGTTATTCGATTGCTTGACTTAAAGGCCCATTCTATTGTAATGACAATTTTGTCTCAAGCGCATTTACATCTCAATGACCCAAAAAAAAAAAAAAAAACAGGGACTTACATGTGGTACTATACGGTATGTTAAGGCGAGTTTCTTAGTATGTCTGAACTTATTGGAGCAAACTTTTCTCAAAATCTCTTCATTTTGTTCTGCAACACAAAAATCCAAAACTTTCAGCCTCCCTCACGCTCAATGCAAAATGACCATGTTTTCATCATTAATACGCCCCATTTTGGAGTGAAAGTTCCCTCTGCATCGTTCAACTTACGGAGTACACAAAGTAATTACTTGTGACATTTATATTGTAATCCCATTGCAAAGTTTCTTTTTATTAAAGACGATCAGATTAAGTTGTGAAGATAATCTTAACGGCACTTGCATCAAATATCAAAACTTAAGTAAGTAAATTATTAAAAATTACAATATTTATAATAGCGATACAATAATACTTCAATTAAAAAATGACAATAAGAGATGCTAAGCTTTTAATTCCATTGCACAGTGAACAAAAAGCATTATACTAATTGAAGCACTGATGACTATGGGTTGAGTTAATAGCGGTGAAGGACAAAGTCTTCTCACAAGTAACTGAAGTATGTTCAGTATTTTTTTTTATATTATTAATTTTTAATGTGTATTCAATAGTATACAAGAAAATATTAATATATAGATTTTTATTAGAAATTGTCACATGAATTTATCAATATATTCAATGATATAAATTGACACAATAACGAGTATTTAATGGTATATTGTGATTAAAAAAATACAATACATACTTTTTTATTGATTATTATTTAGTGCACATTAAAAAAATGAATAATTTTAGTAGTTTTAGCGTAATGAATCTCATGTTAGATTTTATATATGAAGTTAAAAATGATAACATGGATGGCGAAGGAGGTCTAACTTCATTTAGGTTTCTTAATCTCTTAGGAATATACAAGAGTGCAATAAATATTATTTTAATAAATTTTTTTTTAAGATACTTAAATCAGAAAAATGAAACATTAACAAAAATGTTGTTTTAAATCAAGCCATTTATTTTAAGTTTTTTAATAATTAATAAAAGCAATAAAATTAAGACATATGGTTAATTTTTATAGTTATAAAAATTATAAAATATTTATGTTTTAATAAAAATGAAAAAATATTTCAAAATGTTATTTTTTATTTTATTAATTTATATATTTTTCTTTTCAAATTCAGACTCATAAACAATACATCACAATTCTTACAATTTTTATTAATTGTCGGATATAACTCGAGATAAATAAAGTTAGTTTGAATAACAAAGGAACTATGAAGACTACACAAACAATTTATTAAAAATTAAAAATATACATAAATTAAATATTTAAATCTAAAAGCGTAATTAAGTCTAACACAAATTCATATAATATTTATCAAATTTGATTCAATATTTATTATTATAATTTAATATTAACAAAGTCTTTTTTTTTCATATGATGCAAATATTTATTTAATAATTTTAATTGACCTTTAAATATTAAGTTAGAGAATATTCTTTCAAAAGGCAAATTAATTTCCATCAAAACTTTTTTTTTTTAAAGTATTCGTTTTTAAAACATATATTTCATAAATTATGAATATATATAATTTCTATTAAGCAATTAAAAATAATAGAAAATATTCAGAAAAACTTAAGCAGCAAGTCAGTATACTAAAGTCTATAAACAAGAAAAGGAAAAGTGAGACTTGAATTTACTTGTGCAGTTTGCGTTAGGGCACACACCGTTTTCTTCTTCTTCATCGTTGTTTCGCTGTCAAACTAATCAGAATCATGGATCACAAGGTGGATCTCAGTGCCCCTCATTCCATGGGTACTACTATCATTGGCGTTACTTACAATGGCGGTGTCGTTCTCGGTGCTGATTCTCGAACCAGCACCGGTACAATTCTTTCCTCTTTCCAAAACCTAACCCTAATAATAACAATTTTGGGGTCCTATTGTTTGAAATTTGATTGTTTCGTTGTCGTTCGTATTGAAAGTAATGTTCGATCTTCTTCTTCTTTTTTTTTCACTTTCAGGAGTATATGTTGCAAACCGAGCCTCAGACAAAATCACACAGCTCACTGATAACGTCTACGTGTGTCGCTCTGGATCGGTATTGTTTCTTTCTATCTCACGCTCATTTAAAGGTCGAGTTGTTTTAATTGTTATTAGCTTCGATTTGACTCCTGTTTCTGTTATTTTGGATATTTTTATGCTGTGTTTGTCATGATAATACAGTTTCACTCCTCATAATATAAGATGTTGTTTTGTTTTTTCGTCCCCTAAAGGTTTATTTTAACTATGGGTTTTTATAGGTCGTTGTCGTTAACTGAATGCATTGACAGAGAATTAAGCTTTTGGCTATATATACAGTCTGTTATGACTAATGTTCTGTTCGTTTTCTTACACAATATGATGCTCATTTTTTATTTATCCTCCATTGCCGAGAATTTGAAAAGAATCTTGTCAATGTTTGTGTATAACGTATTGATGAAGGTTCTGATATAGTTACACTACTCTGATTATATTATTTTTTCGTTTGATCTAGCCATGATACTGAGCATACTCGTGTTACAATGCTGCAGCAGATGATTATGGAGTTTCTCTCTTGCGCCCTGCTGCCATTTTATGTCCCGAAAATGCTGACCTTTGTTCTTTTTGCAGGCAGCAGATTCTCAGATTGTCTCTGATTATGTGCGTTACTTCCTCCATCAACACACGTAAATGACTTTACTCCTCCTATATATACTAATTGGATATTCTCTATTGTAAAATGAAACTTTAGGCTATGATTTGTGTCTATTAGCATTGAAGTCTGTTTACCCCACTGTTAGTTTTCTATTTGTATAGGATACAACTTGGACAACCTGCAACAGTCAAAACTGCTGCAAACCTTGTTCGGCTTCTCTCATATAACAACAAGGTTTGACTTTAAGGCTTTCTTTGGTTAATTTGATTGACATTTCTAAGTTTTCAATGATAATACTAGTGCGGATACCAAGCACTATTTGTTTAAGATTATACCATCTTCCTAAGAAATCATTGAATTGAAATTTGGATTAGATTATAAAAGAACTATCCATGACTTCCATTTTTGTCAACTAACATTTCTTAGTCTTCTCCATTGACAATACTTGTGATAAATTTTATTCTTTGGTACTGGTGTTATAAAGCAGAGGAGGATATTACTTTATCGTTTCTTTCCTACTGTACCAGAGGTGTATTATTATAACAATTATATTCTTATGCAGTTACGCCATGCGCCCATGCTTACAGTTAATTTAAGGATTTGTATCTATTATGTGCCTTGGACCATTAGTAATAGGTTTTTTTAGTTTTCATATGTTCATCTATTATTAGAGATTGAGTTAACTGATATTTTGCTTTGTCATAAATGTTACTTTCAATGGCAGAATTTTTTAGAGACTGGTTTGATTGTTGGTGGTTGGGACAAATATGAAGGTGGACAAATTTATGGTATTCCTCTAGGTGGAACAATTGTTCAGCAACCTTTTGCTATTGGAGGTATGGATTTTTAAGAGATGTTTGTGAATATACTTTTTATTATGATTTCTGTATTTACATTCTGCTGTACATGTGTTTCTGTAGACATATATTTCCTGTATAACTTGCTCTTATTGTAGTATTATACCTTGATATCAAGATATGACATCTGGTAGATCTATTTTATGCATAGTTCGTATAAATATAATATTGATAGGTAAATTCTCTCTCTATTTATTAGGATTTGGTAATTGAGAAAATGAGAATGAAAGTAGAAAGAACTGAGAGAGAATGGAGAAGGAATTCTGATATTATTGATAAGTATGAAACTAATTACAACATATGAATTCTCTGAGGACTCTAGAGTTTACTGATGGTAAGTGACAGATGAATGACAGCTGTCATTCAGTTACAACTGAGAACAACTAACTACTGAAACTGTAACTGTAGTGTACAACAGGAAGAGCAGGGTAAGCTAAGCTTATGCTCTAACACTATTAGAGGCAGAATAGGCTCTATAATGGCTTCTGCTAGAGGTTTAGAACTTACAGATAAGCCTTTAAGTGCGAGAAGCTTTGCTGTCATTATTTCATAGAACTGTTTTTAGAAACTAAAGTGAAAACCCAATCAAATAGGTTCTTAATTTCTCCCCTTAGTATCTTTTGTAATGTTGCATAAGCTTGTGGAATGGTGGATCTTTTGTTGGAGATGGTTGATTTTGAATTTGTTTCGTCTTTGATGATTTGGTTCTGTTGTTTATTAGTCTGGTATGTTATTCAAGGAAGCATGGACACTTCAAAATAGTTGCTGTACATGTTTCAAACACATATTTTGATGTCAGACACTTTACAGATATTCCTAGCTGCATTTACTATTTCATTTTAATTTTTAAAATTGTTAAACCAATACAAATGGGAATACCATGATAATTAGATAAACTGTAACATTTTATTATGCCTAAAATGACTCATTCTTACCTTTAAAACACCATTACCCTCTTTTTATTCCTATAATTTTTAATAAATACTGTATTCCTGTGCTTGTATTATATCTGTGACTCTGTCTTTATGTCCATGTCGTGTACCCATGCTTTTTAGATGTCACCTGTACCACAGTGCTTGTTGCAAATGTGCATATTGGTTTTCTCTTGCTATGATCTTATTATGTCTCAAGATTCTTATTCCTCGGATGCATGGCTTTTGTTTATGAAGTTGGTTTACCTGAAGTTGTTTTTTGTAGGATCTGGCTCCAGTTACTTGTATGGGTTTTTTGACCAAGCTTGGAAAGAGGGAATGACCAAGGATGAAGCTGAGGTACATGTTTTGATGCCTACCAGTTACCACTGCCTAAATTTTGAAAAATAATTACTTTATTACCAAAAAGACTGTTGTGGATGTTAGTTTTTTTTGGACCTGCTCTGATTTTCCTGTTATGGCGACATTACGCTTCAGATGTCAGCAATGGTTAATAATTTATATCCTATTAGACAATTTAATGATGATTTTTTTAGGATGTACGCGTGAAGTTTATATCTGAATCCTTGTTGCTGACAGTGTATTTGTTGTACGGCAGGATTTAGTAAAAAAGGCAGTTTCACTGGCTATTGCTCGTGATGGTGCAAGTGGTGGGGTTGTCCGAACAGTCATAGTAAGACATCTTACTCAGTGATTTGTGTTTTAAAAAATAAGGTCTTCATATAATTCTTACGCACAATAATTTGAAACCCCCTTATTTTGAAATCCTTGTAGATAAACTCTGAGGGAGTGACCAGGAATTTCTACCCTGGCGATCAACTTCCAATATGGCATGAGGAACTGGAGGCTCATAACTCATTGCTAGACATTCTTGGTGCCCCGGAGCCAATGAGCATGTGAACTAGTTGCTGTGATTAAGAATCTTGCCCGGCTAGATTATATCTTGTCATCTCTTTTCTGAACTAGTCATCGATTTGTGTAATCGCTTACATTGGATATTGTTTATGTTGCGTTAAATCTTGTGTACCATGGATTTCCTTATTCCATCATATGGCTCTAAAGTAACATCTACTTAAATGGTGGTGCATCCAAAGCAATTATCAAGTCGTGTGAATTTGTTGTTTTTGATTTTGATAGACTACAAAATACAAGAGATTTCTAGTTTCAACCATCAAGTATGTTAAGGGTTTGAATCTGATAAAGTTAAATGGAAAGTCAGTTTTGCTGATCAATATATTTGAGTTGAATTAGGCAAAAACTCGGTTTAAATTAAACAAAAAATCAAGGTGAAATTCTGTCTCTGTAGTTTTACCCTTTATTACTATAAGTTAATAAAAACTAATAAAATCAAGATATATTACGAAGTAATAGAACACTTTTGGTAATAAAATAATTATTTTAGAAATGTGAAAAAAAATTTGAACATTTTTAAACTAGAATTTCGAAAAATTAATTTAAATATACTGACAGGGTGAAATATAAAAATGTTAAATTATAATTTAACCTATTTGTAATAATTAATATGATATTTACAATATATTCTTAAATCTAAATAGTTGATAATATAAAAATTTACAATTTTTAAAAATAGATAAAATTTGCTTCACCAAGAAAAAAGGGTAATTTACCCAAAATTATTTATGTAAAACAACTTAGTTAAAAGAATGAGCTATACTTTTTTTAAAATAATTATTTGAAGGGTTTTATCATCCCATAAGCCTACACAATGGTTAAAGATTAAGATCCTATTAATTAAGAGAATTTTTATGGCTAAATTATCAAATTATTCTTAAAATTGATTTAAATATCGTAGTATCAGAATTTTAAAATTATCTTTAATACTAAAGGTCATTTAATTTCGTTCTTTTTGTATAAAATAATAATACATAATAAAGTAAAAAATTAATATGTATAACATTTTAATAAGTTAGCGAATGATAGAGAAGTTTTGCAATTTTAGAAAAAACTAAGAATGACTTCTAATTTCTAAATCCACCCAAATCTTTTTATTAATGACATCAAATCATTAATTTGTTTTATTTATTTTTAATGTTATTTACTGTTAAAGCGATGTGAGTTTAGCTAATAAGAAAGCTAGTTTAGCGAAAGCAGAGGAAGAACAGAACAGAACGGAGAAGATGAGCTTGAAGGTGAATTGTGGCGACACTCACAACGTCTTCGTCTATGGTAGCCTCTTAGCCGACGAGGTTGTCCACGTCCTCTTGAAGCGCGTCCCTTCAACCGCACCCGCTACCCTTCAACACTAGTTAGTCGTTAATTTCTCTCTCTCCAATTCCTTCCAAAATCCTCTTTTGATGCCTTTTTATTGATGCCCACCTTGTTTTCGACAATGGGTTTTGCCATTTCTCTAACCTAACCCACTCCTTTGTTTTAGTCACAGGTTTAAGATCAAGGATCGCGTTTATCCCACTATACTCCCTGTTCAGAATAAGAAAGTTACTGGCAGGGTCTCTCTCTCTCTCTCTCTCTCTCTCTTCATCACAATTCAATCTTTGCTTTTTAAAACAAATCTAAGATTAAAAGAGTATTAGCCATTCTCTTTTGTTTTTTATTTTTTGGTCAGGTGCTTCTTGATATCTCGGGTGTGGAGTTGGATATTTTAGATGAGTTCGAGGATGTTGAATATACAAGAAGAGATGTTGAGGTTTCCTTGATGGTTAGTCTAACTCCATGTTTTTGTATTCACAAATGAGGCACTTGTTATGTTTTCCCAAAAATATATTACTTTATGATCTTAAAGATTCTGTGCTTTCTCTAGAATCCTAACAAGAGTGTTAAATTTAATTGTACAGCAAAATTCTGAGAAGTTGCGAGTTCATGCTTATGTTTGGAGCAACCCAAATGATCCTAACTTGTATGGAGAGTGGGATTTTGAGGTGAGCATGCGATCTTTCTTATTTGAACTTGATCAACTCAAATCAATAGAATTATCGTATGTTTTGGTGTATAGTTATTCTTCTGTTTTCTTCTTCCTATGTTGGGAAAATTAATTCATGATAATGGCTAACATATTTAATTACTTGAAGCTTCTGAGGTTTTATTCAAGGTTAATTTTAGAGGTGGTTCTGTTCTTCAAGTCTCTTGGCTTATTAGTAGTCCTGTAGGCTGTAGCATAAGTTTTATCTTGTTTTTAGGAGTTAATTAACTTATTGGAGGCATTAAGGGGTGAATCTTAATATATTTCAACACTGCTGCAATGATTATTGTCTCTTCATATATATTCAACACACACTCACTCACTTGGTTGTACATGTATGGTTTGTGTTGGTGTCCCCAATCTTCACGTCTTTTAATTTCTTCATTTTGAAGTTCTAAATTCAATTTGAATATTTTTTTCATGCATATCTCCCTATTCTAGAGGTAAGTTCTTATTTTCTTTCTGATTTTTTTACTGAAAGGAATGGAAACAAGTTCACAAGAATGATTTCGTCCAGATGACTAATAGCTTCGTGCAAGAGTTGGAATTGCCAGAATCAAAGCCTAGAGTGCAGACTTATGAAGCCTTCTATAAGCAAGAAAACGATAAGCCACTTGAGCCTTGATGTTTACAGTTTGCACAAAATTCTGCGTAATGCGCACTGTGTAGTGTTCTATGGCTCAATTAAGAATCTTACTATTCACGGTTAATAATTATTAGTTCCTTTTCGAATCATTCGTTTGATGATTTAATAACCATGCTGTCTTTTCAATGGTTTCAGTAATATAATTATGTATTTCATATTATTATGTTATTACGTTGGACAATCTTAATACTTATATATCACGCAACATCCCCCCCTCCAGTCCCCAAAATAGAGATCCATGCATATAAGTAGAAATATGTTGCAAAATATTGAATTAAAAAAAATCTGAGCTTCAAGGGGCAAAAGGAGGTGATCTCTGGTGGACTCATATATACAGAGAGATAAACTCTGTGGTTGATGGGAATGCAGCCTAATGGAACTATTTAACCATATAATCTTCATTCCCATTTTCCATCATCAACCAGCCATTCATTGCTTCTGTTGTGTGTTATCAATTAAATCCTTCATGGGAAGGAAAAAGATAGTAAATAGGCACAAAATTCATTTTAATACGAAGTTGCTTAGAATGTTGAACAGTCACGGAAGTAAAGCACAGATCATAATTTTATAAAGTTACTAAATGCCTACAACCTAACATCAGCTACTATTTAGTTCTAGATGAATATGCTTGTTCGGAGGAATATACTATGGAATTCAAAATGAACTTGGGACACATGATGAAAACATTATTATTTCTAAACAAACACTGACACAAGTAACCACAAATAAATGTGACAGATAAATCTCTTATGACTGGTTGTTAAACGCTTCCAGAGGCTCAGGATCAGAAGGGCATTATTACTATATGTTTTATGGTATCCAATTCATGTGTCTTTCACAAAATGATGATGTCAAATCAGCATCAGATTTAAGATAGGACAGCCAGCAAACCCTTTACATTTTTGCTACTGTCAGTTCATGTGGCATTTGAAGACAAAATTCCTAATTCCTGTTCCATGCTCCATTATGTTACGGTGTCATGTGTAGTACATGCAAAACAAGTTCAGAATTTGTTGTCTGGGCCTCATTATGCTTGACACGATGTTTATAACTTTATTTATGTTCGTATTTTAAAAATCTGTTTTACATTATAGTTATCTTTTGATTTGTTCATTCCTCTCACCAATAATACATGGAAGCTTGGGGTGCTCCTCTCTCTATTCCATGTTAGTGTTGCTATCTTCAGCACATCAATCTGCTACCAACAATGAACCGGGAAATGAAATTACAAAATTAAACGAGGAAACAACCCAACACACATCTTGATAACAAGAGGAAATATTGATCTAGCTACAAAAGAGATTTATTAACATGATGGTTACACAAATAAGGCGAAAGATTTAGCTCCAAAAACGAAACGGAATACAGAAAACCAGAACAAACTGAACACTGCAAAACAAGATTGAAATTAACAGCATGATTTGACAAGGCCTGAACATGCAAATCCAGTAAGGGTACCATCACCACCACCTCCGCCGCCACCACCACCTTCTTCAATTCAACCTCTTGCATGCATGCATAAGCATGATCAATAAGATCCTTGTGTGGTGTCCTGAGCTCTAACCTGACCATAGCTTCCATAATCCTTGGCCCTTTCCTTCACATCCCTAGCCTTATCAGCAATGATCCCTCTAGCATAATCAAGGGTGTCAGACCCTGCAGGGTGGTTCCCAGACACATAGTTGTAAATCCAAGACAAAGCAGCAATTGCAGCCACGCCACACCCACCTGAGAACAAGAAGCCAGAGGCAGCTAGGAACAGCACAATGGCAGCAGGAACAAGGATAGGACTAAAGAGAACAAGAAGTGGAGTTGCAATGATTAAGCCTATAACAGTCCCTGTGAGGATTAACCCAGACAAGAGCAAGAGGGTGACACCAATAGTGGCAGCAGTTATGAACTTAACGGTTTGGCGTGAAGATGGGTTGTTGTTGGTGTCATAGGTAGTGGTTCCATAGGAATAAGACCCTGCAGTTCTTGGTTGATCAGACATGATGGTTGCCATTCTGATTGCTTTTTCAAAACCCAACCAAACCAAAGTTTTGATAGAAAAATAGTAGTATTTGTGTTGAGGGCAAAGAGTGTGAGAGAAGGGAAGTGGTATATAGCATTATAGGAGGAGGTGGTGGGTGGTTACGCGGCAAGAGGTGAAGGTGCATTGCATGTCGTGGCTTCTTTGCATGAAATTGAGATGCAAAATAAGTAACACCTGTCCCCCTTCTCTGAAACAGCTTCAGTGAGTTATGATGAAACCATGGGAAACTTGGACCCTTCTGTTTAATTCCACCACCTTTAACTTTTGGTAAATCATTTCATACCCTCTGCTAGTGTAACATCAAAAGTACTACTTTATGATGATTATAAATTATATCCTATTACTTTATTTATTTATTTATTTATTTTGGTTAGATCCTATTGCTTTATTTTAATCCCCTTGTCTTAATTTTAGGTTTCATCTTATGTTTTGAGGATAAAAAGTGTGGAAATAAGATTAATTCTCAAATAAATTTTGTTAAGTTTTTTTTGTTTTTTAAACGGAGATTCCTGTCACAACATAGACATTTGTGATAATGACCCTTTGTTTAGCAACGATGAAGAAAGTATAGCCCTTTCCAGAGAACCTTCAATATTACAGGAAAGCCCATTTGCACTTACAGTTTACTTTCCACTAAAACTTCAAATTCATCGTTGAAAAATATTTTTTTTAAAAACTTGATACATAGTTTATTTTTCTTAATCAAAATTCATTTGTTAATTTTTAAAAAATAATACAGTACGGTAAATGTAATGTGATTTATTAATGAGTCTCTAACTATATTAATTAAAAATATTATAAAATAAAATGATTACTTTTTTTATTTTCATGCATATTTTCAATGAAGTGTTATATGAGAAATAAATATAAAATATATTTTAGTTATAATATACTGTAATATTTTTAATTGTTACAATTAAAGATGCATTAGTATGATATGCATCATTATCTTTATAAAAGTCAATTGACAAATTTTAATAAAGAAACAAAAACAAATAACAGATTATTTTGAAACCAATTTTAATATATTTTTAGGATAAATTAAAAGATTTCCTATCAGGACAAATGTGAGATTTTATTCGTTTGCTTTCATTGGGACGGGTTATTATTAAGTTGTGTTTTTTGTCAATTTTTTTTTCTGATATGAAATTTGAACTTTCCTATAATAAAGAGTTTTATTATAATCATTTTAATTTTTTTTATAATATAAAAAATGAATAAATTAAAATCACATGACATAATAATAATAATAATAATAATAATAATAATAATAATAATAATAATAATAATAATAATAATAATAAAGAACATGAAAAACCTATAAAAAAAAAAGAACATGAAAATAAATCTAAATTTCCACCTGAAAAAATAATAGCATCAAATGAAGGAATACATTTAAATAAAAAAAATTATATGCTAATGTTATTTTTTAGTACATATACTTTTTAACATAATTAATAAATGATTAAAATCATAATATAATACAAACTTATACAAATATCATCCTCTTATTATATAAGCCAAAAAACTTTATCGGAATTTTGTTCAATCAGCAGAGGCTCATGTTTGCTACTGTTTTGTTCTCTTGGGTTGGGGTAAACCGTGTCAGTTCTTGCATCGATCTCTCCGAAGATTGAAATAATTTACATTAAAGATAATAAATATTCTAAAAATTTCCAATGAATAATATTGAAATTTAAACTTATAAGTATTACAATGTGTTAAGAGTGTACGACATATATTCTTTTTCTCTTATTAGAATTCTATAAGTTAGTTTTTTCAAACAGAAACCTGACGCATTATATATTGTGCTTGTACGTTTAAAATCTTTTACACTGCAAATTTCACATTCCGATGTCTCAATACGCCATCGATTGAAAAAAAACAACACTAAACTCGACGCATATTATATTAAGAAACTGCTATTTTATTTTGTCTAGGGTGAATATAATGTAAGATAAGTAAGCTTTGTTTCAATTAATTATTTTTCCTTTCACACATTGACGCATATTGAAGTTTTGAGCACAAAATGGCAGATATTAATTATTTCCGCTAATATTATATTGTTTATATTCCTTAGAGTATATTCCTATACTTGCATGACAAATTTTATTTCCTTTTCTTTATTTTAAAACCCTAAACTATATTCCCGTCTCAGTATACAGGTTAATGATATTATAAAATCTTTACATAAGCTATATTTAACATTCACATAATTTCTCTGATATCTTGCTCCACAAAGTAATGCATGAGTAGTTCTATTCTTTTTTGTTTTTTTTAATGTACCATATTAGAAATGAGTTCAAATCCATCCTTTTTTTTTCTCTCTATTTCTTTACCCAACTACTAAAATTATTAACGATTTAAAAATTTCTAATGCCCAAGATTGCGTCCATTTTTTAATGAAAATAGAGGAGATCCATCAATGGTCCTGGATATGGCAATAAAATGTGCATGTATGCCGTACTCCTGGTCCTGCAACTATCCTACCGTGAAATTTGAGTAGTTTGATAGATCTCCAATATTATCTTTCATAATACACAAAAAAGCCATTGGAGGAATTGGTGACCACAAGTAGCGTAACACTACCAGAAGAAACGCATAAACAAACCGGGGCTCAGGGGTGCTTGCACCAATGAATAGGAGTGGAAGTGTTCTGCTTCAGATTGAGCCTCATATGGTGTTGTTGGTTGCCATGATGATGATGCTCCAGCTGCCGCCACTTCTCACCAATCTCCACAGCTTTCTCACTGTGGTTATTGACATTAGATTAATCCATTTCCATCAATTCACCTTCTTCCGCCTCTAAAGGTTGACCTGTTTCTGGAACTATCTCTTCGCATGCCATAGGAGAATGGAAGGCAACCCATGGGACGACAGCCAAACCGTCTTTTGACACTTCAGAATTCTTCTCTCTCCTCACTGCATCTTCAACAGGGTCATTTTGCTTGGCAGCACCCCATGATAATAAATAATCTGAAAAAGAGGCAATAATTGTTCAAAAGATATCCGGAGTCCAGACAGATCTATAACATGATAAGAACTGTGCTGCGTATTAAATGCTATCGCCCAAAATACGTGATACTAATATCATAAGTAAGAAAACAAAGGGATTTTCAACCCCACCCCACAATACACACAAAAAAAAAAAAAAAAGCAATGTGAGAACTTTGTTGTTGAATAATTGATGGAAAAGATGATAGATAATCGTTTTGATGCCAGAGGTCTGAGTTGTTTTCATCTCCTAATTTAATATGGGCAGCCTCGAAAAGTTAAGCTTAAAAAGGAAACAGGACAAATATCTCTGCTCTCTTGGCCATCAAAGTTTGCATGAATGTTGGAAATAGGAAATAGTTAATTCACACGACCAATTTACAACGATCATCGTTACAGTACATTACAAGGAAGAACTGTAGTCGTCATGGGATGCCACTGCAGGTCAAAATTGTACCAAGCCATCGAAGAAATCAAATATTATATTGAGGATTGTAAAACCACTACACGTGGACAAAGTTTTGTTCTTTTACTCCAACTGGTAGAAGATTCCTGGGAAGATTTATGATGTTGATATATAAATATCACAAAAACATACACATACTGTATCTAGGCTGGCTCACCTTTCAACAGTTCCTTATAACATTTCCCATGCATTTATCATCTTATCTGTAAATGACCACTGCCCTTGATCATTCTGATTTCCATAGCAAAATCTTATAAAACTTATAATTTGAATATCCTCTCATGGACATTCAGAAAACACTTCAGAACTTAGTTATATTGATATATTTCAGGAAGATAATCAATAAAAATCCGTAGGATTTGATTGTTCACAAAAGAAGCAAATGATACGAGAGACTGAATTTCATTTAAAATTGTCAATTCAACCTATACAATCACTGAGAGTATTCCATCCCATATTAATCTATCAAATATAATTCAATTTTTGAGCCTAGATTGAGTTGATAGCGAGAGCATTATCAACGTGGTCATGTGAAATTATTAACTGAATAATTAAATTGAAGAGAATTATATAGAAATTTATTTTCCAGACAATATATAGAAAGTCTTTGATAGGTGTAAATTAGCAAGTTATAGACAAGGCATAAATGTGATTGTTCTCCTCCCAAGTATTTATGCCTTCAGATTCATTTTTTGCAGCCATACAAGGGTTTTACGTTTACTTGGCATCCATTATGCAAATAAATAAATAGAGAAGATTAAACTCATAGACCCTAAAATTGAAGTATAAACACGAAAATTAGAATTTTTTTGTACGAGGCCTTATGACCCTGGAAAGGAAGCAGATGCAGGATCAAGCCATAACATTAAGGGCAGGAGAAAGACGGTGGTTGGCTTCATGTGAGCTACGAGCTCAATGCTAAAAACTGACGTCTTTGTAAACAAGTATAAATATAAAATAAATTGGTCAACACTGATCCCATGCCGTTGAAAACTTTAAAGACTTCGAGCTCATTCTAAAAAATAAATTTATTGAAATTCCATAGAGCTTTTGTAACTAAATTTAAATTTTTTAACTAAGCAAGTTAGACAACTACCAACAATACATTCTTTTAAACACCCATGCTATCCCTACTTATAGAGAATAGAACCGAATAATTTAGGGAGACTCACACGAAGAAAGTGCCAAAGAGTATATTGCTTAGAACGTTATGCTTTTTCTTCCTTTAAACCATTTCACATACATTTTGATTACAGCAAAAGAATAATGAATCAATCAATCATAATACCACCCGCAACACCACAATTAAACCATATGCATGTTTCAATTTTCAAAGGAAAACTTAAATCAGCCTGTTTGAAAGAGCTTATAAACAGTTTATAGAAAACAGCTTATGACTTATTGCAATAAGCTTCTTGACCTAGCTTATTAAAATGAGTTGTTTTTCAACCTATTGTAATAAGTTTTATTGAACACATGACATAAATAATTATTCAAAAAGAGCTAATTAAATAAGTACTTAAATAAGTTGCGTATCCAAACGCACCCTGTATCCAAAACGCTTACCCTTTAAACCAGGAATCAAGTCAGCTTTAACAACGATAGAGAACTCAGAAGAGCTTGGTGACTTGAGAAAAGGTGTAGTGCTTGGATCGTAAAGCACAAGCGCTCTCTCTTCCGTGGCTGTCACAGATGCAGGAGTAGGGTCCACACAGGGTTGATTCACCGTTACATTTGCCTCTTCCTCCATCATCGCACTGTATAACTCGCATTCTCGCTCCTTAAATTTTCACTTCAACTAGTAAATACCGATGAAACCTAAAATACACATGCGATAGGATAGCAAGGAGAAAATCAGCTACCACTTACAAGTCTCCTGGATTTCGCAGCGGGAAAAATTGAAGGAAATTCATAGCCGAATTCCTTGCGCTTCTTCATTGTTCCGCAATCGATTTCAAAGTTTCTGTGACAATGACCGATCCGGAAGCGTTGTTGCAGCTTCAGAGGTTGCGAGCTCTATCATCGTTCACCGCTGGGAAGAGATTAGAAGGGTTTGGGTATGGGGTTTTTCTTTCCGGTTGCTTCTTTCTTCGCTCCTTCTATTTTCTATTTCTTAGAGAAACAATAGAGGAAATGTTTTGCGGGAGGAAGCCACCTCACGTTTCCCCTGTTTGGCCCATCTCCTATACACTGCATACGGCCCGGCCCAATACAAAATCCATAAAAATAGTTTTTCACATTTCAATAAATTTAATATTTATAAGTTTAACTTTAATATTTTGTTATGTAAATTTTTTTATATATGAATGAATTAAAATATATGCTAAATATAACGTTTAATTATATATAATTTTAAATATATTATTTTTTAACTACTTCAAAAAGTTTTAAAAATTATTTAATTTTATTAACTATATTAAATTTATCAAAAAAGTTTAATATATTTTCAAAATTATATTTAAAATGAAGATATCCATTATTTTTTATTCTTTTAATTAATTAATTTCTTTATCACTAGTAAAATATTTTTCCAAGAAAATAATTAATAGGAGAAATAACTAGTAAAGAGTCTTGTAAAGAGAAATGTATTTAGAATTAGAGATAATAATTATTCGAAAATTCATAAATTTTGTTAACATAACAGTTTGTGAATAAATGGTATAACGTATTTTAAGTAAATCGATAGTTACATTATAATTTTTAATAACAAAATTAATTAATTGGTTAGAATAATGGCAGGGGTGTTATTTTTGGAGAAAACAAGGTTAGAAATAGAAATGTGGACGAGGAAGAAGGAGAAGGGATAAGGTATGTGGAGTCCTAACAGAGAGGAATGGCAACGATGTCCATTGCATTTGCAGCATCTCTCTGTCCTTCAATTCCGACTTCCAGTCTTAGACATAGCCGTTTTGTTTACATAAAGCCCCTCCATTGCACTCCCATTCAGCAACAGGTACATCAATCTTCTTTTGTTTGCTGGTTTAATTTTAATTTTAATTTATTTGAACTTGAAACCATGCTCCTAACATGTTCGTGTGTTAACTAAGGTTAATGCAGATGTAGGTATTATCTGTGAACTTTGCAATGCAAAAGGATGGTTAGTGTGTGACTTTTGTAAAGGACAAAAGACTAATATCAAAGCTGAAAACAAACGTATCTACCGGCGATGTCCCTCTTGCAGAGCCGTAAGCACATCCATCATCATTAACTATTTTATTAATATGATCAATGATATATATACTGATTAATAACTTCAATTCAGGTTGGATATGTCTTGTGTTCGAGGTGCAAGGTCTTTAAATGTGTCACGTTTCCAAATTTCAACGATTCTGAGAATTGATCAGCATGCCAAAATGCCTTGTTCGCCATGTTCACGCATGCTTCTTTTTGTCTCCTTCGTCTACAATGTAACTTTGAGAGGTTTTTATTCCATTTACTTGTCAAAAAGTTGAAACAATAGATGATTCACTCTTTCACTCTTAGCTTTTTTGTATAAACTCATTTTACATGATAATTTGTATGGTAAATTTAACAATAAAATTATTGGAATAAACTGAAATCAATTTTTTCTAATAATTTATGCTAAGAAATTTATTAAAATAAGCTAACCAAAACTTAAGAGAGTAGTAAACAATTTCTATAAGTTGAAAATAAGGTGTACCGTAAATATGATACATGTGGTATATGATCATAGTCTGTGTTATGCCTTGCCCAGGCGTTCATTATTTTTTAATGCAGTTAAGTTAATCGGTCTAATGATAAATGATAAATGATAAATATCTGAGAGGGAAAAAGAATGTCTGAAAATGTTATATGATACATAAGTATGGTTTTCAAAAACTAATTTAATGTATGAAAAAAATATAAGTAGCTCCTTCAATGTTGGCTCTTTGAAAAATAACTCAGTGGTTTTATATAATTTTGCAATGCCTCGCTCAAACTTCTAATGTGTGGCTAATAATTCTTTTCAAGATTTCACAAATTTAGAAACATGACAATGCACTTAATAAGAAAGTAGAGAGGATTAATTTACATGTAGTAGGACACTTGTTCTTGTTCATTCGAGATTCAATTGACTTATTTTCTATCCTGAAATTTTAATGCCATTGTTAAATTTGAAACCATGTATAGTTTTAGTAAGTGTTCATAGGCCATTGATATTGTGGGTGTTAATGTTGCATGTATTTTGGTGTGCGGGTTGGTCTTACACACCTGATTTTCCTTTAGTAAGTGGTCGAAGGCCATTTTTCTCTTATTCTTCAGCAGCTGAACATATTTTTCAGGATCATAAATTAAATTCTGTAATTGCAGTGCTCTAGGTTACATTTATGTTTCAGTCTGTTAGATTGCGTTGAGATTGGGCAAGACATCATGACTGGATGACAATTACTATTTGAGTGTTAAGATGTCTCTTGTAAATGCTCTTCACTTTTTATTTTTTTCTTTTCATTTTCTTTCATCTACCCTTTGCTCACATTTTGGTGTGGCAAAAGGTCTAAACAAGTTAAAAATCGGAGCAGTTTGAAATGATCATCACACTACAAATGGACTAATAAAGACCATTTTCGAAGAGAAACCCAATAAATCACAAATAAAGAGGAGCACTTCTTTTGCAAGCACTCATCTTCACTAAGATGTTTTTTTCCAAACACCCATTATGTCCATATCCAATTGATATTCCTACTAAAGAAACACCAAGGTTTATAGATATAACACGATCATGATTTGTCAAAACCAAATATTTCACACCAAGCAAAACATTTTCTTTCACCGAACGACATCTTCTGCTCCGTCAAATGGACAACAGGACATTACTTTGTTACTCCTTAATATTCCATCTTGTTTGAACGTGAGTTTATATATCTTCATAACAAGCTGATGAACAAGGACTAAACTAACTCTTATTTTTATTTTTTAATAGTGCTATATATATCCTCCTATCAATTTTCCTACGATAAAAAAATATAAACATATTTAATATCTTAACAATGTAAAAAGTATAAATAATTTTAATTTAATAAATAAGAAAGTTATAAGAAATTTCGGAAGATTAAATTTATATGTGCTTATTTCCTCATTACTTGCACTTACACAGACATATTCTAATGATTATGATTGTTCTGATATGGAGGCAGCACGTTGTCTCCTTGGTAATATATCCGACTACAATTGCTTCTGGATTCTTCTGCTGAGATTATACATGGACCCAAGTGCAGTTATCATATTCTACGAATTTGGATCTAATGATAGCTATTTGACTATCTACCACTGTACCTTGTTTGAACATGATCTATTGCATTTTAAATGCCAACATGTTTGATTTGCATGTGTGTAAAACAGTTTCTTGAGAAACTAAGACGCTAGCTAGTAACCTTCAAATAATGTATTTTGCAGCTAAATTGATGAACGCAGAACACATAAATATTAATTATGCTACTAATTATTTGGCCATGTGCTACATATTATTGTTGTCAACAGAAGTCCCCTTGAACTTAATAGAAGATTCCATTTGATGCAGTAGCTTGCAATTTAACTAGTCTTGTGGTGTACCACGGATAACGAGGGATGATTTCTCAGAATTTTTTTGCTGCTGGAATGAATGCTCGCATGTGAATTGCGTAATAGAAGTTTGAGAAGGAAATTAATTTAATTTGTACATCAGTGAATTGTTTTTTACAAATAAAGTGTTTCTAATCAAGTTCATTAAATAATCTGACAACATATCATAACATGATATTATGAATTTCTTCTACGCTCGTACATATCAAAATTAAACTTGATATAACAGTCATAAATTTTAATTAAATGACCAAGATTTGAGGCAAGTGACTGTAATTTATACAATAAAATTTAGCATGCTGCATCATTGAAACGTGTGTGCCAAGTGCAGATGACACTCACATTGTAACTTGTAATCTCCACGATTTTACAAGAGAAAGTCACATGAGAGGAGAATTCAAATAAAGGGGAACGATGACGTGGCATTTAAGATGGGACAAGTCCTTAGACTATCCGTATGTTAATCTCATTTGGGCATCTCACCCAAGTTGGGAATCTTAAAAATTTTGTTTACATTTTTAAAGAGTTTTATTTAAATTAAAAATATCTGTATTTTTAGCTTTTAAAAAGAAAAAATTCTTTTTAAAAATCAAATAAACATGCTTTTAGTTTCATTTTTTTAATTTATAAAATTATTTTCCATATTTTAAATAAAATATATTCTAAGTATAAATATATATTTTAATTACATTTAACCGCTTAATTAAAATCAACTTTACATATTATTGATTATATTATCGTATACCTTAAGACCTATCAAGCTAATAAAAATTCACTTTCGAATAATTTCTTCAAGTGCGTTACGTTAAATACAGTACACACTTTTGACTTGCCTTTAGAAAATTAAAAAAAAATGTTAAAAAAAAAATATTTAATACATTCAGATTTTGAAATATTCATTTTTATGTAATGTTTTCCATTTGCTTATAACAAAGTAAAAATTGCTTTATGCAGGCCTTCTTCGTTTTTGTCAAGTTTCGTCTCAGTATATCAGGCAAAGTAATTTGTTGCCAGAATGGGGAATGATTTCAGAATGAATAGTCAAGTGCCACTTGAGGCGTTTAATTGTCTTTCAACTCAAATATTTTGATTAAATTTTAGTTAACAGTGCATTCAAATAATGTGCTAATAAGTTATTATTTAGTTTTTTTTTCTTATAAAAAGAATTTATATCATAAATTTTATTATCACGTTTATTGATTTAAGTTTACAAAAATTAGAAAAATCATACAATATTCTTATGAATTTTTCATTACTCTTATTAATTCACCTTAAATATTTTTTCTTATTTCACTAATTTTACTCTTCATAAATGATAATAGAAACGAAAGGAAGAACTTATAAAAAAATTCCTATTAAATAACAACATAAAGGCAATCATAACAGTGAGGATGGTAGGGAAAGTAGACCAAAGTGATGGTTACACTGTCGATAGAGGAGAGGGTTAGGGCAACAAGAAAGGGAGTTAAATATTTTTGTATTTATAATTATGTTATAAGTGATATAAAAAGTTATTTCGTAATAAATTAAGTGACAAATATTTTTATTGTTGTTCCATATTTATCCTTCATTTGGGTTGTTTTAGGCCTTGGACCTCTAAAATCAAATCAACATCCGATAAATATTTTTATAGGGTTCAATGTTTCACTATTTTGTAAATAAATGTAAATAAATGGAAACATTAATAACTGTTAACAAAAAGAAAAAGAAAAAAAAGACAGTAGTAGTGTTGCCAAACTAGAAACCTGTAAAACATAAAAATTGGACAACAAAAGCTGTACTCTACTTCATATATAATTCCTAAACGGGTTGTCTCATTTATAGTTATTGAATTGACTCTCACCCTCATACATGGATTAGCTTCCACAAAGAGCAAAAGAAAAAGAAAGCAAAAAAATGTATAAATGAAAATGTCAAAATCACTAAGTCTATCTGCACATTGGACTTTGAGGTTGATGAGAATAAGCAAGTTGGTTTGAGGAACAATAGCCCATCATCTTTTCAAAGCTAAATCTACATTTCTGAGTAGAAAACTTGTCCTTACCCTCCACTATCTTCAAGATACTCTCAAACACAGGCACTTCACAAGGAATCCTCAGAACACCAGTCTGTTCAAACCCAAATTCTTCCTCAGCTTCTCTTAGTAACATGTGAAAGGCACCATGACCCAAATACTCAGTTGGTATAACGAACCTGCTAAGGTCCACGCCAACACAAACAGCAACATACCCTTTGGGAACCACGTTGTTGGAACCTCCCTCACGTTCGGATATAGAAAGTGTTCTTTTCAGAAAGTTGATGCTTTTGTTGCTGTTGTTATTTCTACTTGCTTTTGAAGAACTGGCTACCCTTCTCCATTTCTTAAGGATCTGTTGAAGCCTAACAATTTCTCTGATCTTGTTAGTTTTCTTCGGTGGATCCATGGACATGGTGTTTCTCTTTATGAGGTAGCATGCATCTGTATGTTAGCTAGAGGAATTAATGGGATTTGAATCTGGTTCTCTCTTTCCTTGGATTAACTCAAGTGGGGCTGTAAGGTTCGTGCATGGCTCCAATTTATAGAAGAATGATACCTCACTCAATAATGACACTCATTATTAAAATGTTCAATCCTCTTAACGAAGAATACTTTAACGAGAAGAAGAACGCTTCCAATACTGAGATAGCTAGCACACATTTTTCTAATACAGTCAATAGTTATTGATTAAAAATTATAAAAATATGAAAAAAAATGTGTTGCTAGTATATTTTTTTAAGAGAAATGTATTTTTAACACTTTAAATTAAATATTGTTAGAAGCATTTCTATTTTCTAATTATATTCTTGAGATGTTTGAATAAAAAAATTACTTAATTATTGATTTAATAAATTATTTTAAATGATAATAATTTATATAGTAAATTTAATTATAAAATTTATTTTGGTAAGTTACATTTAAAAAGTATTAAAATAAAAAAAAAATTAGAAGTTGTTTTCATAGAACGTGTATAAGGTCATTTAAATTAATTTATATACGATATTATTTGTAATAATTTAAATATAAAAATTGTATTATAATTAGTGTTTGGTTTTTCAATGTCACATGCATGCATGCGAAAACCAACAAAAAAATGTTGTCCAGGTTAGGATGAGTTAAACGTCAAGTTGTGTGTCGGAGGCCTCACATGTGAGTGATTAGTGCAAGTCAGAGCTTTCTTTCTCTCTCACCGTTCTTTGTTTTGAAAGTTAAATCCACATTATTTTTATTAATTTAAATAAACGATGACTAGGTTTGAGATTTACGAGTAAATTATCGATTATTAAACAAGTTTATATTAGACTAATTGAAAGGTAAGGGGTGATTTGGTTTCTAGCGCAAACCCTAAATAGTCAAGGTACAATGCAATTGTACATTTGTACCGTTCAAGATCTAATGCACTATTTGTTTGAACGGCGTTGATTGTATCAAATAAAAACTTTAGGGGATTGTTTCCAAAAATATATTTTGGGGTAATTTATACCTATTAATTATGTATATTTTTAGTTTTTAAATTTGCTAGCATAATTAATATTTCATCTCTTAAAAAGTTGTAGTTTTTTATTTAAAGATTTAATTTTAATTTTTTAAAATTTAATCAAACATTATCTTTTTGTCAATTTTTTTCTACCCAAAACTCTCAAAACCTTGTATTTTTATTCAATAATTGAGAGTTATGATCTTTTTGTAATTAAATAAGTGAGTTCTTAATCCATCTGCATTTAGAAAACAATTTAATTGAAAAATAAATGCTGATTAATTAAATTAAATTAAATAATATTTATTTGATGGAATAATAAATTAAAGAGATAAATGTTGTTGATATATTTTAATATGACATTTTAATAAACCTATATTATAAAAAGAGCTAGAGCAAGCGAGTACTTAAAAGTTATACAATGAGAGCATATTTGCTCAAGTTAAAACACTTGTTAATCTAGGGAGTACTTCTCGTATTCTGAATTCTCATTTTGAAACCTTAAATAGTTGGATGAAAAGAATAATTTAATTTATATATCTAAAACTGTTATCGGATTGAGAATTTCTACATCAGCAAAAAAAATTATTTTTTAGTAATTAATATAACAATTATATATATATATATATATATATAATATATTCTTATTGACTATTGATTAACATGTTGTAACATTTTTTACACTAACAATATACTAAAATTAAACTTAAAAAAAATGAATTTTTGTAAACAAATTTTAATTATTTATTTAAAGAATAAATATGAAGAAAGGAAGTTACAAAAAAAATAAAATTAAAGAAAAAAATTAATTCATTTTTTTAATTCCCTTATTTTCTCCCATTGAAGTTTAATTAAGTTTTGGTAAAAAAAAAAAAATTCCTTAAAAGTCCCCGTGACGCGGCAAAATTCGAAGGTCCATCTTCTGCTTAAGCTAAAATATTTATTCTTTACAGGTTCAATGCACTCTGAAATAGGGGATGAAAGTGGAAGAAAAAGAAAGATAACTACTCCTATTTTTTAAGAAGAAAAAACAAAATAATATAAAATCACCACAGAGAAAAAATATTATAGGCTTCTTGCTGAATCGACGAAGGTTTTTTAAATTAATTTATATAATCTTTTATATAACTTATTAGAACAATATTTTGTAACTTATTTTAATAAAATTTATGACTAAATTTATGCTATAATTGTTTGTATTATAAAAAACATTAAATAAATATTTAATTAAACTGTTTCATTAATCAAACACACCCTTAATTATAAACTTTTACTCTCTAGAAATACATAAATTTAATGGAGTGATAAAAACTTGGTTCATTCATTACCTATGAACGTATTATACCCATGAGCGTGTTATAAATAAGTTTATTCGAAGTAATTTGCATGTCAAATTATAATATATATGCAATTTAAATGTGTTTTATTTGAATAATTTAAATAAAAAATAAGGTAATTGTCATTCTCCAAATTCTATTTAATTTTTTTATTTTTAATACTAATTTTAAAGAAAGGAAACAGTGTCCCATGCTAAAGTAACTCTTTGAAATTAATTTAAATTTTACTTTGTTCTTTTTAATTAATTAATTTCATTTAGTTACTTGAGTTATTTTTTTCACACGAATATAAATTTAACTTCTACTGATGTTTTCTTCTAATATTTTTTTACACTATAATGTCTTCTTTAGCGTTTTGATTCAAATTACGTTTTTTACATTTGACATATATAAGTTCATCATAAAAGTAATTAATGACGATACAGATGAAAGTTTGAGATTTATACAGACGTTTAGAAATATCTATTATCACTCTAAAATGTGTATTATCATCAATATTTTTATTTAAAATTTTGATTTAAACATTATTATTATTAATTTAACTAACTACTAAAAAAAGAGTGTTTTATATAAAAATCATTTTTAAAAAATGTACAACAAACATTTTAGAGTGTTAATGGATTCATCTCAATATTTTTTAAATTTTATTTTTTTCCACACTAATATATCTTCTTTAGGTTGATTCAAATGATGTTTTTTGATACTTAACCTAAATAAGTTGATAATAAAAATCATTAATGACAATAAGATGGAAGTTTGAGGTTTGATAAGTGATTTGACAGGTAAGAGGAAATGCAGAGGAAAAGGATTAGAGACAAGGTAGAATTAGAGAAAAACATTGAAGTAAAAATAATTTAAAGAATTAAATTATAATAAAAAAATTTAAAAACATTAATATAAAAATAACTCAAAAAAATAAATAGAAAACCAAGCTGAAACCTTCAGAGGACAAAATTTTTACTTTTAATCACCAAAATCATAAGGTAATGTAATGTCAAACTTTGCCCTGATCGGCACGTAGTTTTACTAAAGCAATTAATGTTTAGGATTAAAACAGGGAACAAGTGCTTAAAAAAGAAATGAATGGTGCATGCATGCATAATAGAAAAACATACATAGAAACTGAGCTGAATAATTTGTATAAACAAAATTAATTAAATATTAATTAGGACGTTGGTAGAATAAACTAATTAAAAGCCATTTGACTTCTTGATCTATAATTAGACAATTATAATCAGATCCGCACTCTGTTGCACCATTTGAGATAACTTGACAATGCATGAATCATGATTGTGACCAAGAGTTTGCCAAATGTTCATTGAATGGCCGGTGATTATATTAATTTAGTTACTTAAGCCACAACTGAATCATTGGAATATGAAAATTGTGCTTCATTTTTCTCCGTGGCTTCTCGTTATACTGCACTATAATATAGTATTTCATTATTTGATGGAAACAATGGTGGGTTATAACTTTAAACATTAAATAAAAAGAAAAAAAAGGAAGCAAATTTTATAAATAATTCAATAAACGAACAGGTGATTTTTAAACACTAACTTTTTTTAGCAACTATAGTTTCATCTTGTTATTATTATATTAAAATTTTTCTATATTATTATTTATTTATCATACCCCATAAAAAAAAATAAAACCCAAATAGAGTTTTTTCAGGCCTCGACCAAATCTTCTTCACCCCTGATATAACATTACATTACATTTGATTTCAACTCCTAGTACAATGTCTTCTGTTTACAATTAAGCCCAAAAGAGGAATCGGGTGCAACATTAAAATAAAATTTTAAGAAAAAAGTACAAGCATTGGTACATCATATTAAAAGTCCAGCTACTAACCAAAAAAGGATATCCATCAAAAGAGGAACACAAATTGCACTTACAGCAAAAACCCATGGACCAAAAACAAAGGGTAAAAGCTCGGGTTGGGCAACACTTAATTTTTATTGGCTTAATCAGATCATCATAACTGAATTTCTAACTTTTTTAACATTTTGAGAGTTCCCTTTACCATTTATGTCGGTTGCCTTGTCGTGGGAAATACTATTGAATTGCAATGAATCCCTTAAAAACGATCAGCTTTCCATGATCTGATATCATATAATATCATTCCCTCGTGTGATAATTCATGTGTTTTGTAAAAGTTTAACATATGACACAACATGAATGTTCATAATCACATAATCTTAGAGCATATAATTTCAGGGTGCCTGTTAGTGTGCTCATAAGTTTGAAAGGAAATCTTATATCTTTCTTAAATTGATGATTATGATTGTTATGATATATTAAAAATTAAAAGATATTTGATGGAAAATTACTCAATTATAAATTATCTAATAATTTTAAAAAAATAGATATCATATCATTTCATATTGAGTGTTACTGTTGAACGCTGGACATAACAAAAATGGCATGTGATGTCAAAGCGGCAAAATGGAAGCTGCACTCCTTTTACCACAATGATATTTCTTTGGAAAGGGGAAAAAATTACAAAAAGTAAAAACTATTTCATAGCTTTACTTCTTTTCAAATAAATCTAATGATTACAATGTTGAGATAAAACGTGAATGACAACATAGG